AGCGTGAGAAGACACTTGGTGCGGTTCTAGAGAAGACACTGAAGGGCTGTGTTCAAACCAAACCCTCGTTGAAGAAAGCTTCTGTGATATGGCTGCTTTGTCTGCTACAGTACTGTGGTCACAAGCCTGAAATGCAAGGCTATCTTGGACAATGTCAAGTAGCATTCAAGAACTGTCTTTCTGATCGCGACGAGGTCGTTCAGGAGGCAGCTTCGAGAGGATTGGGCTTGGTGTACGAAAAGGGCGACCGTCAACTCAAAGATGATCTTGTGCGCGATCTCGTCGGCTCGTTCTCGGACAACAAGTCCAAAATGGCCGGTACTGTCACGGACGATACGCAACTTTTCGAGCCTGGTGCACTGCCAACTGGAGATGGATCAATCACAACATACAAGGATATTCTGAACCTGGCAGCCGAGGTCGGAGACTCAAGTTTGGTGTATCGCTTTATGTCAATGGCATCCAATAACTCTATCTGGTCAAGTCGAGCCGCATTTGGTCGCTTCGGCTTAAGCAACATCTTCTCCGATTCTAGTGTCGACGGATATCTGGCTCAGAACCCTAAGCTTTATCCAAAGCTCTATCGGTATCGGTACGTTCTCTGTCTGAGCGGACGATTATAACCTTATAGACTGGCAGGCATACTAACACAAGCTCAGATTTGACCCAAACACGAACGTACAACGCTCGATGAACGACATCTGGAATGCGCTCGTCAAGGACTCTTCGGCCACTATCGACAAGCACTTCGATGCGATAATGGATGATCTGCTAGTGAGCATACTCACGAAAGAGTGGCGCGTTCGACAGGCTTCTTGCGCGGCTATCGCGGATCTTGTGCAGGGAAGAAGCATCGAAAAGGTAAGCAGGTCATAGTGCGAACCATGGCGCACACTAACAATGACGTATAGTATGAAAAGTATCTCGACGCAATCTGGGGCAAAACCTTCAAGGTTCTCGATGACATCAAGGAGACCGTACGTGTTGCAGCAGCATCTCTTGCCCGCGTCCTCACTGGCATCCTGACACGTTCTCTGGAAGCCGGTGATGGTTCAAACAAATCTGCAACTATCCAGCTTGAACGCGTTATACCGTTCCTATTTTCAACTTCTGGATTAGAATCTTCGGCTGAAGAAGTACGCCTTTTCTCGGTGCACACGTTGCTCCAAATCGTCAAGAAGAGTAACGCCAAAACGCTCAACCCACATGTGCCAAGGCTTGTTGAGAGTTTGCTTGGATTGCTCAGTAGTTTAGAGCCCGAAGCCGTCAACTATGTACACCTCAACGCTAGCAAGTACAACCTCACAGAGCAAAAGATCGACGACATGCGACTTGCAAGCGTGCGGTCGTCGCCATTGACCGAATCTGTAGAGCGCTGCTTAGATCTGGCAGACGCAGATACTATGGCCGCTCTTGTGCCGCGTATTGAAGCTGCGATGAAGAACGCAGTCGGTCTACCGTCAAAAGTGGGATGTTCGAGGATTCTGGTCACGCTCGCTACACGACACCGTTTCCTGTTCAACCCGTACGCTGACAGCTTCCTCAAGTTGGTCCAGAAGCAAATTCACGACCGCAATGAGACTGTTAGCTCTTCGTATGCGGCTGCGGCTGGCTATCTTGCCCGACTCGCTTCAGATAAGCAGATCATTTCCACTGTCGCCTTTGTGAACAAGTTGTACTTCGAATCCGAAGAGAACAGCGACAGGAACCGCCTGCTAGCCGCAGACATCATGCGCGCTATCTCCTTATATGCTACGGACCGCTTCACCTCTTTTGCATCGGAACTACTACCATTCATCTTCCTGGCTAAGCACGACTCGGAAGAGAACGTCCGAAAGAGCTTCACAGAGACATGGGATGATCATGTTGCAGGTTCACGCACGGTCTCTCTCTACTTGAAAGAAATACTTGCTCTCTCTGAGAATCATCTGGAAAGCAGACAATGGGCCATCAAACATACTGCTGCGAAGACTGTCGCAGACTGTGTCTTACAGATCACTGATGCTGTGGGTAGCGAAAAGATCGAGCCAGTCACTGCGAAAACTATCTGGCCAGTACTAGACAAGGCTCTTAGTGGAAAGAGCTGGGAAGGAAAAGAAGTCGTGTTAGAGGCTTTCGTGCGGTTTGTAGAGCGCTCGGAAGCGTATTGGCAAGCCGGGGAAAATACGGATGTGGCTAAACATTTGGAAAAGGTTGCAACAAGGGAGAGCAAGAGGCAAGAAGGTAAGAACGAGAAGGTCGTTGCCGGGGTACTAGCGAAGCTGAGAGAGCATTTGAGCATGTAGGACGTGGCTGATATTGTAGAGTGACCTATTGCTGGACTCTAGACTTACCACCAGAAATATAGAAAGAACATACACCCTGAGCTTGGAGTTTCCAAACAGCTGATGTCAACCCGATGCCCATCGCTTTGCGAAAGTTGGTGATGTTACCAGCCTAGTTGCTCAAAACCTGGCAACCCCTACAAGTAAAGCTCCTCCACCAGCTCTTCATCTGAACGCATCTACTCGCCAAAGTCATCGGAGACGATCTCATCTACAACACCGGATAATCTGTGTGGCGCCAGCAACTTACGTATGAGAGACAAAACCCATGTGCCACAAACCTTGACTCATAAACTATACTCTTCCTTCGCTTCTGCAAGCCGAGGCGTAGCTCTTTTCGTACCAGGCCGCCTGACTCTCGACCTGCAGCACAACACCCTTCCAATTTCATGATGCGATGTTCCAGCCCTATGCCCTGGTATCGCTTCTTTTTCTTCACTAATGTCTGCAAGAACGAGGCACAGTCTACAAAACGATGATGGTGCGATCTTCATGCGAATAAACGGTTTTAGGTTCGACGGGCATATCTGATAGCCTCTCCGCTGCATGTAAGTAAGATATGTGATTAACATACATGCACGCCCATCGCCCTTTCTTGCCTGTTGGAGTTGGTGTCGAGTCGACGTGTGATGTGACGCTACAAGCGCAAAGTTTATGTGAGCCTGTTGGTGGGCGGCGGTCTACTCCGCCGAGTGCACTACCCGATCTAGATATGCGAGAAAGTCTCCGAACAAATAGCCATGTCGGAAATTTTCTCGTCTCAAGTCTGAAGGTGTTGGTTGTTATGCCGTGCCTCACAGGCGGACCTCCAACACGACCTACGGGGCGTAGCCATCCCAAAGGCCTAAGCCCCATCACAGCCGTCCTCCCCCTTAGCCATGGTCTTGGGAATGGCGTTAAGCGCGTCTGACACATGAAGGACGTCGCTATTCTGCGTGCTATGCCGCAACACCGCTGGCGCTGGGATGATAGCACACCGATGAAATCCTTTGCGGCACGACTTCCTGATCCCGAAGTTCGATTACATGAGTCAGGACAAGCGCGGTCGGGACGCCGTAAATCGCTTCTCGCTGAGTCGGCAGTGTACACTTAGCCATGTGCCGCTGGGAGTGTACGATGTGGGCTGTGAAAGTATCTGCTAAGGCAAGGGAAGATTATGCGCAAGAGACGCGGCTCGGCGCTGTTCCGGCGTTATGTATTCCATCGTGTCTCGCGTCGAAGGATTCTTGTACATGCCATGTCACGACATTGAGTATTTTTCGAACAGCGAGAGCGGGAAACAGACGTGCATGAAATTAGCGGCGTGCTGCTCCGCGAGCGATGATGCCGTTTCCCGATCCTCAGCGTCCTTCCCGTGTGGCTGGTGTGTGTCTCGCATCTATTCATTCGCACCTGACCTTTCACACATTACCCCATCAACAGATACCCATGCCCTTCAATCAATGGGCATAACTAGCTCAGACTACACTTCTGCACTAGCCTAACAAACTCAATAGCCCATCCGCAACCTCATCCGCATCCCCATTCCTCTTCACATGACCATACGCAAGAATCGGCGACCCCCAGCCCACCTAGCGCCACCCGTCTCCACAGCCCTGGTTAAGCGCCCACCCCACCCCTGTGTTATCCCTGTCCACACCACTTCGCTCATCTCATTCGCCAGCTGGTATACCGAGCTAGGAGAAGCGGGAAGGTTACGCAGCCTTGGGAAACATTGGGCCTAAGCTTTCTTTGCTTCTTTCTGCACAGTCAGTCATATGCGGTAAATGGGTAACAAAACGCCTTTTTTGCCCTTCCTTCTGCAAAATTGAGGCGGGCACGAAAGAGAGTGGCGAGACCTGCAGGTCATGATGCATCGAAGCTCGATTGCATGCTTTTGCCGAGGTTAAAAGAATAAACAAAGAAGCCAGATGGATGTGGCCTATTTTCACAAAAGGTGGCTAACGTCTAGTGGAGGTTGATTGGACAGACTAAGCGCATATAGATTGCCGTGCGTTATCTGGGGAAATATTGGCTTCTTACGGCGGGTATGCGTGCCCGCGTCACAAGGCGGTCTGTCAATAGAGCAAATGGTCAGAGGAGGCTCATTTGTTGACTTTTCTTCTCACCGGTGTGACCGAGCGGTGTGTGGTTCTATGTGTAGGGATGTTGTGTGGTATACCCACCCCAGTCAGTCGAGCAAGACAATCGAGATCAACATGTGCAAGAGAACATGGTTTGGATAGTAGGTATCGTGTTTCATTTCTCTCTTTCTCTCTTTGGCTAGTACTGACAGATTCGAAACCTGGATGCAAGTGGAGAACCATTGCCATCTGACCTCGCTAGCTTGTTCAAGTGAATAAGTTGCAGCGGCAAGGGCTATTGTTCTCACTCGTCTCTTTTACCGCTGGGCCTATCACCACAAGGCCCGTTCCAGATGCCCACACCTGCAATACCAGAAAACCTGCATGCAAGATACTTGCCGCCCAGCACGCACCCACGTCGCGCGCGCATCGCCCTGCTACTATCCCTCAAGTAAATCGAAGAGGCAATCTCCGTGCTTGGATCTCGCTTAACCAATCAAACAGCGCCGGCGCATTCCTGCCCGCTATATATTGGTATCCGCTAGTAAAATGTGGTAAAATGTAATGGTGAACCCCAACGCCAAAGACATGTTTTCCGCCGTGACAGGGTCATGAAAGAGAAGTGACGTGGCCATAACGTCGTTTCTCTATTGATGTGGGATAGTAAACATAAGAAAAGTGGGATATGGATAGTGATGGAGTGATGAGGTAGTTATGTCGTGTCGTGATTGATGATGTTGTTTGAAGATAATGTTGCGATCGGATCGCCTGGACCCGAGTAATTAGTTGAAGTGGCCGGGTTGGAGGGTGTAAGTCGTGTATAATGTAAAATGGTAGACATTTGACGAATGGGAATGCAAGCGTTACGGCCGAGCGCAAGTGCAGAGCTTGAAGGGGTCATGGAGTAGCACAGGACGGTTGCCCATGCTGAATCCAAGCAGTCCAGAAGCGGTGGTCTGCGCAACGATCGCGCATCTCTACTCGACCTTCCTCCTCTTACCGCGGGGTGCGGGGTCAATTTGCGGAAACTGTGGAGCTTTTGCGTCGACGGGTGTGCGACTGTATGTCACTGTCCGTGTAACAACTTCGCGCACACTAACGCGCCTTGAGCGGCTAGTCTTCTTATCCGCATCCCAGGTTTTGGGTGATGAGACGGCAGAAAACGGTGATTGGATAGACTTTGCGCTGGCTGGTGACCGTACTGCAGCGGGCGAATAGGGTGATTGGGGGATGTAAAGGCGGGGTGTCCGCGCAGAATGGGGTCGTGTGAAAGGTGATGGTGGTGGGATAGTGACCGTCTGGACCTTGGTTGGAGGTGCAGACATTGGCGGTTCATCCTTGGTGGTGTCGCATCTGCTGCAGCTGCTTGACCTTGAGGTTGTTGGCGAATCTTTGTTCTTAGTTTTGTCTGCCGGAGCCGATGTTGATGTGAATGATGCACTGGACGCCGATGATGTTACTGAAGTGGGGCGGCTGTCACCAAAGACAAACCTGGAGCTAGTACCAGTGGACATTGGGCTTGACAGGACAGGTGATAAGTTTTTGAGGAACTCGAGATAGGCTGTCGGTGGTGTGATGGGTGTCTTGAGATCTGAATCCTCCCGTTTGATATTGGCAAAGATGGGGGTTGTTGCAGAGGTGATCATGGGCGACCTGAGTTCCGAGGGGTAGGTTGCAGACATGGGTGTCTTGAGTGTAGATAGCGTGGGTTTGGAGTCGGTCGCAGCCATGGTGTTGAGTATACCGTTGAGTTGAACGAATGACTTGGATGCTTGTCGGTATTACTGCGAGCTGTGCTATGCCTTCGTCCACAGCAAAGTGGAAGAGTGAGAGAGCGAGGCCAGCAGACAGGTACTCTTTGGCGCCTGGGGAAGAGAGTGTTTATTGTATGTACTATGACACTAGCTTGGCGCGGATGCGCTGTTGTTGTTGGCCGCTGTATGGGTCGTATCCGGTTATTTTTGGGCGAGAGGAGTCCCAGCGTTCTCTAAGCGCCGAGGACTAGGATATGCAGGCCCCGTGCACAGACGAACACCTCCACAGGGATTCGATTCGCTGCCCAACGCTGAAACAAGATATGTGATTTGTTCGGCCCCTGCAGGTCTCGAGACTTTGACCGGCCAGAAGGTGCGCCTGATTCGCCGCGTCGCTCTCGGGTGTGTGATGTGCGTGGTCGCTGTGCGGGAGGCAAGCTCGTAATCTGAAGCTGAACGTGGCGACCTAGTAGTCTGCCCGGTAAGAGAATCTGAGACGAGCTGATGAGACGTTGGCGTCAGAATAAGGCGAAGTAGCAAGCAAGTCAACGTGCCTCATGAACGAATGTTGCTTGAAATAGATTGAAGCTGTGTGCAAGCTGTGCATCTTACCTCGCGGGAGCATTAGACGATTTTATGTCTTGCTTGCAGCCGCTGTGTATCTCTACGCTGCTTCGGAGGGCGCGCGCGCTTCCGTCTCATGCCATCTGCCACCTGGTTTACGTACAGACACCTGACTCTGGTTCGCCGTTGAAACATCACTACCAGCGCTTACACATGGGCCTTCCCGTGGATTGCGTATGCCTATCACGTTGCCTAAATCAACGTCTCGACTGCTACATGGTCGTGTATTCGGCGTCCCGCCTGTCTAATCTCTGTTACACTGTACATAGCTACTTGACCAATGACCGCGTCCTACGGCATACCATCTGAAGCCACGCGCGAACGCTGCGACCGTGTGGTCCAGAGGTATACTCAGCTATGCCGTCTTCCAACAAGGGCCGTAAGTTAGTCCTCGGGCCGCCTGGGCGGCTTACCCTACGAGGGCCTGCAGGTGACTGTTCTGATGTATCTCATCCTCTCTAATAGGGCTTACTGCATCGCCGACCGTGATGGTGGGATTCTGCCGAAGGGGAGATGACACATCATCCCAGGGCAGATGGCAAGTATGCTCTCCGAAGTAGACGCGACCATCAAAACGACGTGTTTTGGAAAGCGTTACGAATGGTTCCTGGTTTCTTTCGGCGGTTTGCTGATCAATGCAAACCATCTGGCATCTACGACACGCTCCCAGCATCTCAAAGTACTGCTGGCCAATCTGGAGGTAGCGCCAGTCGTCTTCCGCATATGGGTCTTCCAGCCCAGGCGGGTACGCTGGGTTCTCCGCAACCACAATGTTGGCTCTGAATACCTCTGCTTGCGCCGCCTTACCGCCCTCCGCTTTGATCAATTCATTCAGGCGGTTGAGGCTCGATCGTGATATAGTAAGGATGGGACTCTCATTTGCTAGCAAAATTGGCTTCGAAACGCACGCGCCGGGCGTAATGGGAACCGTTTCTGGAAAGGCGCCGGGTACTCGCATAGCGCCCGCTTTCTGGTATTTCTGCAGATGCGCTTTCGAGTGTCTTGAGATGGCACTCCCGTTGCTAACGGCAGGAAAGCGCGCAAGGTGGCAAGCCACTCCGAGAGCTCGCGTAAAGAATGACGATATGTCGCTTGCCCTATACGTTTTGGCTTCGATAGAATCTCCGCAGACCTTAGCTCTCGCTTCTTTGTATACGCTTTCGTCTGTAAACATCCGTGGATCCGCGGAAAGAGGTACAGTGATCTCATGCAGATCGGTATTGGTCTGTAGGGCGCCCGCCAAACTCACACGTAGCAATCCTTTCTCGAGGTCGATACTGGGACGTATGAGAGCCATCTTCGGGTAGCGCTTTTGGCTCAGTGCTGCTCCAGTGCCTTGATGGACCAAACACCACTCACGATCCCACGCAAGACCCTCTGGGCGCACCTCCCATGCTCTACCCGGCGGTACGCTGAACCCTGCGCAACTCTTGATAGGGTAGACAGATAGGCTTTCCACGTGCAAGCGACTTTGCGTTGGTGGCTCTACAGCGGCTGACATTATTGGAGACACATCTAGCGGCTGACATTCTTGAACGAAGAACTCGCTCACAAAGTCAACAAACTTGTCGACATCCGATAGGGTACTCATAGCTCCGAAGCTGACGCGTGCCATGCCGGTCGGTCTCGCACGCATGACATCGTTGTCGTTACCGCATCGTTGCCCGGCAGAAAAGTTCTCTCGCATCTCCCAGGGTGCCAATCCTAGTGACGAGGCAACACCACCAGGGTTGCAAAGCCCGCCGGTCCTGAGTTGGACGTTCTTGATTGCAGCCAACTTCTCCACCTCTGCATTACTTACCCAGCCACCGCATTGATTGCGAAGATTGAATGCAACAACTGGGCCCTGGGTAAGCGAATCCCCATAGGTGGAGGCCGGGTCTTTGTATACGTGGCAAACCTCTGCACCATTCCCGTGCCGTAATGACGAAAGTCCTTCGTACAGCTTCCGAGCAAGAAATGTAGTGTGCCTTGAGATTTGGTCCAATGATGTATAGAGCTCCTGATGGACAGTCATTGCGCTATCAAGCGCCATGATGTTATGTATCGGCAGAGTGCCATCTTCTAACCTCTCGTGTAGCGAGTCAACCTTCTTCGCGTGCCATTGCTCTTTCAAGCACACGACCATCTCGACAGTGCCGCCACCAAAGTAGCGTCTCTTGTCGAATACCGATGCTGATGCTTGCCTAACTATCAGAGCGCCGAGATCGGGAAAGCCAAACATTTTGTAAAGGCTCAATACGGTAAAGTCGGGGGCCTCGTTAGGATTCCCAAGGTCAAGAGGCGATGTCGAGACAAGTGCCGCAGCATCCAACAAAGTGTAGACATGCTTTCTGTTCCCCGTGCGTATACGGTGTACCCACTCCAACGGCAGGCGACGCCCGTTCATGTTGGATTGCGCTGGGTATGCAAACAGCTGTGCCGGTCCAACTCCAACGTCTTGACTGTCAATCCAGTCATTCACCTCGTTGTCCGAAGCGAAGCATCGATGCTCCTTCGCTGCCTCGCGCACCCCTATCAGACTTGTATGCGCATCCCTGTGGTAGCCATACCAAAATCCTTCATCCTGATCGCGAAATGCATCCATGACCAGCTTTATCCCGGCAGTAGCGTTGGCTACGAATACGACGTCAAACTCCTGAGGATCGGCATTGAACATTTGCAAGAGGCGCAGTCGTACATCTTCGATTCGTCGCGTCGTCAGTTGGGAGGCATTGGAGGCGGAGTGAGGATTGCCGTAGAGGTTCGCAATCATATCAGCAGAGAAGCGCTCGATCAGCGACTTGGCGTAAAGCGTGGTGCCGGCATGATCCAGATAAGTCGTGTCTGAAGGGTAAGTACACATCCAGCTGAGCAGCTACACAAACTCACCCTGCAACATGGGATACTCCTTGGCGCGAAGCTCTTCGATCGCACCGTTATAGCTAAGGTGTGTTGCCTCCTCCATCGTGCCTGGTGTGTTTCGTCTCAATCAGGAGCAACACTTTTCAGCCGTAGTCACCTGGAGCAGAGGAAGAAGGAGTAGAGTTTGCGAAGAAACCCATTTGTTCCTAGGTAAGCGGCGTGTTTGCGAGAGTGGGGGACACGCGATGGCGAATGGTGGAGTCGTGACCTTGGACCCTGCCTAGAGGGAGATACGCGGGCGGTCCCGATCGCTCGGAGGGCGCCATCACCGAAACCGTCTACACGCGACAACCACTATTTGCGTTTGACATCTCGTCAACTCCCTTTTCTCATATATTCCCTCGACTCGCAGTTGCTCTGCGACACCATATATCTGCTATGGGAAGCGACGCGAGTTGCATGTTTGAAGATGAACACTCCTGGAGTAACGCACCCGCTGCATACGCCTACCCATGTGCCACTACAAGGACCTTTGCGTACCCATCACGAAAATCGAAACAATATCAGACTATCTCACCACTACACCCAGAAAGAAGAAACTGCTAGCTTGAATTGTCTATAAATGCAGATATGGAGTTCGAAGTGCTGAAAAGAAGTTGACAATGGGACACCCCTCTAGCAGCTTCATGGTAGTTGCCCATCTGCGAGCGCCTCCGAGCTGAACGCGAAGACGAAACTGGCGCATGGCCCCCACGAAGACGTCTTGAAGATCACAATATGATCAACATCAACGAAGCTCAGTCGGTCATCGACAGAGACGTATGATTCTATCAGCCTCGCCGCCATAAGAACTTCTCGCAAGTCTTTGAGCTTTCCTCAGTATCGACCATTACACCGCACACATGCAGAAATGCCTAAGATAAGATCACCTCACCTTGGCACAAGGCGTACTTACTTTGACCCAAACTTTCTGGCGTGCACGAGGGACGATTTCACCGTCTTAGGACTGCGGCTGAGGTTTTATACGACTCGCAGCACCACTTTCAATATTGTGTAACGAGCTTCACGTCAGGTTATTGGCTACCTCGAATTTGGCCCCCAGGTACGCTTCGCTTGTTTTTTCGCATTCTTCGCATACTACGATGATTCACCAATAGCAATCCCGTGGCGTTATACACTTCATCCAAGTGGCGTGCCGAGGTAAGGCCTATTGGAGAAGTTCTAGGGACAGCGACATGTTGCCAAGAATTATACTATACAACCGCAGCAGTGGAGATGAAAAGGCTGACTTTTGTGATCGTGGAAGGCTGCCAGGAAGGCTGTCAGGCAGGCTGTGTTTATCGCATCCTCGGTGGCATGATAGTATAAAGTCTGGAAGGGCTGAGTGAGAAACATGATTTTGTTTCACCAGCAGATCTCAGCAGACATCTTAGTCCCGAAAATTCAACCCTCGTTTCTCGAAGACATTTCACACACTACTAGCAAACATGCTTACTCGCTCACTAATGCTACTGAGTGCCGTTGGGTACTGTGCACTCGCTGGGAAAGCGGGACCACTCAAGGGAGGATCTGGTGTCTCGCCCCGTCAGCTCGACGATTGTTTAACTCCAGGATGGATTCCAGTATGCCCTGGTAAGTCTTTCCTTTAGAATGAACTATACATCGAACTAACATGATCAGGCGATCTTCCATGTATCCCACCTTCGGGTACATGCTGCACAGGCGACTACTATCATCTACCAGGCGAGGAATGCCCCGAAGGATACTCTGAAGTCCCCCGCATCGATCAACCCAGTTCGCCTTCTGCTTCCATCACGCCAGCCCCCTCCGCCACTTCAATCCCAGACCCAGTCGTCGTCGACTACTCATGGTACACTTACTCATATACCTACTACTACTACTATTACTACTACTATTATTTCGACACCACTTACGAGATTACATCTACTGAGACGACATACTACACAACCTTCTCGTTCACAGCGACGGATGATGCGGCCGCAAGCTCTGTGTACGAGTCTTTCACCGCTGCTTTCGTTGAAGCTGTTCCCACACAGTCAGAGACGCCTACGCTTGGCTTTGTTCCAGCTTCGAGTGCAACTTTGGGACCAGTATCAACATCCAGGGTTACGCCGTCGTCGACGAGGGTGATTACTTCGTCCAGGGCGTCGACGTCCTCGGAGGATGCTACCTCGACTGTCGAAAGTACTTCGTCTAGTGCTACTCCAACCCAGTTCACCGGAGCTGCCACCAGCCTTCGTGCTGGAAGTGTTATAGTGTCTGGAAACGTCTTCGCATTTACACTTGGAGCCTTCATCTTGACTCCGGGTATGCTGATGCTTCTACTTTGAGTGTAATACTACGAGCCGACCGCGCCATGTCGAAATGGAGACATACTATGTGGGCTCTTGGGTATGAGAGCGATATCACTTGCATAACGCGTAATGACGGTTCAGATGGAGCTCCGCTCGCATGGTAGTAGAAGCCCTGGTTTGTATACATTAAATGCCATATATGTATTCTCTTATCTTGCTCGCTTTGGGTCCTTCGTAGGTAGCCGACGCGGCGGCAGCTCTTCATCATTAATCTGCTCGAAATCTATCCTCGTTTCCATGGTCTTTGTAATACGGCCATCTATAAGGATTGACTCCTCGCTCGTGTTGCCTCTTCCTCCACACAAGGCTTTGTGTTTTACCGGTGTACTACGCCCACCATACGTGAGGAGCTCGATTTGGCCGTTGGATCTTGTACGACTCCGTGAGTTCCGGTTGTTAGAGGCTGATTGACTGCCTATGGTACGCAGATAGCCGCTCCCATACGCCTCCGGCTGGCTGAAAGAAAGCGGCGTGTTCCTGAGAAGCGGTCGTATGGCTGGGGCCGAGGCGGATATGATCGCTACGTTCACTTCGATCTGTGACAAAAGGAGGATCTGCAAGGCGATTAGTATCCGGCAAAATGAATGTTCCCCTGCAGGACGACTTACGAAGATTGAGTCATACGATATATCTTTCGTAACATTGTACAACCAAAGCGCATATATCCTTACGATTGAAGCAATAACAGCTAGACCGCCAATCATGAAAACACCAAGTAGTGCCCATCTTCTCCTCGGATCTAGTTGCAGACTGCAAAAAGCTTTCAATGGCAGGAGAAAGATCGTGATATCTGTGAGAACATTTATGGCTCCAAGTGCAAAATAGGTAGCTCGCAGGTTATTGCAACCTTTGGGAAATGTCGGTGACCACGCTTGCGAAGGGTTGGGCCTGCACTCGAAAGCCTGATGAGGTTAATCACTATAATATCACTGCAAGCCGGAAGAATGTAACAGAATTCTTACGTTGACAAAAAGAACCACGATCGTGTAGACTGTGACAAATGCAGCTACAGACCACACTTTATATCGGAATTCTACCAGCTCAAAAATGCGATGGTACAGCGCTAATATGCTAGCCTTGACGAGGAACAGCGCCAAAGGATATACCAACTGGTAGAAATAGAAGTGCTTGAGAGTTGGAATCCTCATTGAAGGTACATCCAAGTACTTCAAATGTTGTCTATCACTGTCAGCCACAATTTCGACCTCCGTGAGATTCGCCATTCTTGCATACCCTGTACCCCAGCTGATATGATATCCATTCATGATCGCCATGCCAATCGTGACAAAAAGTGCAGCAACCATGAAGTAGTCGTCGAGTCCAACATTGCGGACGCGATAGAAACGACAGTAGAGCCTACATGGCCATCAATAAAGTGTACATCGACTCTCCGTATTTATCACAGGTACTTACCTGAGAGCCACCACAACAGTCGAAAGCAGGATGAGAATTCCAGTGGTGATCAAGAACATGGGCTGCCTAGATTCATGATCTGCACTGAAATTGGGCCCGATCATGGCCACATAGAGCAGGAAAAAGCGTTCGAACTTGAGACGGGTGACATCAACTAGAGTATGGTCGAGAGCCAGTAGGCCCTCAGCCGCACACGTCAGTAGGATGCCTTGTTATACATATATACAGAAATCACGTTGCACGCATTGCAATATGGCTCGTGGCTCATCAGGAACGGTCGTCTCCAGTTCTGTCGCAGTTGTCGGCCAACGCATATGTTTTAACCACCGGCGAATATCAGAGAGGATCTGAATCCATGTCTATACGTCGGGTTCAGGGCCCGCATCGCTAATGGGCTATTAGAGGTGAGTACACCGTTCACGAAGTAACAACATCTAGAATGGGAATGTGTAACCATTCTGTGGTCGAATCATCGTGTTTGTGCATGTCAGTATGTCGCGTATTGAGGACCTATCCCGAGAAACCATGACCACCCGCTGCAGCCGAGCAATCTTACCATCCCTGCTAGTGGAGTAACCGCATCTACGCCCGGCAGGCGGCAACAATTTCCCAATCGACACATTCGCAAACGGAGTGGCAAGCCATGTTCGAGTGAGCCTCCGGGAGCCGCGGACCTCTCGTCCCGCACCGTAAAGTTCCTGGGACGGGCGAGCCTCAAAAGCGTAGGCAAGATTGGGACTGGGCGCAGGATACAAGTATCCGTAGATGGGTCGTATTGCATGAAAGTATCTGTCGGTGTACTCGGCCAAGGATTGAAGATTGGGAAGTGAAACGAGAATACCTAGTTAGCAACAATGCACATGTAGAGTGTGACGAGATTACGCTTCTTAAAGCGAGAATAAGGTCTGGTCCCTTCCAGAATAGTTGGCGATTTGAGTTCATATGGCCAGGTAGCTTACAGACTTAGAGGGTAGATCAGGGCCACCGTGGTGTTCGCAATACTGGTCTGACACGCAACAGGGATAGATTGTCGGCAAACATATCTGCCATACTCAACAATGGTTCCAATGCAGCCGCGGGTAAAGGTCCAGAAAGATATTAGAACGATCTGACCGCAAATCTCGAGATCGGCTGTCGGCAGCCAGCTCGCACAGCTTTCTTATAAAACATACAAACAGTGTCGGTCACTAAAACCCATCAGCTACTTCAGGTGCCTACTTGGCTGTGGGTGTACTGGAAAGCTCTTCAATACGGCGCAGCACCTAAAACGATTCTCTTCTCGAAGGATTGGCACGTGTGACAACGACTATCGTCATCCACGTTTCATCCTCCAAGCGTCTGCTCGATCAATATGCGTCTTCTCGAACTCCTCCCTGTCGGCCTGAGCTTGGCACAATGGTCAACAGCTGCAGCCTTGCCTTCATCCACAGGGTTGGAAACATGCAAAAACCCACCTAAAAGGGTAGAGTGGTGAGATGACCCACCACCGTCCAACTCTGAACGCATCGCTGAAGGCTAGAACATAGGAGACAGCTATCAGTGCCACAGAAGAAATCATACATCGATGCGGTCCTGTGCTTGTCGCATACGGAGGCCAAATCTGGTCTCTCAGGCACCGTGAACCGATTCGATGATCACCAAGCCGTCCATATGCTACAAAAGCCTCAGATCCACTGGGTGGTATGTTAAGCCCTCTTCTTTCAACCTCTTTTTCGCAACCTTACACTCTTAGGGACATTTTCTCTTGTGGCACCGTTACTTCGTTGCAACCTACGAAAAGGCCTTGAGAGACGAATGCGGATACACCGGAGGCCAGCCGTAAGTTGTCCCCGTTGACAGAATATCTTCTCTCAATATAAATTGTTTCTGAACTAATCTGTACGCAGATACTGGGACTGGTCCCTGGATGCTGAACCTCGGAATGAAAACTCTACCCATGCCTTTGAGTCTGACATCTTTGACCCTGAGACAGGATTCGGTGGCAACGGCTATCCTGTCCAAGCTACGCCGGAACAGAACCGCTTAAACATTACAGGCAATACTGGTGGAGGCTGTGTGATGAACGGGCCATTCGCCCCTCCTCACTTTGCCGTGAATGTGCCCACTCCGCATTGCTTGAAACGTGACTTTGTTCCATGGATCATCAACAGGTTTGCAGATCGTAATCTGGTCGAAGAAGTCCTGGCACAGCCCGATTACACCAGTCTTGCAAGAACAGTTGAGAAGAAGCAAAGCTTCGATCCCCCAAACATTCATGCCAGCGGTCACTTCGGTGTTGGTGGCATCCTAGGGACCATGGGAAACGCAGCGGAGAGCCCTGGTGGTAAGCAGTTGCTTCCCATCCCCTCTGGTGTCGCTAGGAAACTGACTGATACATGGCAGATCCACTCTTCTATCTTCATCATGGAAACATTGACCGCATCTTTTGGGAATGGCAACAGAAGGATCTCGAGACACGTCTGAACCAAGTCGGTGGTCCCATTACACCCTTTGATTACAGTGGAAAGAATGTTACATTGGACTTCACCATCAACATTGGGGCGCTAGCAGGCGATGCCACGCTCAAGGATTTGCTGGATACCGAAGGCGGAACGCTTTGCTACACTTATTAGATGCCTTTGATAAAATTTCTGATAAGCTTCCGATTGTGATAGACATCTTCTGACCCTGTGCATTGGTATATTGTGGTTCTCCGTAAACGTCCGTCGTCTCGCTGCAGTCTCCTAAGCAGGTAGACATCGGTCTTGCTGGAAGAGTCCTTGATACTGCATCGAAGCTGTTAACATCTGCACAAGGTACAGACAATCCTTCAGCTACGCATGTCTGAGAAGACTGAGAATGGTATCTCTCCAATCTTTCTTTTATAACATATCGGCAGAGAGCCAGTCTCTGCGTGCAAATCGGGCGTCGGCAGTTCGCTTTCGATGTGTCTGAAGGGTAACCAAATACCTATAGCCACCCTATAGCGTATTGATCTCAGCTTCCCGAGCCTCCTTCTCAGCCAGTTTGGTGGCCTTCGCTGACCGCTCTTCCCTCAACGTGGTAAACACCCAGAACCATGCCGAAACCTCCATAAATCCCCATGTGAAGATGAAGCTGTTGTTCAGACTGGCACCGGTGCTCATCCTGAAGTCGACGCCCCTAGGAGCGAACATGCCTCCTTCCTTGAACATGTACGAGTATGCAGTGATACCAAAGAGAAAGAGGAGACGCATAGGTGCTTGTAGGCCCCAGAAATGGTCGAAAACGTCTTCGTGAAGAGAGAGGGCGGTTAGGTCGGAGAGGCCGATGAAGGCGAAGAGGACGGCTATGAAGGCCGTTGCTGCGGAGGTTTTGTTGAAGTCGCGGGGTGTTGGCTGACAGCTGTTAGCAATTTCAGGGAAAACATGAGTGTGCGGAGAGGGAACAGGAGTGCGCACAAGTTGCATTGATTCTCCTAGCAGGAGAACGACCCCTTGGTTTGATATCAGGGCGGGATTCTTGAGCAGGACGACTGCGAGTGTGAGGTGGAACAGTGCGATACTGCGTATCATGGTGTTTGCTGATATTATCGCCATGTCTGTGGATTGTGAGGTGAAGTATAATTCGAGAAACTGGCGATGTGCTTTGAGACGGTTGTGGCTCTGACGATGTTTTCAGCGTTCGCGTCGCGTGGTGTTTCCGGACCAAGCCCCTAACTCCGTCCGCGTCTCGTGCCAAGACCTACATCTACCTCAATGATACGGCCTCCCCTGCGCCATGTTTCTTTTTCCATCTCTGACCTCCAGTATTGATTATGGAGAAGATAAGAGACCTCCCCGTCAGCGAGAAGCACGCGCATGCACAGCGTCGTCCGTCTTCGAGACGGCGCATGTGCGGCGCTGATGACGTTATCTTCTTCGTAGTCCTCTTCCTTATCGCGTCGACCATATGGTTCTCGGAAGTCCGGACGTTGTTTTCAGGCCAAAAGCACGCATGTGGAAAGCCATTGACAGTTGAAGAAAGAGCTGTAAAGATCCTGCAGGAAAACCCACTTATTGGTCAGCTGTATGAATGTGATATCAAGGGCCGAATGCTGACTACCTAAGAGATGGCCATAATGACCTTATGATCTTCATTCGAGGCACATACAAGAATCACATCTACAACGAGTCCGGCAGCGACTTTGCAGACAAGTTCGAGAATGGCGGACTAGCGCAACACGTCGATATCCCTCGCCTTCAAAAGGGGCTACAAGGCGGTGCATTCTGGAGCGCATTTTGGCTCTGCCCACTGGGTGATCAGACGAACTTTGCGGATGACAGATACTATGACAGTAAGCTAGTACGAAACAACGTCCAGCGAGTATGCTGCTAATATATATAGTCGTCAAGGCAACGCTGGGTCAACTGGATCTGTTTAACCGCCTAGGCCAAAACTACCCAAAGTACTTCACTCCATCTAGGAACAGCGCAGAGGCTATCAAAGCTTTCGAAAGCGGCAATTTCATTGCCCCAGCAGCTATTGAAGGCCTGCACCAGATCGGCAACTCAGTCTCTACATTACGACTCTACTATCAGCTTGGAGTCAGATATGCGACTTTGACATGGAACTGCCACAACAAATATGCCGATGCAGCAATTGAGACTGGCTCCGACTTCAGCGCGCATATCGCGAAACCGTACTGGAAGGGTCTTAGCCCAGCTGGTCGCGACCTCGTAAAAGAGATGAATCGCCTGGGAATGCTGGTGGATCTTGCGCACGTGAGTCAAGATACTATGCGCGATGTCCTTGTAGGCCGAGGCGACGGGAATTGGACTGGTAGCATCGCACCCCCAATCTTTAGTCACAGCTCTGCACACGCAATCTGTCCACATCCTCGAAACGTCCCGGATGACATACTTCAGCTCGTGAAGCAGCGCAATTCTGTTGTCATGGTCAATTTCAACCCAGACTTCGTGTCCTGTAAAGCTTCTGGGACACCGAACTCATTCCCAGAGTTTGTTCCAGAGAACAATACCTTGGCGCATGTGGTGCGCCACATTAGGCACATTGGAGAATTGATTGGCTATGATCACGTTGGCATCGGCACAGATTACGACGGCATTGAAAAGACACCGAAGGGATTAGAAGATGTATCCAAGTTCCCCGATCTCATCGCCGAACTGTTGAGACAAGGAATCAGCGATGAGGATGCTGCAAAGATTGCAGGAGGCAACCTGCTTCGGGTCTGGGGTGAGGCTGATAAAGTAGCAAAGGAATTGCAGAAGACGACGCTGCCGTTGGAGGACGATGTGCAGAATCAGTGGGCATATCAGCAGATGTTTTGAGCACTCGATTTATCTAGTGCATGATCCGAGTCAAAGCCATGATATATCATGTATCCAACTAAACACGACAATAAAAGTCTCCGTAACATCGCAGTTGGGTTGGTGCTGTAAGCACGTATTCGCATGGTGAGGCGAACTGTGAGTGGCTGAGCTCCACCATACATCACACCACTTCTCTGCAGCCCAGGCCTTGGCGACGAACCACAACTTGCGACTACGGGCTCACGTACAAATAGGTACATTCAACACCGGATGATCAGATTGCGTTCCCATTTCCTTCTTATAGTCGAACGTCTACGACCCTCGCACTTTTACGTTTCTCACTACGTTACCTCTCGCAACATCAATCCACGTACTCATCTAACCCTACTCACATCTAAAATAAAAACAGAGTAGCAGCATACATGGCATCTCCCAAGCTAAAAACCACAATCGCAATCCTCGGTTGCGGAGATGTCGGCTCCACTCTAGCCTACACCCTCATCCTCCAACCCATCTGCTCAGAAGTAATCCTCGTGGATCTCAAAGCCTCCCTGCTAGAAGCTCAAGTCCGCGACTTGAACGACGCAACCTACCGTGGCGGCAGTGGCGTGAAAGTCCGAGCAGGCACTCACAAGGACGCTGGCCAAGCTGACATCGTCGTCATAACCGCGGGCGCGAAACAAAAGACTGGAGAATCACGTTTATCACTGCTTTCCAGAAACTTACATATCCTGGAAAGTATCTTTGGGGCCATGGCTCCGATCAGCCCGCATACGATTTTGCTACTGGTGGCGAATCCAGTGGATATCTTGACATATTTTGCAAGGAGGTTGTCTGGATTACCCGAGAACCAGGTGTTGGGGACAGGGACGAGTTTGGATTCTGCGCGGTTGAGGGGTGTTTTGGCAGAGAAGGCGGAGGTAGCACCGAACAGCATTGACGCGTATGTGCTTGGGGAGCATGGAGACAGCCAGTTTGTAAGTGTTCTTTACCCCTCTTTGCGGCGAAGAAAGGACTCAATCGAGGAAGACGTCCAGGTTATGTATATGCTAATGCAAGAGACAGATCGCCTGGTCAAGTGCTACAATCGGCACAACACCGCTCGCGCTTGCTCTCCCGCCAAACACATTGACTTCAGAATTCAAAAGCCAAATCTCGTCTCATACCCGAGGAGCAGCTGGTGCCATTATTGCGGCCAAAGGTTGTACTGCATATGGCATCGGAAACATTGCGGCTAGTATCTGCAAGTATATCCTATTCGACTCACGCTCTGTTCGACCATTGTCCTTCTACCAACCTGAGTTGGGCTGCTGTTTGTCGATGCCGGCAGTGGTAGGTCGGAAGGGTATCATCAAGGCGATGCCGATTCAGCTTGATGAGGAGGAGAGGGCGCAGTTGGACGCCTGTGCCAAGGGACTCAGGGGCGTGATAGAGGGGGCAGAAAAGGAGTTGAGCGCTGATCGTGAGTTGGAGAAGGCGTTAGCAAGTGACAAAGGAGCTTGAGAGACAGCTTGTTTAAAAGAGCTGCTGTATAGTGTATGAGAGATATGTATTACTTATAACATAGCTACTGATTAGGTCTCTTGAGAAGATACAATACACCATGGCCCTGACGACTTATATACACAAAAGTCACCCTTCGACCCCCATTACTCCACTGCCAACTTGATCTTCACAATCAATCCAAAAATACTTCCGACCTCGTATGATGCACGAACCGCTACTTTCCTGCTGTACATATCGACGTACGCTGTTCTAGTCCTCTTGACTGGATCGCGTACTGATAGAATGGTGACATTGCGGCTAGTGAAATACGCATTAGTATAGTGTTCGTTGGACATGTAGATGGGGTAAATTACTTACATCTCCGTTACATATTTAGCGAAGAAGGCACGGATGGCTTTATCATCCACATCAACAGCCAGGTTAGAGACGATCAGACGGGTTTTAAGGCGCTTGTTCTCCTCAATTGCACGGTATCTCTTCTCCTCCTCCAGAACATACTTTATAGTCGCTTCAAGCTTTTCGTTCTCCCTTTCGAGCATCGTTTCTTTTTCTCTCTGAGTCTCCTGTTCGCCTATGCCGTCACTGAAGGGTTGTGTGCACCCGACCTGGACATCCTTGCACTCAGCATCCCCAGGCTCCAATATCAAGGCAGCAGCAGGTGGTGTGTCGTCTGGCTGAAGATTTTCAACTGCGTGCTCTTGAGGGTTCGATCTCATGCTATTGACGGGTGTGTCCCTAGTGGTACGCTGGAAGTCTCGAGAGGTTGTATCCCATGGTGGCGAAAATACAGTCGCTAGCTCTTCACGGAGAGCCTTGAGGTCGTTGTCTTTATCCTCGGTGTGGCTTGCATTAGAGAATTGCTCGTCAAGCTCACCAAACGTGGATTCGATAATTTCAAAAACCTTGTTCTCATTACCGTCGATGCCCAGACGCCTAGCCAAGATCGATAAGGCGTCTGCCTCATCTATGCTGGGGCTTGTAGGTATGCCTTTCGGATCGTTGACGTGCTCAACGGCGGTACCCTTCATCAACGATGAGACACATTTCGTGTCTACCCGGGTGTTCTCTTGGCCATAGCTGTCGTCAAGCTCCTCATTCACATCACGACCGGAATGTTCTGGGCTCGACGATTCCAGCTCAACGAGCATCATCCTGGGATTCTCGGCATACTCCGGTACGTCACAGCCACGGAGACTGGTCTGTGTCCCCGACACATCTACTTGCGAGTCAATGAAATTGGACTGGATGTAATGACAGGATACGTATATGCTCACCCGACTGTCCCTCATTAGTGCCAGCCGTCATCGAATTGATCCCGACAATATCTTTATTGCTTTGTTTGACTTGTTCAAGATCGATATGATCGTCACCGCAAGCGTTAACTTCTGATAGCTCTGATTCAGCGGCGACAAGAGGCTTGCTCACAGGCCTGAATGTTGTTGAAATGGGCACTGGTCTCGACAGCCTTTGCTGCAGGTTCTGATCACGTCGCTGGCTTGCTTTGAGAAGAACGTCAGTGATGCTGGCGAATTGTTTACTGAGTAGACCATTGGCTGAGATCGCAGTGCTTTGGTCTCGTCGTATCATTCCGTTTGCTTTCTGTTTGCGTTCGTAAGCGGTGGATGCCTCGCGCTGCGGCATTGTTGGTTATTGCAACTGCTTTCCCTTGTATGACGTGTCGATGTTCAGCAGTAGCGATCGTCTCCGGCTCGGCCTATGCTTACTCGTGAACGGTGAGAAGGAATGATTGCAACTGTATGGCAGTCGATTAGATGAGTAACGCTAGCAGCCCGTTGGTGTGCCCCGATCAAGCTGGCTCGTCGCCGATTATCGAGGAAAGAGGTTCTGGTCGATGTAGAGATGCAGATGAGCTCGACTGGAGAGGTCGAGACCGGCAGATGTGAGCTGCTGTTGCTGGTTGAGGTGTACCAAATAGGAAGGCGCTACGTGGTAACAGCAAACAGAGAGCTTTTTGGATAACAAGGAAACATGAGAATCGTACGAGTGAGAAGAGTGGCCGTTCATACTGATCACTAAGAAATCAAGAGCCACAATCGAGATGGATACTGAGCACAGAGACCCATGTATGTCATAAGTACTTGTTACACGCCTCATTGTTCCTACAAAACTTGTTCGGCATACTAACAAATAAATCCCAGCTCTTTATCATTGCACAAGACAAAAGAGGAATAAGAACTGGAAGCCTACTCGACCTAAACCCAATGCTTTGGAAAGCGCATCCGCTACCCATCAGCCCACTCCATCGGAGGAGTGATGATCTACTGCTTCTTCTTCCCCGCGCCCTTCTTCTCCTCAGCCTGACGCTCGAATTCTTCAATCTCCTTCTCTTCGGCCCTCTTGGCGTACCATTGCCCAGCCTGCAGCACCAGCACACCCACCAAGACGAGCGCCAGAATCGTGTTACTAGCCGCAAAGACCCTCAACGTGTCCTCCCTCGAGATGTAATCGCCCATGTCCTCGTCTGTAATCTCTCCCGGGGCCGCTTTGTTCACGTCTCCGTAGATGCCTGCCGTCACGACCCTGAAACCCTTGACGATGTTGGTGAGGTATACGGTGATACCAGCCATGTAGAGAACAAGCGACGCGCCATCGAAGAGCATGTTGGCCTGGTTTGGCTTGAAGAGCTTGATAAGAAAGCCGAGGAGACCGGTGCCGATGGCTAGGTTGAGGATGCGCGACACGATGGGAGGAGAGGCATAGAGGAACTGGATGTGCGATTCAAGAATGTCGAAGTAGGTCGCTCGGTCGGCAGGCACAGTCCACAAGACATTGTAGTCATAAGGTAGTTGCGCAAACATGATTCCGAGGAAAAAACATGTTGCTGCGAGCTCGTCAGCAGGTGCATTCGGGGCGCAATTGAACGTTGTGGAAGTGGGCTGAGGCAGCATGGAGGGGTCTACTTACGTCCCACAACCATGAATTGCGCAAAGTTGTTTGCTGCGCCTTGAGCCATGTTTGAGAATGCTGGAGAAGGCGAATCTGTATGAATTTGCGATTGACGGGAAGATCGCAGGGAGATGCGAACAGCTGGCGCAAGCTTATCTGTCGGTTTCTGCCGCGTCGCGAGATTCGCTGTTGGAAGTAACCTCTTTAAGAAGGTAGGACCGTGGACGAGGCTTGTAGCGAAATCTCACCACATGAGTAATCAGAGAAAACGTGAGTTGTTGTGAGAGAGGGTACAGTGAAACAGGGCTGGGGGACTTGAGCTCTCCCACTTTTCGGTAGCGACCCCGCGAGGGTTCACCACGCACCGATGATGCTTGCTTGCAGACGGCTGCCTTGGCATGTGACAGCGACCCTGGCGCACGCGACATTCAGTAGACAACAATCAAAGAAGCATTGGTTCGTCGTTGCTTCATTGGAATTTCTATGCGAAGCTACAAACAGCTGCAAGCAAAGTAGACGCGCGCTCAACGTCGTTCGGATATCCAACGCCTTGGTACGCCGTAAACAGACACTACTACATCCAATGCCAACATTCCAATCCCATGCTCTAGAAGTCGTTATCAGCATCCATATCCTCATCCTCCAACCCAGCCTCGATAAAGACAAGCCTTGTGCCTTCTCCAGTTGTTTGCCAGACCTATCAAGAAGCATTAGTACGGTGAGCCTCCTAGAACATTGGACAGTGATACTTACGTCGAGCAAGGAATATTCGTCGATAGCTTGTTCAAACTGATCGGCTGTGAAGCCCTTGGCCAAAACCCTTTCCCTGACCCTCCGGAGATCAAGTTCACCCCTTGTGCCATCACCAACAGCAGCAGCACCGCTAGCCTCCATGGACTTGATGAGGTGGTAGATCTTACTGCTCGGCGTATGATCGATTCCGCGGTTCTCATCGGCATACAGACTGGCCTTGCTGACTTCGGTAAGGCGAAGAGCTTCGTCAACGTCCTCCGAAATGACTTGTTCGGCGAATCGTAGACGTGCCAGAGCCTGTGCAAGACGAAGTACACCAAGCAGCGTACGCGGCGAAGTGTGGGTAAAGGCCTTCTTGTTGCCGTCGTCGCGCTTCTGCTGTTGACGCATGCGGACGTAGGCGCCGACCATGTAGTCTGATACCTCCTTTGGCACGGTTGGTCGGTATGATCGTGCGCGAGCAACCCATTGTCGTACTTCGGCAGGGCTGAAGATAATGCCACCAGGGGCCTCGGGATGAGCATTATGCATGTGCACGTGAGTGACGTGACGAGCCAGCTCTTCGTCAGAGTCTCGCGCAGGGGTATCGAGGATAAGGAACAAGACATCGAAACGAGATAGGAGCGCAGCAGGGAGGTTGATGTTCTCGATTGGCGAGAGGCGAGGATTGTAGCGGCCGTATAGGGGGTTAGCAGCCGCGAGAATCGACGTGCGAGCGTTCAAAGTGGTTGTAATGCCAGCCTTGCTGATAGAGATTGTTTGCTGTTCCATGACTTCGTGGATGGCTGTTCGGTCGCTGTCATCCATCTTGTCAAACTCATCAATGCAGCACATGCCGTTGTCAGCTAGCACAAGAGCTCCTCCTTCAAGGACCATTTCATCTGTGACTGGGTCGCGCATGACGGCGGCGGTAAGACCAACACCACTGCTACCACGACCAGTCGTGTAGACACCACGGGGCGCTACTTTGGTAATGTACTTAAGCAATTGGGATTTGGCCACACCAGGGTCACCCATCAAGCAGACGTTGATGTCACCACGGATTCGCATACCGTCGCCGACCTCCTTTGTGACACCACCAATGAGCTGGAGGAGAAGGGCTTTCTTGACGTCGACGTGACCGAAAATTTCAGGCGCGATAGATCGCGACAGGTACTCGTACAGCTGACCAGTCCTTTCGAGTTCGTTCATCCTCCGCAGAGTTGGCTGGGCAAGCACAATGTCGTCGTAGGCCTTCTTGTGTTGCATGACATATTGGGCTTCGAGGTATGTGTCGGTGAGGAGACCGGCTCGGATTGCCTTGAAGCCAGTGTAGGGTGTGGGGAGGAAGATACCAGCACAGTCAATGACATCGCCGGGGTTGATCTGTCTGACGAGTGCGCCATGACAGTGGATAGTCAGCTGTCTAGGAATATGGCCAACAGGAACTTGATCGGCCATCTCTTGGATCTTGACTTCTTGGAATGGAAGGAACTTGGAGGCGCGGGTCGAGAGGAAGAGCTGGCCCTTGGTCTTGTTGCTCTTGCAATCGTCGGACGGGCACTCAACGAGAGGGGTGAATTGCTTGGTCGTCACGGGCTGGAAAACCTCGCTTCCACAGCGGTCGCAGGAGTAGGCATTGACCTGTACGGCAGGCTTGACGTCCGACACCCTGGTTGCAATACCGCGAACTGTGATGAGGTGACCCAGGTGCTCTCCGCGAACATTGCGGACCGCTAGCGCCTTTGTGCTGCGCTGGCTGCTGGAGCCAGACGGTATCCTGGGCCTGAAGTTGAGGGTGTATCGCCTGGTCAATGCAGGAGGAAACATGGTTTCTGGCGCAGCCTGTGAATTGTCGTCGACTCCCTGCATCTCCTGCTGTCTTTCGTTGCGCTTGGAGCGCTGCGTCATAATCACGTCCAAGACATCGTCTTTAAAGTCGAGTTCCCTGGTCGGTTGAGGCAGGCACTTGTCGACGGCTCGCGAGAAGATCTCGATGTAGTGGTGGGCATTGCGCTCGATGGACTCGACCAGCCTGTAGTTGTGCTCGTCGTCTGATGTCGCCTTCTCGTATGCTTCGACGTCGTTGAGGTCTATTTGGATCTCGTCGCGCACGCGATTCGCTACGTCTTGCAGTTGGTCCATGTACTTGAGCTTCGACTTGCTGCGGGATTGCGCCCCATTTCCGTTTGGCGCGGGATCGTCCGAGTCGTCCACCATATCGTATTCCTCTTCGCCATGGCCATTGATGTTCAGGCCCTCGAGCTGGTCCGCAGCATCTGTCGAGGCGGATTTGTAGTTTTTGAGAAAGTCAACAAAGGCAGCTGTTGGCTGTTAGCTGGGGGTTGTCGGTGTCCTGCCCGTGCCCGCTTACCCTCCTGCTCGTCATAGTTGACGGGCGCACTCGTGGTAAGGAGCGCCATTCTGTCTGGGGTTGGTGTGAAAGTACGTGTCTGGGCGTGGTGCAGTGATGCAGCGGGGAGGGATGCGCGGTAGCAAAATTGGGGCTGGTCGCGTTGCAGCTCCAGTCGCGTCTACCCGCGTTTCCAGGGCAGTCGAGCGATTGGACCGCCGCTTTCTGCCACCGCTTTAGGCCATCGGCGCCGACGAACACCCCAACCTCGGTCCGCATGCGAGCATCGGGAGCTTGAGGTATGCGCCATGCGATTGCAGCTGCAGCAGTGCCAACTTTCTTCACTCCTCGACTCTCGCCATCATGCCGCCCAAGAAGCCTGCCGGCAACGTTGTCCAGGCTGAGGTTGCCCTGCAACAGTCGCTCAAGAATTGCCTTGTCAACCTCCCGTCCTCGCTCGTCTCCGTACTCGTGAATGCGAACACGGTCGCCCAGAATGTTGTCGTCGAGCTCACATACCGCCAACCTCCACCACCGGGTGCCTCGGACAATAGGAATGCCGCGCCCAAGTCGGTTTTCGTGGGATGGACGGGCATGCAGAGCAAGCGCAGGATTGCGCCTGTAGTCGGGCGAGACGGCCTGAGAGGCAGTCCAGCAGTCAGCCAACAAGACCTGCCATCTGTGGAGGTGGATGCCACCTTCGCCAGACTGATCGGCCTGCAAGAGGGGCAGAAGGTAGGAATAATACTACACGTGGATCCTCCACAGGCGCATACCATCAACATCGAGCCCTTGACCCCCGTGGACTGGGAGATGATCGAGCTGCATGCCCAATTCTTGGAATTGAACTTCCTCTCTCAGATACGCGCACTCCCGAACCCCCAGGCTGGAGCGCCCCATCCTCTTACGCTGCATCTATCCCCTACAACGACCGCAAACATAACCATCACTTCCATCGCTCCTGCACCGGCCAACACATCCCTCTTCGTCAAGATCTCGCCTGACGCCGAGGTCATTGTCGCGCCTAAGACAAGACAAAAGGAGAGGAGCTCAACCCGGGAAAGCAGGAGCGTGGGCGCTGCCTCGAGAAAGAGCGGAAAGAGCACTGCGAGTACAGTCCGCCGGCGCAGTGGCCGCGAGGACGCTGCAAGCAAGGGGGTCATCTTCTTGCGCGGACTCGATCGCAGTGTGGCACAAGAGTGGTTCGATGAAGAAGAAGACATAGACGCTGGAGGGCTGAGAGTGTGGGTGGACAAGGATGTACTACTCACCAAGGCTCTCAGAGGCGCCAACTGGGTCTCTGTATCAATCATCAAGCCCGCAGGACTACAAGAGCCAGTCGACATGTCCAAGGAGCAGGAGCAGGAGAAGCCTGCGACACGCGTCGTTGCTAAGATCATGGCATGGGAAGACGCGCCAGACAGTCGGCATGTAGCCCTTTCAACTGACCTCTGCAAGGTCCTGGGTTTCGAGAACTTTGTCGGCGGTCTCGTCCGACTCGAAGGCGCTCCAGCTCAAACTCCCAAACCGCCAGCGATCAAGCCAACGAAGGAGTCTAGAGAACCCATTGTCAAGTCCATCAAGATCATCCCCTTCTCCACTGTTGCATCACAAGTCAATGCCTCGTTAAAGTTTGGTGGCGAGTCTAAGCAAGATCAAGAGAAAGCGATAGAAAAGATCAAAACAATATACGGGAAGAAGAATGGACTCCTTGACGGGCCAGTCACGGATGGGATGATACTGCCTGCGCCTAAGGACTCCGAGCTCAGCTGGCAAGGAGGCATTGTAAGGTTTGAACCACTAGCACCGACAACTGGAGTCTCATGGGTGCTTTTCCCTGAAAGGAAACCACCGCTTGAGATTGGTCAGGAAGTGTCAATGCCAACAAGCTGGGCTAAAGGCTGGCAGCAAGGTGATCCGCTTCCACAGACGCCCGCAAATCTGGTTGGCATAGATCCTCTTATCCAGCAACTTCGATCACATCTAACGCACAATTCTTCCGTTCTACTCACTGGTGGTTTGGGAGCAGGAAAGTCGGAATGTGCGCAGCTACTTGCCCACCAACTTCGGACTGAATATCTTTTCAACACCATATATTTCCCCTGTCGCAAACTTGTAACGGATGAGACACGAGTTGCAACTATCAAAGAGACTTTGAACAGACTGTTTGCTTCAGCATCATGGGGCGCAAGAGGGGGTGGAAATGCTGTGGTCATTCTGGATGACCTGGACAAGCTATGTCCTGTAGAGACTGAGCTTCAAGTTGGCAACGACAACGGACGAAGTCGACATGTCAGCGAGTGTCTGATCAATATCGTCAGACAGTACTGTTCCATGGACTCTGGTGTAGTGCTGCTAGCAACTGCGCAAGGTAAAGAGTCCCTGAACAATGTCATCGTTGGTGGACATATCGTCCGCGAGATTGTCAGTCTCAAAGCGCCCAATAAAGACGGTAGAAGGAAGGTCCTTGAGGTGCTCGCCTTCAAGGATGCTAAAGTGGAGCAATCCCAGGAACCAAATGGCCATGCTTTTCCACCATCACCATCAGAGAGCCGACCCAGTACCGCTCACCGCAGTCAACCTAGCATTGACAGCATACCACAGCAACCCTCTGACGATTACGCTTTCACCATCGATCCCACGATCGACTTTCTCGATCTCGCCGGCCAGACAGACGGATACATGCCCGGCGATCTTGTGTTACTCACATCGCGCGCCCGCAACGAAGCGTTGATTCGTTCAGTCACATCTACGTCCCCTACTGTGTCCCTCACACGAGAGGATTACAGTCAAGCTATTACCGGCTTCACCCCCGCCTCCTTGCGAAACGTCACATTACAATCTTCGACCACAAAATGGGATTCCATCGGTGGTCTGCACACAACGAGACAGGTTCTCATGGAAACCCTTCAATATCCTACAACCTACGCGCCCATTTTCGCAAAATGCCCACTACGTCTTCGATCAGGTTTACTCCTATATGGCTACCCCGGATGTGGCAAGACTCTCCTCGCATCTGCAGTAGCAGGTGAGTGCGGTCTAAACTTCATCTCGGTCAAAGGGCCAGAAATTCTCAACAAGTACATTGGTGCTTCCGAGAAGTCTGTACGCGATCTCTTCGAACGTGCGGAAGCAGCGCGACCCTGTGTTCTCTTCTTTGATGAGTTCGACAGTATCGCACCGAAGCGTGGACACGACTCAACAGGTGTAACGGACCGTGTTGTGAACCAGCTTCTCACCCAAATGGACGGAGCGGAAGGACTTTCGGGTGTCTACGTCTTGGCTGCTACGTCGCGGCCTGACTTGATTGATCCCGCGCTCCTTCGCCCGGGTCGTCTCGACAAATCCCTCTTGTGCGACATGCCGGACGTAGAAGAACGGATCGACATCCTGCGTGCAGTAACACGTAAACTGCACCTCGCGCCCAGTCTCCTAGGCGACGGCCACGAAGGCGAGAATCTGCGCGAAATAGCAATGAGAACAGAAGGCTATTCCGGTGCCGATCTCCAGGCGGTTGTATACAACGCGCAACTGGAAGCGATTCACGATGTACTCGGCGACGTAGATCCCTCGAAAATCGACCACAACAAGAAAGACGGAAGCAGCGGTACGGCAAATGGCAAGGGTATTCCTGACTTTTCTTACTTCCGCTATGGCGACGATCCTACATCTTCCAACTCCAACTCCGCCTTGGCTACATCTGCTCAGCTCACCGAACGTGCTATGATTGCTCAGAAGATATCTGCGCTGCAGGCTCTGCGCAAGAAACAGAAACAACTTCAGCGTTCCGATGGTTCATCACAGAAGGAAGATGAAGATAGAGCGAGTAAAGAAGAAGAGGAGGGGGATGAGAGAAAGGATCCAGAGATCCAGTGGAAACATATAGAGTCTTCCCTCTCTAGTGGACGGAGCAGTATCTCGGCGCAAGAGCGAATGCGTCTTGAGAGGATATACAGGGAGTTTGTTGATGGGAGGGACGGTGATTTGCCGAATGGACAGGGAGGGAATGAGATTGGGGGGAGGAGCAGTCTCATGTAATTTACGTGTGTAAACATTTTATTCAAGGTATCGATAAATGTGTCATAATAAGTTTGTGAGTCAAGTAGATGGCATTTGAAATACCCACGAGCTCATCAATTGGTATATGCACAATAGGCGTCTTCTGCTCCGACATGCACTTCTGCTTTATCCCATTTATTTCGGAATGACGCCCTTGACATCCTCGGCGACCTTCTCGAGCTTCTGCTCCGCCTTTCCCACCATACCCATTGCCTCATCCTTGGCCTTATCCGCCTTGCCCGCCAGGCTAGCTTCCCGGCCGCCGAAGTTCCAGTAGTTGAGGTATCGGTACCCTTGAACGAGTTGCGAGCTGAAGTTGATGGCGTGGCAGCCGAAGAGCAGGTAGTTTGCTGGTGTTACGGCCATGGCGTAGCGCATGAATGTGCCGGAGTACAGGGTAAGGGCGCCGGTCATACGGCCGGAGATGCTGTGAGGAGGGGTTAGCTGGAGTTTGTGGGAGCGGAGAGTCTGGGTAGGGAAGGGTGAATGTGGGAGCCGCAGGATAGGGCTGGACACATGGCTTATAGTTTGAAAGGTTTGGATAAAGGTGAAGAAGGGAGTTGAAAGGTGTAGAACGTACATCTCAGGATCTTTGCTCATGTCCGCAATAGCCGCAATCGGGATACCAAAGTTACTCGCCGGGCCCCAGAAATCTACCTTTACGTCAGCGAACTGCTCTTTCTCTCTGCAACTCCTTCATTGTATCTTCCAGATGTCATCCTCTGCGCACCCTTTCCCAAGCTCTTCCAATGCGCAGTGCCCTCACAACGAGACGGGTGTACATACGAGTCGAGCAAAAGTAATCCGTGTACGGGTTGGAGCGAATCTTCGCATTGAGGGCTTTGATCGCGGCGGCCATCTTGACTGATTTACCGGGAGGTACCGAGGAACCGAGTTGCGTGCGGATTGACGTGAAGTTCGTGGGTCAGTCGGTCGCAGTTTGCGAGTTGCGGACGCACGACGGACGGTTTAGATGCCAAGCAATAATTGGGGCCGAACGAACAGGGACCGGGAACCGCAAAGGGCTTCCGACAACGGGAAGGACTTCACGTGCACATTGATGCAGCCGGAGATACGAGGAAATAGAACAAGTGACTGGAACGATTACACATGGGTCACTTTTGTACGGTCGGCGAATTGCACGCTACCTCTCTAGTGTTGCATAAGATAGGGTATGAAGCTAGGGACTCATTCATCTCACTATGACAGACACTCAAGATATGGGTACATTTGGACTTGGATGATTGGAGCTACAGTCATGTCTTATGGTGAAATGATGCGACTGTTTCTTGTGAATGCATTTAAGCCAGTGGTATATTTCCTGTTCCTCAACCAAATCTCAGTACACTTTTGAACTTGGTATCTCGCTCTGCCGGTGCTCCTCACAATCGCTGATTGTAACGCAATTTAGGGATACGCAGTCCCTTGCGACGTGTTGGACGTGAGTTTGGTCCTCTTCCAAGGTATCTCCTGAGATGTGTGGTATGGGCACGCGCCGTGTTCGATGGTCCAATGCCAAATCTTTCTAGCGATATTTCATTATGATCGTTCATTGTCCTTTTATCTGCCACCGAAACCAGGAGGTCCACCACGACCAGGGAAGCCGGGCGGTCCACCGAAGCCTGGTGGTGCTCCGAATCCGGGAGGTCCACCAGCGGGAGGGAATCCAGCTGTAGATGGTTAGCAGGTGTTCTCAAGATATGCTCAAGGGGAACGTACGTGGTCCACCTGGAGGGCCGCCACGACCAGGGAAGCCAGGCGGGCCTCCGAAGCCTCCAGGTGCGCCTGGGAAACCGCCTCCGAACCCAGGGCCGGGGCCTCCAACACCAGGAGCTGGCCCAGTAAGACCGACTGGGAGACCACGTCCGGCAGGACGAGCAACACCGGGTCCTGCAGCCAGCGCGGCAGCAGTAGATGGTCCTCCAGCGCTCGCGCCAAGTCGCGCGGCAGGGTCTGCAGGCGGTGGTCCGTCGACAGATAACGAGATTACATGCGCGCCACGAATGATGGTAAGTCCAATTGCGCGTCGCTCTTCAGTCTCGGTGACTTGCTGGGTTGCGCCGGGTGCGGCCTTGCCCCTTCTTCGTGTGCGTCGGAACTCTTCTGTGTCGGCGAGAACGAGGTTCATGTGCTGCAGAGCTGGTCAGCAGAGTAGAGGGGGAAACGGCGGGCGACGCTGACCTTGTCGAATGCGAGCATCTGCCCGACCATTTGTCTGCCATCCTGCAGAGTAACTTTCATGCGGTAGTTGATCTGGTTCTGTGAGTTGCATGCGACTATGAGCGGAATCTGGAGCGCTTACTAGATTTTGCTATATCACCAGGCGTCAGTCAGTTTCTATGCGCGTCTTCTCTCAGGCCAAGGACTCGAGCTGCTAGGCAGATTTACTTACCATCTTTCCCTGTCGGTTTGCGGCGCCAGACATGATTGGTAGTGCGCGTCCGAGGACGACTGGAAGCTCAGAAGACGGGTGGGTAAGAGTATGGAGAGATTGTCCCCTCGACGTTGGCAATGGGCGGGGCGTATAGAGCTGTTTGTTCGCGATCAAAGAGTTCGTAGCTACCGCATCGCGGCCTGGCACGTGCACGGCGGGCTTGGCTCGCTTCGCACACATCCGCTCCCAGGTGCCAAAATCATTTTACCGCGACTTCAACACCAGCGACACGACAACCCACCCAACGACTACTAACCTCCGCAGTCATCACCATGGTACGCACCGCACCACCATCGCCAATTGCTCTGCGCAAACTAACAGCCATGACAGTCCGACTCCAAGGCCTCCAACCCCATGCGGGAGCTCCGCATCCAGAAGCTCGTCCTCAACATCTCCGTCGGCGAGTCTGGTGATCGTCTCACTCGTGCCGCCAAGGTGCTCGAGCAGCTGTCCGGTCAAACTCCCGTCTACTCCAAGGCCCGCTACACCGTCCGTACTTTCGGTATCCGAAGGAACGAAAAGATCGCCGTCCACGTCACCGTCCGTGGCCCCAAGGCCGAGGAGATCCTCGAGCGTGGTCTCAAGGTCAAGGAGTACGAGCTCCGCAAGCGCAACTTCTCAGAGTCTGGCAACTTCGGTTTCGGTATCAGCGAGCACATCGACTTGGGTATCAAGTACGACCCCAGCATTGGGTATGTGGAATCTGGATCCTGAGTGAGAGAGGGAAACATTGGCTGACTGGAGCAGTATCTACGGTATGGACTTCTACGTCTGCATGACCCGCCCCGGTGAGCGTGTTGCCAAGCGCAGGAGGTGCCAGAGCAAGATCGGCGCTTCCCACAAGGTCAACCAACAGGAGACCATCAAGTGGTACAAGAACCGATTCGAGGGTATCGTCCGATAAACGTATCGTCGATTTGGGGGGAAAGGAACGAAGTGAAGATTTTGCACGATCACCAGCATTTTCGGTCTCGGGGGGTTCGGTCCTACGGAGTCCTGGAATGTATCTTACAAAAGAGCAAGCATTGAACTTGCGGCCTATCAATGGAGCGACCTTGTCTCTAACGAGCGGGTCTACGATCACAAAAGCAATGGAGGCTTCACTTTGGTGAATGTTCCGCATAACCATTGTGTGATCATCCTCATGCTCTTTGCTGTCGCATGTGATGTGTCTGTTTGTGTTGTACTGACATGACAGGGTCCGACTAGTACACCCAGATACCTCAATGCCATCAACACTTGATCTACATGTCTGTGCTGGACGAGTGTGATGGCTGTGCATTACGAGATTTAGGTCACGATGAACATTCCGTCTAGATTCGCAAGCGACACCTCTACGAAGGCTAGGCCCTCCACATATGACAACGATTCATGAGTATCTTGTCACTTTATGCTTGCATGCTCAATGGATAGACGTCTTCTGATCGTGACGATGTTCGTCCTAGCACTATCTCTTTACACAAAATGATCCACCTAAAACTAGTCATGTAGTCATGGTAAATACATGATAAATATATCGTCGTTGAACATATATCCTCAAGTCCACTCGGTGCTCAGCCACGCCATTGCGTAATCGCATGTTCATGCGCTGTGCCACAGGCATCCCGAGCGTTAAAGAGAGCTGGGCGGTTGCAAACCCTGTAGGCCTGTTCTGCGGCCTTGGATCACAGCGGAGTAGTTTGGCGTGACGCTCAGGCTGTGTGCGTGGCGTAGTGCTTGACATTAATTGTGAGGCGTGGGTTTGCGTTAATTTGAGAGGGATTGGAAGATGGTGGGAGTAATGCAATGGTTCGATAGACACGTGACGCAAAAGGAAATAATGTCGAAGTCTGTGTTACATTATGTATTGAAGATTGTAGTAGCATCAATCACGACATATGCACAAAAAGAACAATGATGTACGAAAGGCAAGATCTTGATATTGCATCTAGCATTCTCAGAGATCGCGATAAATCTTATTCTACTCTGTTCTGTTGTAGTAATTCCACAACCCCCATGTCATACAACGAGAGGCGTAGTGAAGAGGCATTTTACTTCAAAGGTATCTTAAAATCCCAGCCCAAGAACACCGACCAGATTAGCGATAGACAGTAAAACAAAGGAAAAAATAAGCCCAGGCCGAAGCCTCGCTTGAAAAGGTGGAAGAATGTACATTTCCTGATATCGTTTCGCAAAATCCATGCAACCAGATTCCAGATTGATTGAGAAGAGAAAGGGTACGATGCGCGCTAAATCAACAAATCAACATACACACGCGCGAACAGCAAGCTCAAAAGCTTATCGCTGACCGGTCACTGAAGACCCAAAGTCAAAGCCAGTGGGCTGCTGTTGCTGTGGTGGTGGGTATGAAGGCGATGCTAGCGGTGTGTAAGCACCGGGGATGGGAACAGCAGCATACTGCTGTTCACCTGGTGCGGCATCGACGTGATCGTTCCTCCTTTCTTGGAATCCTGGGGATGGTAGTGGTGGCGATACGGTGCCAGTCCGTACTGGTGCAGAATCGAAGCCGTCTTGCTCCATTCTTGGTGTTGCACCAGTGACCTTGATAGGCGGCGCCTGGAGGGTGAATGGCTGGGGTTGGGCAATCTCGCGCGCGTATGCGTACTGCACCTTGTCGCTCTCGCCAGCTTCCGCTGCAGAGTGCGGGTCAACGTACATTGGGTGGCCTGGAGGTGGGCGCCAACCGCCTGAGCGGGGAGACATGGGACCAAAGCCAGGGGTATTGGGTGCAGATTGCGAGCGGAGCTGGGCAAGGTAGAGATCAGATCGGGCACGGTCGCGCATGGCCATGGACTTGCGAAGCTTGCGCTTGGACCAGAAGCGGTAGAAGACGATTCCGTAGATGGCGATAACAAGAACCTCGATTACGACTTCGATGATGCAGCAGACAAGCGCCCAGTTCTAGTAGATTGTTAGTACCTGGCTTCCTTTATCGTAACAAAGGTATTGTGCTTACCTGGAGACGGCAGACAAGGCCATAAGCAATGTCGTCTTCGAAAAGGTGTCGTCGCTTGTTGTCAACGCAAGACCAGCCCCACATATCCTTGTTGTTGTTCTGCGCTTTACTTTGGTTGAACGCGGCTGCACCAACACCCCACATGACGATACTGAAGATGAAAAACCCGACAGCAAAGACTGTGTAGTACGCGGCAACCTTTTCAGCCCGATGATGACCTCCTCTCCAGTAGGCGATGATGACGAAGATGGACATAACCAGAGAAACACAGGCGATCGAGAGCAAGAGGATTTGAGGCCAAACTTTGGTGTTGTCGGCCCATGGTGGTAGGCCGTTCCTTGGCGCGAGAGTCTTTGTGGCGTTGAAGATAGCGAAAGCACTTGCAACCATGGCAAGAACAATGAGCGAGCAAGCAAAGTTGATGCCTCGCAGGAAGATTTTAGCTAGTCGAACACGAACTTTGATTTTCTAGGTATTGTTAGCAACTGTACTGAACTCAATATTGACCACAGACGTACCAAGTCCTTTGCTTGCTCCCTGTCCGTCAATGCCTCCCGCTTCTCAAGCTGATGCTCTTCCCGAAAGGTAGGGCTCATGATTGACATTGCACCACCTGGTGTCCGTGGAGGAGCGCCAGGCGACTTCAACGCGCTCTTGAGGGGAGTCTTTGGCGTTGGTGGAGGAAGGTACCTCCGATCGGTCTCTTCCATCTCGACGGATTGCATGTAGCCGAAGCCTGTATCTGCGATCTGAGGTTGTGGCTTGTAGTGGTTGGTTGGGTACTCGAGAGGTGACCGAGGAGGATCAACCGGCGAGTGGACTGATGTTGCTTCGGCGAAGCGTGCTGTGCGTGGTGTCCTGACGTCGAGAGAGTCTTTGGAGCTTCGTCTTTCAATCGTAATCTGGGTAATCTTCTTATCGTTGGCGGCCATTCTAAAACTTTCCAAGGTTCACTCGAGGAAGTTGGAGGCTTTCATGTAGTGGAGACGGATGAGAGACAGGTAGGAATGTGCAACAAAACGACAACGACTAGAATCCAGCCCAGCTTAGACCAGTCGCAAGAGGTTAAGAGAGACACTTGATAAAAGACGCACGACGTATTACAATAAGAGACCTGCTGGAGAAAAGAAAAGGTCTGGCAATGGGCGAAGCGCTGGGCTTATAGACTCGGGGCGCTTGGAAGAGGGAACGGTCGAGGATTGGATAGTGGGGGAGCACGGATGGTAGCAGGTGGAGAAGGTTGCGATGGGAAAGCGGGCGGGTACTTACAACGTTCTAAATGTATGGCGCCTAGAAGAAGGCTGCTGGGAGTACTGCAGGTGGCCGTCTGATAGGCTGTCTTGGGAGACGAGCTGGATGCCAATGGCGCGCAGAGGAGAGAGGGGAGTGGTGGCCCAGAAATAGACGCCCGGGTGAAGTCAATAAACGATTTACAAACGATGCGCATCCAGGCCTGAACACTGCAGCGGGAAGAAGCTGGTTTATGGGCAAGTCTGACAAGGTGCTTATGCTGTCTGTCAGCGTGGCGATGGCTGTTTATCTCCCACGGCTGTCAGATGGGTCAGTCGTGCGTGTCTTCTCTTGCGCCTCGAGCCGTTGCGAGGACCCTCAGAGGTATAGGAAAAACGAGAGACGGGACCATGCTACCACGCCTCGTGCCCTCGGGAGCGAAGTCTGCCCAGCGAGTTAGCGTCGCGGTCGGCAGGGCATAGATTTGCTGACACCCAATAAGTGCAAGACGTTTGACGCCTGCAAAACGCGACATGGTGATTGTCGCCGGTGAGTGGTTGAAGGGTGCAGGGACAGTGCATTAAACAGAGTGTGCGCTAGGGCACATTAAGCTTGCGGGAAGCGCGCAGGATTATCTGACGACCAATGGCGGCGGGAAGGAGCTCCCAAGACGAGAGGGAAGGCGCCGCCCCGCTTTGATAGCGGCCCACACCACCGTCGAGTCCAAAGCCGACTTCGACTCTCTCCAGCACCGCAAAAGACCAGACGCTGTCGCACACTCGGTCCAACTTGGTGACGCCAGCTGCAACGACATAAAGCCATCCGCGTGTCCGCTGCCACTTCATCAGCAGCCTGTCTGGATCAATTTCAAGACGCCTTGGCTGTAAGCAACTGTCAATGCCGGTACGTGGTGATGTGAGCGCTGCTGCATCGTGTGCCCAGGGTCTTCTGCGCCTATCAGAGCCGTCACCCAGCTAGAGCCTGCACGACCAGGCACAACCTATGCCAAGTCTTCTCGGATCGCCTCGCTAGCACCCCATCCAGACATTTGCCTGCATTCCCTCGGCCCTCTAACTGTCTTGAGGTAGTTTTGTTTCGTTTCGTTTCTTGCTGCACGGTTATTTTGGTCCACGGCTGCATCGTGGGGTAGTATGAGACCATAGCAACGATGCTGCACGCTGCCAACAGGGAACTATCGTCCTTCCGCTGGCGCATCCGAATAATTCACGAGGCCACGTTGATCTTGGTGGGTGGCATCGTTGCGTGAGTGTATCTTTCGAGCGAAGAGAAGCTACCATGGGCTGCGCCCATTCCGCCGCACCGACTACGCCCCAGGGCCGTCCCATCGTGCAGATGCCCATGGTGCAAGCAGTTATCGGTCTCAGCTCACTCTACCTCATAGTCGAAACAACAACGCCCTTCCACGAATGTCAGAGAGCACGAGTCTGAGCCAAATCTCTGCACTCTACAGCCCAAGAATATTCCCATCTCCCTTCGCTTCATCGTGCCGCCTGCACTCGCTTTTGCCACTCCTACTTGCCGTGCTAGCAGCTAGGTCTTACCAACCTCCCATCTTCATCAACCTAATAATATCCTATTTCATGCATATCCTCATTCCCATGCCGATAATCTCACTACACTGGGACCATCCGTTCCCCACCGGATGCAAGGTGATCAGCCGGGGCCTAAACGGCCGTGTAACCGGTTTCGAAACAATTTTACCTTCTTTTAGTCTCGCTTCCTTTTCGCTGGGAATACCTCATTCGAGTGCGTCCTCTTCCTTGTCGCTTTGATATTGTTCGTGCAGGAAGACACACTGCTTTCTGATGTATTTGTCGTCACTGGGGCCGAAAACTTGTGTGGTCGTACGACACTTTGGCCGATTCTGCCTTTCCTCTCGCTGCCCTTCCAGGAACAGTGGTATTAATAGCCATATGTGACGGAGACTACATAGGGCGATACAACATGGATGTCGGAAGAAAGAGACGTGATAAAAGTAGAAGTTCGACGTCAGACAAGAAGATGCAATTTTAGTCAAACGACGAACCCCATTGAGGGTAGGTAATGAATACAAGGGCACGATGATGCTTGCTTGGAATTTTTACAATGAACTGACTAAAGGACGAGGACAAGAATGACGCAGTGGGTTCATTCTCGCACTCTACAGATAGGCTCGGATGCCAAGAGGACCTTAGTATTTACAGCTTCAGCATGGAACTAACTGAACTTCCTGTCCATTCCGGCATTTTTAGCGTAAAAAAGCGGATCAGGAACCAACACATCCTCCTCATCGCTCGATGACTGTTCGCTGACTTGATACCTGTCCAGCTGTTCGTTTGCGACTCCTTGGCACGCGAAGCTGATATCCGAAGTTTTTCTCTTCTTCCCTACATGTACACCGTCTAGAGTCTCCATCGCCGTTTGCTTGAATGACTTACCAGCTTCGTACGCAGGACCTACAAGTCTCCCGCGCCAATGTATTGTGTAAGAATCATCGCTTTCGTCTACCTTTTCTTTCTCACTACCCTTGCCAATTCTCTTCGAGGGGCTAAGATGGATTGTCGGGAAGTGGAAAGCTCGTGGCGAAGGCCGCCTGTCCTCTTTCTTACTCTCATGGATGCTAGGCGGTCGAGGTAACGGAGCGCCGGTGCGCGTAACGGGAAGTGACACGGCAGCTGCAGGTCCGCCAACTCCACCGCACTCTGCAGCGACATTAACTGCGATACCTTCGCCCAATATCATTAGTGGACCAGGATGAGAGATCTTGGACTTCAAGGTTTGAGGTGCCTTAGAAGGCGAATGCTTCCACCACGTATGGGCCGTCTCTTTCTCAGTGCACTGTTGAGCATCTCGTGATGTTCTGTCCTTGGGATTTCGTACCTTTGGAGGCGCTTGTATCGGTGGAACAGGAGGAAGAGGTTTGTTCAAATCGACAATGCGTTGTACATGCTTATGAATAGCTACAGGCACGTCATAGCTCGAGCTGGAGAAGCCGGAGTCTCTTCTCAGATCCGGACTCCCAGATTCCTTTTCTTTGCGTCCGCTTTGATTTTGTGGTGTTCGTGGTCGTAGTGGTGGGAAGAGTGCTTCATTGGGGCTTGTTGATGATGGAAGAGGTAGGCATGCTGTATTTATTTTCCTAGTCGTTGGTTCAGATGACATGTTCTGAGATGGTTCATCGTTAGCTCGTCTATGATTTCGTGCCTGCTGATACGCTTCCCACACTTTCTGCCCCTCGCCCTTAGGACCTGCTTGGTAGATCTCCTTAGCGGCGCGGAACAACGGCGTTGAATGTTCGGTAGCTTGCGGCTGAGCGTGTACGTGCTTCGAGCATGTAGCCGAACCCGTAACATACGACTGGTGTAAATCCTGTTTCTGCCATGAACTGTTGGTGCTTGAGTTATGGTCGTCTATTGAAGCTGGGCAATGAGGAGGTAAATTCACTTCCGGTTCCTTCATAGTTCGCTCGAGCATCGAGAAGTCAATGAGTTTGAGTGTTGATAACGGAGTGTCCCGATTTGAGACATTAGTACGAACTGCAGTAGACTCTAGTGGCGTTGTTTTGAAATCATTTATTATTGACAGCGGCTCGTGCCGCCTAACAGAAGTATCTTCGACGCTGCTCGGCGAGATAATTTCTCGAAAAATGCGTTTCGAGGTTTGATTTTCAACATCAATGTTTCTTGCAGCTGTTGTTGAAGGGCCAGCTGTGATCCATTTAGTGCTTTTAGTGTTACGCCTCATGCGGTGTTCATTCTTGGTAAAGGGATTAATGACTGTCCGGGGGTTAGCCATGGCAAAATGAATCGTCCTATCAGGTATGCTCCTGCTTTCGGTATTTCGTGGATAGACTCGCCTTTTTGTTCGATGCTAGAGCAATTGGTAATGAGGTGAGAAGCAGATACGTGAGATTAGTGACTGGGACTGAATGAACGACGAGAGAGTCCACCCAGATAAACCTCAATAGCATAGAAGATTTTGAACCAAGTTAAGAGTCAAGGTCGAGTCGAACGTTACGTGCATGTGAGACAAAGCGTTAGGGGACAGAATAATGCTACCGCTTACAAAGTTCTTGTTTAGGGCGTACGAGACAATAGAACAAAGCATACGCAGCCGTTGTTGGCTTGTTAGTCTACTCTTGTTCGATTATGTAACCGGTTGCCTTTGGCTTTATAAGTGACATTGACATGCATTTCACAAAGTTCGCTAAGGTCTTTCACGTCAGCAGCGGTAACGAAGAATTCGAGCCCAGCTTTGCTGCCTAACAACCATCTCCTGTTGGACATCCAAGTCTGCCACACCCTGTAAGCTTTGGTACTGCCACAAATTGGGATACTCACTTTCTATCCATCATTAGCCTTCTCATACGAGGTATGTGGAGCCACATATGTTGCAATGCCGTTCAAGTCCGATAATGCAGAAATGAGATCTTTCTGAGATTCACCCAACTTTTTCAGCACCTCCATTAGATTCTCCGTCTTAGGAAGAGTGCCTTGCTTCATTTGGATCCACGGAGTAAGCAGCTTGAAAGCAGTTGCGAATCTCTGCTCAACCAGATAGAGTTGATGATCCAGCGGAGTGATGGGCAACCTGAGCAAATCTGAAGTCGACACAGCCCCGCCCTTTTCATCATGCACGCTCTGCTCTCTTGCAATTTGATCGCACCCAGCTATCACATACTTTGTTGTTACCTTGAGCCCTAGCGGTAGTTCTTCGGTGCACGTTACCCCGTCTGGCTGGCTACACAAGGACGCTTTGAACTCCGACCGATCTTTCTCAATAAGGAAGTTCGACATACTTGACACAGAACCTGGCTGTATACGGACTCTGGCGGATGAATGTGGCCAGAATATTTGTGACAGCACAGAATGATTGTGCAGAATCTCGAGGACGTCATCGTAATTGAGGCTGTCTGGGAGGGGATATGTGTTTCTGCCGCCTTCCTTTGTGGAACTATAGTCTTGCTGTTTGTTAGATATCCTCCTGACATTCCTTAGAGGTATTTTTGAGGGCCCACGTACGAGATGTCATTGTTCTAGATGTTCATCTCCCTGAACTTTTCTGCTAGTGGTATGTTGCTGCTTGGGGGAAAGGGCGGGATACGTTAATTTTGATAGTGGCAGACCGCGGTCTCTGAGATTTCAGCAGTTTTGCCTTTGGTCTTGCAGACTGACGTTAGGTGTACATCGGAATAGTGGGGAAATTTCCGGAGGGATGCTTAAACGGCAAGGACGGCACGCATAAGTCACGAGGGGATGCGTCACCCATTTGGACAACTCTTGAGCTAAAATGTGACGATTGAAGACAGGTAGAATAAAACAGAAAGGTTTTGTCATTATACGCCGTCATGAAAGCGCTTACATATATAACGTGATCTATAAAGGAAATTCGTAAGAAGAGAAGAGAAACGAGAGGACGTAACTCCTAGCCGGAACACTCCACACACTCAACCTCAATACCCTCGATCACAATAGGCTTGCTGTACTCACTGGGTACATTTCCCATATCCATATCCTTCACACTGCCAGTCTCACTCTGAGTCTCACTGCCAAGCGCAGAATCGCTCTTCCTCCTCCTTGCTTCAGTCTCTTCCTCGATGTACGCGTACTCGTTCCTCCAGTCGCACAACATCTTACTCGTGACATTGCTTCCTCCGCAAAGCACAATCACAACTTTGTCTTCTGGTCGAACGGGGCGACCAAGTGCTTTCTCGAGCCGGCCGTCGTAGCAAAGAGCAACATTGATGCCGCAGGCGAGCTCGACCATGATACGTTCGTCGTCTGCCAGACGCCAGCAGCCCATAGCCGCTTCTGCGTCAGGTAGGACTACGCTTCGGACGTTGCCTCGCTGGGCATATTTGTATGTGGCGTCTGTCACACGGGCAATGCCTAGACTTGTTGCTTGGGATGTGATCTTGGGCAATGTGATAACTTCCTTGGCTTGAAGTGCTGCATTCAAGCTCTCGGCACCAGCGGTCTCCAAGGCGAGAATGGTTGTCTTGCTCATTTGATGGTTGTCCATGGATTGACAGATACCGTTGATCAAACCACCGCCGCCGACAGAGCAGATCAACACGTCGGGCTCGCCAAGCTGAGCGGCGATCTCGTCCATGCAGGTACTGTTTCCTTGCCAGATATCTGGGTGATCAAAGGGTGGGCAGTAGATGGTTTCTGTCTGTGCCTGCAGATTGTGTCAGCCTCTCGCCTTGTCTGGGATATAGAGGGTTCCGTACGTAGGGTATGATGTGCTCCTTAAGGTATGCATCTGCATCTTTCCAAGCTGCACCATACTGAATGACTTCATATGCACCTGCTGCTCGTAGCTTGGCTACCATCAATGGTGCTGTGGAGGTTGGTACGACAACAGTGCAAGGCAAGTTGAGAGCACGAGCCGAGTGAACAGCAGCGAGCCCTGCATTGCCGCCGCTGGATGCGAAGATGTGAGGGCGCGAGCCTTGTGGGAGTTCTTCGAGACGGCGGAGGATGTAGTTGCCAATGCCTCTGTCCAGGTGTTAGCACTTGTGTTAGGTAGTGTCTGCAATCGGCGAATGCTTACCTTGACTTGAATGATCCAGAGGGTTGGAGATTCTCCAGCTTGAGGAAGATTCTGCTTCTACGATTTAGAATTCCCTTTTCTTCAAAGTTGATGACATGATATGCCATGGAGGGGTGGAGGGGTAACGGGTGAAGAGGAAGTGTGACCGTACCATCCTGCTGCTTCTGATAATGCGTACGACTCTCTCAACGGAGTTTGCACCCAAGGGCTTTGCTGGGGCTCCTCGTTGACGTAGCACTCCTTAACAGCCATGACGAAGTATGGAAACAGAATGGGGTATCACAGAAAGGTATTAGAAGCAAGCGTAGACTCAGGAATAGGTAGACAAGAAGCTCGGTGTTTGACGTTCAGAAACTCTTTGTTGATCTGAATTCGAGGGCACCAGAGCCTTTCCTTTATCTTTACGATGATTTCTTATCGCTCCGCAAGCACCCGCAACCCTAGTGTCCATGTCGATGGGCCAGAGGGGTAAGGAAGCATGGTGGCACACCGAATCTACGATATGTTGTATCGATTACCCTATAAAGTGCATAAATTACCCTATAGATACTCGATAAGGAACAAGCGACCACGCTGCCACTGCAAAATGACACAAGCATGAGACCGGTACTCAGCAGCTTGGGCCAGGGTTTGGATTTCCAGAAGCGGTTATCAACGGCGGGACTATTTTCTGCCTGGGTTTGCCGCCTCGAAACAGTGGTGGACTTGGCGCCATCTTGCCTATCAGAGGACGCGCATCAGCTGTCCATGCGGGTGGTCAGTCCAGAAGGCTCGGAACCGATAACAACTCGGCGAAACAGTGAAGACGGGGTTGGCTGGGAGGCTGATGTTAGGATGACACGATGGGGTCGCGGAATTGGCGCGAGGGATCCCCGACGGAAAGGAAAACTCTCGCATTTCAGTGGAAGACGCGTCCATGCTCCCTTCACTATCCAGCTTTCCTTCGATAGCTATCGTCATTTCAGACAGGGCTTCCCCAGAATGAAGTTTGCATGCGGACGTCCGAACACATGACGCGGATCCGCAAACGGTATTAAAAACGCTAATTGGGTATCTCTGTGATGCTTTTCAAGTTTACGCTAACACTGGGATTTAAGCAGCAACCTTCGGGTGATCGAGGAGGCCTTTCCTGAAGTTCCAGTAGTTTGCGCGGATCGGGTCGTACTTGGTGGCCAAAAGCTCCAGGGCTTTCTCCGCATTCTCTTTGCTATCTTCTTCTTCCGCATATATGTCCGCTAGAAGATCGAGGGCGTGGCTCGAGTGGACATCGTCTGGCTTCCGCACATCAGCGAATTCACCCGCAAAGTCCTTGAGAGTCGACTTGGGAAGTTCCGCTGCGCGAATGATGCCCAAGATGTAGTTCCATGTGCTCTGGTTCTGAGGAGCTTTCCGGATGGCTGCTTTGGTGTACCTGGTAGGCTTAGTATAGTCGAGCAGCTTATAGGGACAACAGAAACATACTCTATCTCCCGTTCCACAAGATCGGCACTCGGCTTTCCCTCGCGGCCGCCAACAACTAGGTAGTAGCGATGATTCCAGGCAGAGTTGTTGCGCACATCCTCCTCGATCATGCTGTGTGTCCACTCTAGCTCCTCAGGCTTGTCAAACAGATCGAAGCGCTTGACCAACCATTGCCTGTAGCTCCACACATGGTAGTTCTTGGAGTCAAGCTCCAGCATAGAGTTTATGAATTCTGGTTCGCCCTCGCATGAGCCGAGCTCGTCGATGATGGTATGGCGGTGGTGCCAGATCTGGTAGTTCTTGAGGTGCTTGAGTGCGGTCGGGTTGAGCCATGCGATTTCGTCTTTCAGTGATCGCCCGATCTCCGAGATGGTTTTGGCGCGGTAGAGCCTGCGGGGTGTTAGTAGTGCAGATGTTGGAGAGCTCCTCGCGCGACTGAACACCAGCGTCTCCTCCGAAACTCCGCGACTCGACCGAGTGTCGGACTTACCAGACAGTGTAGTGTGCTGGGTTCATGCTGATGATGTGCTCAGTAAGGCCAAGGACTCTCTCGCTGAACTCGTTCTTCGCCATGACGGCGCGCAGGTAGCCCATGGCCTCGCTGTATTCTTCCGAGTACGCGATGGCAGCGAGTGGATGCAGGCCGCCGTCATCCTGTGGAAGTGGCACAATGTCCGCCCACGCCTCGTCGTCGTGATAGTATTTTGGCATCTTTCCCTTTATGCCTCTTGCCTTGGGGTTAACAGAATTTGCGGTCGTGGCTAGCAATGCGCGCAGTAGACGATATGGCGACAGGAGGATGACCTTGAGCCAGGCGCGAATGAAGTTGAAGGCCATAGTGGGGGTGCACTTGAGCTTATGTCCGCTGCTTGGCAGAAAACCACGGCCACCTCGCTCTTTTCATCAACTTGGACAGAACAATAGCAAGACATTTTCACAGGCATTAAACACACCTGAACTCTGCCAATTCACTCAGCCCTCTGGTCGTGTGACGACACGCCCAAGGCGTTTCGTGTCACCAATGTTCGCTGGGAATAAGGGTACCCCTTCCGAAAGACTTAGCAGTGACCGATATGCCACAAACAATACCAAGACACTTGGATCTAGCTGTGGCTTGAGGCTATGCTTTCAACCTGTAACGCTACTTGAGGCGAATCAAGTGTTTGGGTTCGATAATGGGAGCTCTCACCTGGACATGGCGACATGGCAGCTTCTGTATCAGAGGCGACCCGAGACGTACCTTCCTTCCCCAAGCATGACTTCAGCATTCGGTGTCCGCACTTTCTTCCACTGAAAGATAGCAGATAAGCGGCCAGCGAAAGGAGATCCAGAGAGAATGGGGTCATCTGCCGCGCTTCCTCCTTGTCTTACAACCCCACCACGCCACAGCAGCCTTCACTATAGCACACGCAAGGTGCTATACGCTCAGTAACATCACAATGCCCCTCTCCGATGAGATAAAGGCCAAAGACGCCCTGATCAAGAAACAGCGTGACGTCATCGCCAAATACCTCATCCTCGACATCGAAGACTTTCTCGCTGAAGCCCGCGAAAAGGAAGAGGCGGAGGCTGCGGAAGCGTACGAACTTGCGCTGGCAGAGGAAAAGGCCAGGGGCAGAGTATGTCGGGCTCCTCTCGGCCCATCGCTCTGGCTTCTTCTTCGCTTGCTATTCGACTGTGCAACAAATTGTTTGGTCCGTTCATCCACAGCAACATGGCTGACTCGATTCTTTGTACAGTGGGTAAAATGGAAGAAGATCTACAGACTACAATACGACGGCGTCTCAGTTCGGAGCATCATCTACTACAACTTCCGTAGCCTTTGGGAGTCCTGGGGCACCAATCCGTACCATCTGCACGCCGCCTGGTACGCCATCATGCTGACCTTGCTGCTACTTTGGCTCATCGGAAGCATCGTCTGCGGATACTACGAAGCGGAGAAGGAGACGGGCAGCGTGCGGATGGCCAAGCTGTGCAGGGGCATTCTGGGCTCTATTCCGCCAATTGTGCAGTTCATCCTCTTCTTGTTTCCGCCGCTGTTTGTTCAATTCTGATGAGACATGGACTGATGCGGGATGGCAGTGTCGACTGCGACCCATGGGGCGAAAGTGCATTCCCATCGCGTGCGTAATCTCAAGCTAGATCAGAAGAGTACAACGAAGGTTGGTGGGAGAATGAAGCGCTGTTTAATGGTGTATAACTTTAGGAGCATGAATGTACGATGCAAGATCGAGCAAAATGCGTATTACCGTACCAGAAACGATGTGTCAGTTTGTTTGCTAAGCACGCGCACGTCTCAGGCATCAGCGACAAATCATTCGACTCTGTCATATATATTAGACGCGTCCTTGGATAGCGGATCGCCATTGGCATCTCCTCATTTCCCCTCTTGAAACCATGATCGGAGCGTTCCTGATAATCCCTGTCACATGCTTCCGCGCCCTAGCGTGAACCAGGGCCCTTATCCTGATCCTTATCGTCTCCTCCCCAGCCGTTCAACGGTCGCGAAGTTTCGCGAACACCATCTTGCGACAGACGTCATAAAGCCTCCCCGCATTCGTTCACGTCTACCAACCCAACGCGCAATGCCTCCCAAACGAACGGCCTATGAGGCCATTGATCTTACAGGGGATGACGACGACGCGCCCTCGTACTCGTCGCAATCCTTCGGTCGTTCGTCGCAGTACCCGTCATCATCGCAAGGATACGCACACTCTCATGCCCATTCTTCAAGCCCGCGCCGCGCACGCAAACAAGCGCGTACATCATTCAACCAAGCGCAGCGCACTACATCTGGATCGTCGCAAGCTGAAGCCATCTCCATAGACGAAGACGAAGACGAAGACGAAGAAGACGACGCCTCCCAGGAAGTCCCGGATGCTACACAAGCCTACAATCAGCAACAATACGAATTCGTACTATACGGAGCAATGCATGGGAAGATTGTGGGTGTGCGATACTACAACGGATATGCAACAAACGGTGAGACGGTGGTACTAAGGCGAGAACCCCATAACGAGTACGACAGCAATGCGATCAAAGTAAGCAATGTGCAGGGCGAACAGATTGGGCACCTTCCACGAGGTCTCGCAGCCAAGTTAGCCAGATACATGGACGAACGCAGTCTGCTCATTGAGGCGCAACTTACAGGGGAGAAGGGCTTCTACGACTGCCCGGTCGAGCTTAAGCTGTACGGAACCAATGATCCAGATGTGCAGCAGACTCTTATGGCACGAATGCGAAGTGACAAACTCCCTATTGGACATGCTTCAGATCGAAAGCGTAAGGAGGCTGCGGCCGCGAAGGAACGCGAGCGAATAGCTAAGCAAGCCGCCAAACAAGCCAAAAAGAAGGGTGCTACTGTTGTGGACATTGGTGCCGACCAAGCCATGCAAAACAGCATGGCCGAATATGCTGCTGGTTCTTCGCAGGGTTCCGGCCTCGGGCCAGGGCCTAGCATGGAGGATATCCTCGGTGATAGTGTGCGCTTCAACCCTAGGAATGTCGAAGAGATGGTTGAGGAGTATGGTATCAAAGAAGAAGACCTAGTAAGCAATGTGCTTATGCAACCTCTGTGCCCACTCACTAACCACCAACAGGCAAAAATGCCACAAGCGCCCCAACCCGACACTCTTCTTACTGAGCTACACCCCTTCCAGTTGCAAGGTCTGCAGTGGATGCTCGATAAAGAAAGCCCCAAGCTCCCAGCCTCAGGCACCAAAGACGTAGTCCAGCTTTGGCGACGACACACTCATATACCAAATGCGTTCACAAATATCGCAACAAGCTTCTCGATCCAGAATCCGGCACTAGCTTCCGGGGGTATACTGGCCGACGATATGGGCTTGGGCAAGACTATCCAGACCATCTCCCTTGTTATGGCAGACCGCGCACTTAATGTTCGTGCAAAGGATTCCTCAGGCGCCACGCTGATCCTTGCCCCCGTATCAGTAATGAGCAACTGGAGCACGCAGATAAAGAAGCATGTCAAGCCTGAACACGCTCTTCGTGTCATGTTCTGGCATGGTCAGAGAAAGGAACCCATCACACCCAAATCAATCGAGAACTACGACGTCGTAATTAGCACATACGAATCTGTCTCTTCTGATTGGTACTCGCAAACGAAGCCTACTCTCCCACGGCGTTCCGGACCTTTCTCTATCAAGTGGCGTCGGGTCATATTGGATGAGGGTCATGGCATAAGGAACCCGAAAGCGAAGAAGACTATCGCCATTACAAATCTGATGGCGCAATCTCGATGGACACTTACCGGCACGCCGATTATCAACAATCTCAAAGATCTCTACTCCCAAGTTCGTTTCTTGCGTCTTTCGGGTGGCCTCGACTCTTTCGAAATCTTCCACAGTGCCATTATGCGCCCTGTCATGCAAGGCGATGTCCAGGGCCACAAGGTACTCCAGCAGCTGATGTCGGGTGTCTGTCTACGTCGCAAGAAGGAGATGTCGTTCATCGACCTACGGCTACCTGAGCTCTCTGAGTACGTACACAAGATCAAGCTGCATCCACACGAACAGGAGAAGTATGATGCCTTGGAGGCTCAGGCCAAGGGTACGCTGGACATTTATAAGCACAACATCGGGAAGAAAAACGCCGGAGATACTTATCGCCATCTCCTGGAAGTGTTGCTTCGAATGCGACAAGTTTGCAACCACTGGCAACTGGTGGGTGAAGAGCGTCTCGACTCCATCATGAAGCAGCTTGAAGCAGAAGGCGTTGTCGATTTGACAGAAGAGAACAAAGCGGCGCTCCAGAAGATGCTTCGACTTTCCATTGAATCACAAGAAGACTGTCCGATCTGTTTGGACGTTTACAAGGAGCCGGTCATAACCAAATGCGCCCACATCTTCTGTACGCCCTGTGTAGAACGCGTTATCGAAACCCAACACAAGTGCCCCATGTGCCGTGCCGAGCTTGAGTCCCTTGCAACCACAACTGTCAAGCCTGCAAAGGAAAAATCTGGCGCCGCTCCAGCGCCTTTGACACAAGACCAGATTGCAGATAAGGAATCTCTAGAGAAGAACACTAGCACAAAAGTCGAGGCCCTCCTCGACATACTTCGGGCATCAGCCAACGACCCGACAAACAAGACAATCATCTTCAGCCAATGGACTTCTTTTCTCGATATCCTAGAACCACACCTCACACTCTATGGTCTAAAGTACGTCCGCATAGATGGCTCCATGTCCGCAACACAACGTGACGTCGCCCTCGAAGCCCTAGACTCCGACCCAGCCACAACCATCATGCTCGCCTCGCTCGCCGTATGCAGCGTCGGTCTTAATCTCGTCGCCGCAAACCAAGTCATCATGGCAGATTCATGGTGGGCGCCTGCCATCGAAGATCAAGCTGTAGATCGCGTGCATCGGCTGGGGCAGAAGCGCGAGACGACAGTATTCCGATTAGTGGTTGAGGGAAGTGTGGAGGAGCGTGTATTGGGTATTCAAGAAGAGAAGAGAAAGTTGATGGGTTTGGCATTTGCAGAGAAGGAGGGTGGAAAGCAGAGGAAGAAGAGGGCTGGTGCTGGACTGGGTGATCTGCAAAGGCTGCTGGGTACGCAACAGCCTGCTACTCAGACGCAGACACAGACAGAAGCTGGCTAGATGAAAGACATTGGAGAGATGTATGTTCCTTGTACGATATAGATGTGTGTCTATGGTTGCGTCGAAACCATCCGTCAGGTTTTTTTTAATGTATGAATGAGATCGAAGCTTTTATCAGGTTTTCTCTCTGGCCAGTCATATTAAATCAACATAGCTTTCTCTGTTCTGTTGCATGTTCTTTCGCGTCTCAAATTCATCAAATAATGTTACTGTGGTAACGAGTGGAATATTTTGTGCGTTGTGTGCGTGATGATATTCTAAAGGAAATTAGCCATGCTCGTCATTACGTAGTTATAGCTGCGACGAGCAACAACATCTTTACCCACTCGACGTCTTTCCAGATTCTTGTTCTTGCGCTGTTGTAAGAAGACGTCTACTTGAGAAGGCTTTTTTTGTTGTGTGGAACGCTGGCATAATATTAAAAAAAATTACGAGTAAGGGAAGATAAGGTAGGTCAAGTAAAGCTCCAATTAACATATAAGCCATAGTCTGTCAACAATCTAAAAGGGAGCGAAATCAACCTCGAGTCTGCTTCTCCCGTTCACCCACGTGAGATTTGAGTAGATTTGGATACTTTGGCGGTCTTTGGTTGTTCACAATCTTTAATTTTCTTGTTGCTTGCATATCTGAATATACACAGATATTTCATCATCCGGGTAATTTTGGCACTTTGTAGTCATTACTCACACCCATCGAGACGTAACGATAGCAGCACCTGATAACAATACTAATGAGACCAAGAAGGATTGCTTAGATCAAAGCGGGCGTCGCGTGTCCTACCACAGGTGCCACACCGTCGTCAAAACGATATATCCTCAATTTCCGCTCACCAAACTGCGGAACATCTGCGGACATGACTCCAATAACTCACACCACTTGGCATATATGTCGCAGTGCAACAAACGGCACCGCTCACTTGTGGGAACTTTGACACCGAGATATTCACTGCTGTAGGTATAGCGCTAACCCAGCTTGGGGAAGGTGAAATATGTGTGCTCAAGGCAACATGAGATATTGATCACCAAATGCGCAAGCAGTACATCTGCATTTCAAACAGCCGCCTGGAAGACCCAAGGTCGACAAAGCGTACTGCTGCAGCAAATGCTGCGCGTCACGAAAAGATGTTCTACCTTTTTCCAGAGAAGGCGCCACTAGAAACAGGCGCCCACTCAAAGTGTATATGATAGATTGTGCAATATGTTCTCTCTGGCAGGTCGACGACACTGGAAGGGCCATGGTGTATGACCCTCAAGCAACCGGGGAAACGGACTATCGTCCTGCGCCGCATAGAGAACAGAAGCAGTACGCAGAGGTGCGAAGTTTTTATGGCTGCCTCACTAGCGCGCCGGCGCTGTCGTTTCTCCGACGCGCACGTGATGTCGGCTAAGCTTCGGCGGATCAGAGAACCTCAAAAAACCTTTTCGCGTCGCCGTCGAGCGACTTCTCTTCCTCATGGCCAGCGATGATATTTTACATTTGATAGGAAGAGTAATACGTGGCCTAGGCTGCGACTGATTACAAACATCACCACCTTCTGAGGCCTGTTACATGTTCCTGTTCGGAACTACTGCGCGGTTGTTGCGGCGTCGCGGCTTTGTCGCGGAAGCTGGACGCGACCGTTGGATGACACCTGTGTGTTTCGCAGATTTGAAAAGCACGCGCAGGCCTGTGAGACGGGCACAGTGCCAGGGACGTATGGCGACTTGGGGACATCCGCTGTCGCTGCCTCAGATCATTCGCCGTTGAGATTTCGCGCGTTTCAGCGAGCATGTTGTATGAGATGGATGGGGTGCGGCCACGAGGATGCAGGGAACGTCCTATTCTTGTCATCTCTGTCTATGCGGTTTGGAAATTTGTGTGTTTCCAGAAGATGGCTTTTTGCCTGAGGATGCCAGGAAACAAAGTGTCTTTGCACTTGAATTCATGCGGTAGCCGGCGCCTCGGCATATGCGTGGAACGGCCATGGAGGTACTTTCGGCGTCTGAGCGTAGCAGGACATGTTCGGTCGGACGCTGGACTGCGACGTGCGTGCTTCATGCTCTCGATGTCGCGTTCTCGACTCGGACTTCCTTTCCTCTACGGCGGCTTCGCTCACTTTTTGGCTGTACATGTGAGCAGAGTCATTCGGCCCGTATGGCGCGGCTGATAACGACGTCGAGTAGTAGTGAACAGAATCGGTGAATACCAGGTTGCTTGCAGCCGCTACGCCACTTCGGCTGGCAGCATCCTCAAAGTTATCACGACTCTCAATTTGCCGGTCTGGGACAAACTTTACGTCAATAGGCTACGTCAGTTTCAGTCATTCATGACAATTACTTGCTCTACCACGCCCCATCTTGTGGTCGATGAGAACAATGAGCATTTCCATCTTCACGCGCGTCACTTTGAATTGCGATCTTCGTACCAACGCGCTCGTATGCCCAAGATCTGCGCTCAATCGGCGACTTTCCACACGTTGGGGAGCACAGTCACTAGCCGTCCAAAGTCGGTTTGTCCCGCAGCGTTGCAAGACCCTGGTGGCATGAGCACTTGTGGTCTTGGGTTCGCCGAGTTGGTCAGATATCGCCTGTCGATGCCTCGTGTCGTGACCAATGGAGGGTCCGCAGAGATTTCGATAACCGGCCAAGGCGCGACGTGCCGAGTGATTTGCGATGGATGGAAGCTGTCGAAACTTAAGAGCATTGAATAACGCGGGTCTTATCCTCCCGGGGCTTGATGCTAACCACATTCACGCGTGTTTCACCGCGGCCTTATCGTATGCCGACATTGTCGATAGAATCCCACGTGTACCGGGCTCATGTTGAGATCCAGCCCGCTGCGATGCAACCTCGACCGCCTGCTCTCAGGCCAGCAGCTTCGGCAACAGCCATGACGGCTCCAGAGCGCGGAATATCGTGAGTTCCCACTTGCCGTCTCGACTAGACGAGACAAATCTGCAACCGATGTTTTTCGCAAGAGACACTGGCCTCAACAATGTCAAGGCGGTGTCTTGCAGGAAGGGTCGCCCTGGCTGGACCTTCACACCGCATAGCATATCCACATGCATTCAGCAGCAAGCACCGAGAATCAGTGTGGGGAAGTATTCCAGAAGCCACATGGTCAGGGACCAGTTGTGCGGGCTCTCGGGAGATTACAGACGAGCTTGACCCTGCTTGAGCATAACGCGAATTTCGTTAGAAGACTGTCTGACCGTGCTTGAGACCCCGACGCGGTGGGCTCAGCGATCTGCCAGCTGCCTCATTGGGGTGACATAGCCGTTGTCATTGCCTCTTCGGCAATGGCAGCCTCTTGACGAGGTTTCACGGTTCCAGAAGATGGCCTTCCCGGTATCAGTGCCTTGGTAACGATACGTCAGATTTGTCAAGTCTTCAGGGAGGCTCCTCGTGCGCATCATACCAACAGAAACACCTTTGCAAATACTGACGCGGTGTAGTCAGGCCATCTAGGGCCTCGGAAGCCACACTTCGTTTCTAACGCGTAAAAGTAACATTGACCCGCGGCATGACGGAACAAACGCAGGAACCTGAGTGGCACGGTGTACTAGCTTTCGTCGTTGGTCAAGCCGGCACACATGGCTGTACTTCCGATAGACGTGCTAGCGAGTCAAAGTACACCATCGCGATAGTCAAACCATGGGCGAGCGGGATGGAAGCCCCAACCCCGCCAGGCTGGAAAACTTCCTCGAAAGGTCGAAGATCAGGGCTTCGTGGGTCTCGGCCAATGACAGGGCTGACGGAGTGGAGAGAGAGTCAAGTGGGACAATGCTATGGAAGCCATGCGTCGTTCCCCGGCGCCGAAGCTATGGCATGACCACGCCGCACACGCTAACTGACACGGCCCATACCACGGAAGAGCCCTTCTTCAACTTGAATCGCATCAAGACCCTGTTGAGTCGTAAGGGAGCCCCGCTGATGTGGCCTTCTAGAAATTGCGTCGTCTTCACATGCAACAGCGAGCATTACGATAATGCAGGGCGATTGCAGCACGAAAATCCCGCGAAATTCTTTTGTTAGGGTCACGATAAGCCTGCATGTTGTTTTGGGTCTTACTTACCGTTTGTTCCTGCATTGTACCTGCAGTAGACGCTATTCTCGATCAATAAGCTCTGCAGTCAATGTGGGGGATGACGGTCTGGCGGATGCCATCGGGCCTGTTCGAGTTGACCAACGCTTGTCACGCGAAAGACACGCCGCTTTTACGAGTAAGCCACTTAGGCCTCGCCGGCGGCTTCATAACTTTGCACCCGCAGCATTCGATAGCTCGTTTCTATTTGTGCTGAATCTTATACGAGGCACCAATATGCACAACTCTTACCGCGGTGGAAGTGTAAATGGTGAGGCATCCACTTCATCCGCGTCATAACCATCCAAGTGCACCCATTATCGATACGTAGATTAGAAGGAGCTTGCATCCTCTGGTACACCACTACAGTCGGTCGCTGCACGAGTGGCGGCCGAAGTGGCAGCCCAACTTCTGAAACACACTTGCAAGACGGATTAAGGCCGCATGTGCACCTATATGGCCATGCATCCCACCAACCCAGTACCAGTTCTACTGACCCTTTGAAGAAAGAATGGTATCGGTGGCGACTTGCAGCTCACTGCACACGAGTATGTCGCACCATTAAGAATAGCCGTCTTTTGGACCACTGGGAGTGCGCGGATCCAAGGGCTTCTAGCTGGCGGGCAAATCACGCCCAACGTGGATCATGTTCTTGCATCATGGCTGACGTTCCTGCGTAAGCCCGGCAAGTCGAGTCTTCCTCCAGTGTTGCGCGATGCGTGTGGCAATGGTAGTCTTGCTGTTTTCGCTGCCGGCGACCTCACGCGACGCACTCCGACGCACTCCTCCAACTCTGGGGCCTGCATGGTTTGTGGAGTTGTTGAAGACATCGTGAGACATACCGCTCCTACAATTCTGCATCTCAGGAAGGCGTCGCGAGTTGTTGTGGTGTGCGGCCGACATTAACGCCCGGCTACAGCGCGTCCAAAAGCACTCAATCAACAACCACATCAGACTCTGTAGTGTTGCTTCTGTGATGCTTGAGGGTGGCACCGCGGGCGGTACGGCGTTGTCGTGTGTGACATATTCGGTGGAGCGCGCAGCGTCATCAAGATCACGAAGAGCGGGAGGGTCGCTGTATGGGTGTTTCAAAACATAGTTCAACCGGCAGGGTCTCGCAGCTATCATTATCGATTGGCAGATAGGATGATAGGCTGAATGATGCCCGGACGCGCTAATCTCGAGGCGAGTTGGAGAGGTGTCTGAAAGGGCATCCTGAGGTGTGGTAGGTCAGACGAGACGCAGGACACACCCGATGCTCGCTCACTCATCGGCAGTATCACAGTTGGCTACCCATCACTCGCTGGTCAGAACAACAACCATACCGTGGCGAGGCTCAGTTGCCTTCAGCTATTGTCTCTCCTCCATTCGGAGAGGGCGGTAGAAACCCACTACGTAGGCAGTGTGGCAGGCTCTCCATCCCACCATGTGCTGTGCTGGCGACGTAGCCAATACCTGGAAGCCTGCCGGAACCGCCGCGCACATCTCATTTCGCGTATAGTCCCATGCAGCTATGCATTGGGCGAATAATTTTAGGCCCAAAAACCCATGCATTAATGCATTCGCTGCTTTTGACGCGAGTCAAGGCTAGGGTCTAATGCAGGATCCCATACCTAGCTGGCTTGTGGAGCTGCGCTGCGCCCCGGCGCACTAGAGCGAGCCGTCCTTCTCTGTGCGCTCATCAGTTCTCTTTTTCACTGGCCTGCCCTTGATCAAGGTTCATCAACCACGTCCCTCTCGTTTCTTTCCGCCGTCGCCGTTCAGGTTTTCATCTTGGGTCTCATAATTTTGTGCCCTCACACTCTTTGATCTTCATTATCTATCTTAGTGACAGTTTCGTTATTACGAACTGGCCCACAGTCATTCCTTCGACTCTCTCTTATACTGTCCAGCATCCTGCTTCAAGTACAACTAATTTGTCCTCGACATCACTCGATATCATACTATCATCGACCTAACCAACCAACAACAACGTTAACAACGACGACAACTGCTATACTGAAGTAAAGACACACATCAACACACGCAATGGACGGCTCATATCCCATCCACCCAGCCCAGGCTATGCAATCACCATTCTTCTACTACAACCCGGACCCTCAGGGCGAGAACACACGCCAACACGGCCACTTCACACCCCACCCATCCGGACAGGCTACCTTCCAAGCACAGAACATGTACTACCAGAGGCCAACGTCGGCATGCTCTCAGATGTCCTACCCTCAGACTGCCTACGCCAACCAGATGCTCACTCCCGTTGCATCACCTCAGCCAATGTACCAGAAGCCAACGATCTTGATCCAACCTCAAGACTCGCCATACCTTCACCCCATTGACACCGACTACTCATTCTCGCCCGCCACACCTCCCCTTTCATCGTGCGGTAGCAACACCAGCAGCCCTCCTTCCTCATGCGATGTTCTTCCTACACCGATGCATGACATGTTCTCGGGTGAGGGCATCGAGGGTGTCAAGCAAGGCTGCGAAGGCGAGGTCTTCTCTGAGCTTCTTTCTGCCGGTCTCGAATGGCGTTCAGCTTCCCCACCCATGACTCCAGGTATGTATTTTTTGATTAATCAATCTGCTCATGTCTTTCGCAGTCGATGTTGCTGAATGTTTGGACGGTGTGACTAACTCCTTCAAGTTTACATCCAGCCTCCGTCGGCTAGCCAAGGCTCCTACCTTCTATCTGCAACCTCATGCCCCTCGCTCTCCCCATCACCATCACCAGTACCCCGCGCTGCATTCGCTGAGGCCGAGAACAACTTCTGCAACCCCCGCGATCTCACCGTCTCTACTTCTGAGCTTCCCATTGTCACACTCTGCCCTGGCGACGAGGAGCACAAGGTTGTCCTCAAGGGTGAGACTGCCCAGGTCGACAGCTTCGAGTCTACCCAATCCTTCAACATCACTGGTCTCCCCACTTTTGAGCCCTTGTTCGAGCTTGACTGCGAAGACGACTTCACCGGCCTTGTCAACTTCTCTACTGACAACACCCACTTTCTCGGTAACAAGCGCCAACGCACTGACCTTGGCGCTTTCTCTCCTGAGGAGGACTTCCTGAGCGACGAGAGCTTCACAGACTTTGAGGAGGAGCTTGTTCACGGCCTGCCCATGACCCCTGCTACTAGCGACTTCGACATGTCCGCCGCTTCCAAGAGGCGAACAGTCAAGAAGGCTCGTTCAGAGTTCAGCGAGACTGAGTCAGACTACCAGGGTAAGCAACAGACATCAGGTGATGATAACACCATGTCTGGAGCATCAAGCCAACAAGAATCAGGTCAAGCCGAGAACGCTGTCGGCTCCAGCTCAGACGAACACGCCACCCCTGTCGCCCCTACCAGCCGCCGCGGTCGCAAGCAGTCGCTTACCGACGACCCTTCCAAGACCTTCGTCTGCACTCTCTGCTCGCGTCGCTTCCGTCGTCAAGAACACCTCAAGCGCCACTACCGCTCTCTCCACACTCACGACAAGCCCTTTGAGTGCACTGACTGCGGTAAGAAGTTCTCCAGGAGCGACAACCTCTCCCAGCACCAGCGCACCCACGGTACTGGTGCCGTCAGCCTTGAGGTCATGGGCTCCGACTTCCATCACTCGGACATGCAGCATGGTCAACCTGGTGCGTTTGGCGCACAGGCCCCTTCCACCATGGGTGAGATCCTCTACAACGCTGCCTCCGAGATCCCCACCTCAAGCTCTGATGGATCCGAGAACGAGTCGTCGCCCAGCCAGAAGAAGCGCAAGAGGAACGAGTAAATCTTCTCATCTACCACACTTCTCCTTTCAACTCTTAACGACCCTTCATGACATCCACAACACCCGGTAGAAGGATTATACATCATGCCACATGGCTGCTCGTCCACCCTCACGACTCGGCTAGACAGGCGGCACAGGTTCACATTAGCGGTTCGATCTTGCATAATCTGCAGCGATAACTCTACGCTTCCCTTCTACCACTGTATTCTACTCAGCCAATCTTGCAGTTTAAACATTCGAGATTGGCATTTTTGGTTTCGCGTTTAGCACGGCACACCTGGGATTTGGGGAGACTGGCTACTACTGGCGGACGGATAGATCTGGTGTTTTTTCTTGGTTTCACTCTTACGACGACATGGCCATTACCCTACACCGGCCACTGTCGCCGCGTTACCCCCCTTGTTTATCTTGCGCTTCCTACCCTCGTTGTAATTGGGCAGCTTCATCTGAGCGCCCTCCAACATTCTGAGAATATTCGCTTCTTTCTCACCACACATGTAATCGTCAGACTTTTACAATCTGCTCAGCAATGCTTTTCTGCGCAGCCTATTGTAGGTTAGAGGTGCTGGCACTGTCCGACTATCATACAAAAAAACACGTTATTACATACATACTTCCGATGTCCTTACCTGCATGTGACTACTGTGCCATCCATGCGAGCCGCGCGTTGTGCGCATGGTTGCTTTTCGGTGATCTGCGATGAGTTGCAGGACAGGACCCTGATGCCAGAAAACACGATCGCGCTCGTTCCAAAACCCCACGGATCAACCTAGCGTGCGCAGACCTTTAGCGAGACTCAATCCACCTGCGTCTGTCTCATGCAACGAGCGGCACCGGGCCGTCCTCAACTCCTTCATTGTTTTTCCCAGACGGTCGCCCGTTTCGAATCATTCGTTTTACCATGTCGGCGTCATTGAACGTGATTGCTTTAATCTCCGGGGGCAAAGACTCGCTCTTCTCCATTCTCCACTGTCAAGCAAACGGCCACACCGTCGTAGCACTGGCCAATTTGCACCCAGCGCCTTCTAGCAATGATGATGAGGACATTAACAGCTACATGTACCAGACCGTGGGGCACTCGGTCATCCCCCTCTACGAAGAAGCGCTAGGGATTCCTCTCTATCGACAAGAGATTACGGGTACCGCCGTAGACTCGAATAGAGACTATGCGACACCTTTGCAAAAGCAAGAGCAGGATGAAACTGAAGACTTGGTACCGCTGTTGAGAAGGGTTCTGGAAGCACACCCTGAGGCCAACGCTGTATCTACAGGGGCTATCCTGAGCACATATCAACGCACGCGTGTGGAGTCTGTAGCGCTCAGGCTGGGATTTACGCCACTGTCGTATCTATGGCAGTATCCTCTGTTGCCACCGTACACACAGTCGTCACTTCTGCACGATATGACGGCTATCGGGCAAAAAGCAATTATCATCAAGACGGCGTCAGGTGGTCTAGATGAGGACTTTTTGGGTCTCGATGTCGCTAATTACAAGACTATAGCTAGAGTGGCCAAGGCAATGGGACGCTATGGTGATGCTGGCGACGGCGCGATACTAGGTGAAGGGGGTGAGTTTGAGACATTGGCTTTGGACGGGCCAAGATCGCTCTGGAAGAAGAGGATCAGGATCGACAATGGACCACCCGAGAAGCTGGACGGTGGCCAAGCAGTGCTAAAGATCAAGAGCAGCACACTTGAGGAGAAGAGCGCAGACGACGCCGAACCTATTGATCCACTAAGAATACCAGAGCTCTGGGACGAGGAGTTCGCGAGCTTGATAGAAGCCACAGATGCCAGCAACGAGAGTAGTCAAGGCATACCCGTTGACACGGGATCTGCTGTCAAGTCTTCTGGGGCTGTCTCTCGACTGGATAGCACATCAGTAGTAGATTGGCTTCCCAGGAATGTATTCAGTGATACTTCGACGGTCTTCACATACTCCAATCTAACGAGCGATGCTCCCACCGCTGCTTCACCCGATTCCCCCTCTCGCCAACTTTCCAAGATCTTTCTCCGTCTCGATCATATCTTGAAGCAATCACGTATTCCCAAGAACAGCGTCAATCATTGTACGCTACTTCTCCGCGATATGGCAGACTTTACAGTTCTCAATCCCATCTACGCGCAATACTTTAGCCACGTGAACCCACCAGCTAGAGCCACAATAGCAGTTGGAGATACAATGCCTAGAGGCGTACATGCCATGCTGAGTGTAGTTGCGGACAAGGACGAAACAGATCAGGATGGAAAGGTATTCAGACCAGTAAGGAGACAAGGGCTGCACGTACAAGGGCGAAGCTACTGGGCACCAGCAAACATCGGACCGTACAGCCAAGCTATCTCTGTACATCTACCCCCTCACAACGAGCTCAACGAAAGCGATACCCAGAGTAGTGGAGAAGTGGTATACGTAGCCGGTCAGATTCCCCTAGTCCCCGCATCCATGGACGTCTACAAGGAAAATGGCTTCAGAGGTCAAGCAATCTTCTCCCTACAACATCTCTGGCGTATCGGCCGTACAAAACGAGTCAAATGGTGGTCAGCAGTTGTAGGTTTCATCCCAGCATCACCATATCCAGAAGAGTCCGTACAAGTAGCCCAAGAAGTCTGGCGAACGATCCACACACCACCCCGCTCATCCTCTCTCAATAATTCCGATGATGAAGAGAACGAAGACGCAGACATGGACCCTTGGGACCGCCTGAACCAACACCACGGCGCCTCAACGTTCAAGGATTTAACCTATCGCTCTCCCATCCCCGATCGCTCTGCCCTCTCTACTTCTGAGTTTCAAGTTCAGGACCAAAACATAGACGCGGATATTAACAAGACATCAGTACCAATACCGCCCTGTTTCATTGCCCAGGTCTCCTCTCTACCACGTGGTGTGGATATAGAGTGGAGTGCTACAGGCCTGACAGCTCTCTCCAACTCCTTTGAGCGTGATCCCAAGGTCCCCCATTTTACCACCACAATGCCGCGGGATACTCGATCGAGGTTCTTTACCCTGGAGATTAGGGGTGAGGGTGACGTGGAGTTGCTGGGAAAGCAAGAGTGGACGAGCGCTACGTTGTATGTTGGAAGAGGGTCCGAGTGGTTTGGCAAAGGGAGGGTAGGTATGAAGATGGAGGGTGTGCAGTGGATTCCTTGTCAGAGGGTTTGGGGCGAGGAAGGGAGGGAGGCTTGTGCGGTTTTCGTAGGGAGAATTGATGGGTGAGCGAGGGAAAGAAGGGTGCGTGTGTGTTTATTGACGAGAAGAAAAGTTCCAACTTGTTCAGGATTCACGATTCATACCCGTGCTGGATCATCCATGGAGGGACATGTGGGTAGGTGTGAATCAATCGTAATTGCCTCTATAGCTATGACATGTCCCAGCCATCTTCCTTCCAATCATCAAGTCATCTCAGATGGTATAAACAGCTTTTTCCCGACCTGCCCAGTCTCCAAACGCCATGTAAATGCCCGATATCGCCGTTGCCATTGCGTGGCTTACTATGCAAGACCCCTCGCTTGTTGTATCGTCTAGAACCTCTCCTTCATGCGTCCAGCGACTGTTCGTAGGTTGCCGTACACCTTGCTTGGTTGTTGGCCCAGGATCAAGCTGACGATGGCTTCACGTGCGATGTGGATGTTCTTGAAACCACCGAGGATGTGGATCTTCTGGTCCGCCAGGACGACTGGGAAATGTCAGTGATGTGAACAGGTAGGTTGTTAACATGATGCGATGAACATACCTCGTGTTCTGCTGGCGTTCTCAATTGCGAACTTGGTCTTGCCGTCCTTGCCTGCAATTCGACCAATCGCACGACCGAGATGCTCGCCCTGTAGGGTCTTGACGTCCTTGATCTCAAAGGTCTCGATGTAGAGGTCATCCAATCGAAGCAGCTATACACTCGTCAGTTCTGGCTTCTCCGATGCTGGAATTTGGCCATGCGAAGCCCAAACTGAACATTCGCGCGACGCATGTGTTGGCTTGATATCCACTTACCGCAATGGCATCGTCTGTGTCAAAGCCCAGAGTGAATGCCTTGACAAAGTCCTCTCCCTTCTGGAGCGCGCCGGTGTCGGTGGTAGCACTGGAAGTGCGCAACTCAACAGCCTTTGCCTTTGTGTTCATCCTGACTTGCAGTTTGAGGTGCTCAACAAGCGGAGGGTAGATCTTGGGCCACGAGTTCTTGAGTGGTGTCATCCTGTGGGGTGGGATCGGGACCTTGCGCTGCTCGCGGCGGAAAGCGAGCGGTATCGACTTGGCCGCAGGGAACTTGGGCTTTCCGCTCTCGTCTGTCATGGGCATGTCTTCTGTGGGTGCTGGGGCATCGTGCGCAGCCTCGACCGGGTCAAGGCTCATGGAGATGAGGTCGCCTTCGCTTTCGGTCGGGAGAGGAACGGATGAGGCCTCCATGGTGACATCGTCGGCGAACTCTTCAGGCCTGCGCTGGAGGGCTGTAGGTGCGGGCATTTTGGCTGCAGTATGCGATTGAGGTAACGATGCGCGGGCGTTGGGAGTCGAGCCTGAGCGGTGTGCGTGTGTGTACGTGTGTGCGCGGGGAGACTTCGGACGGATAGAGGTCGTCTGGATCTCTGTAGAGCTATTTTCCTCCTCTTTTCGCTATAGGCGTGAGCAAAAGGTGAGGCGAGGAGGAGGGTCGAATTGGCTATCGATTCGCGACAATGTGGGGCTTCTCAAGAAATTTGGAGAGGCGAAAGGTGGTGGTGGACCGTGCTGGCGCCTGTCACTCCTACCTACTTTTTGCATGTGCATGGGTAATGACGTGAATCTTGCCTGTATTTCCAGCCAACCGCCCGCGTTTCCTACACCGCAAACCTCAGTCGATTCCCCCCGCAGATACCTTCGCACATCCCCTCGCTTGCGAACGTCGACCATGTACCCGCCGCGGTTATCATGAACAAGAATGTAGGAACGCTCGGCTTCCTGTGGCGCGCCGTCGCTGGCCAGCCTTTGGTACACGCCCGTGTGCTTTCGCGGGAAGCGCGGGGAATATGGGCACAGTCGCAGTCCACATCAAGCGGAGGCATCCAGAAACGGGCCATTGCTTCCAACTGCCGCGTCTTTGGCCTGTCGACGACCACGAGTCTGCCCTCAATTGCGCGCTCACAGTATCCTGGACAGGCTCCCACCTGCCTGCTCCGAGCGTCATCACCCCGCACTGGTCACCTCCAGCAGAGTGTGACTAGTACTGTGCTCTCGGCATGGAGCAGAAACGCATCATCCAAGGCATCCAGGGCGTTGAGGAAGAACAGAAGCAGCGACCGACGCAACAAAAGTTCGGCGACCAATGGCTCAACCAAGGACAAGCAAGGTCCCACGGGTCAAGCACCACAGGCCCAGCTATCTCCCCAGCCGAACTCGTCCTCCAAAACCTCAAAGACGCCCCCGAACCCGAAGCTTGAAGCAGCGAGTGCTGCAAAGCCCCTTCTCGATCGTCTACCACACCACCTACCCCACATATACCGTCCGAGCAAAGCCGAACTACTCGAGGCAGCGTCTGGTTTCTGGTCGCGGATAAAGATCCACTTCAAGTGGCTTACCATCCGAAGCACCCGCCCATTCAATGCTGATGAGATATACGCATTGTTCTCGTGGATCATCGCGGCGCACTTTCTGTGGATCGTCTTGGGAACTACAACGTTTTTCATGTTGACCATCTTCCTGGTCAATACCGCCTTCTCCCAGGAGACCATCGCCAAGTTCATCGGAAACTACTTGACCAAGTCTTCGGGCATAAAAGTCGTCTTTGAGACTGCTGTTGTACCCAAGTGGGGAGATGGTGTCATCTCCTTCCGCAACGTTTTTGTCTCGCGACGTCCGGGTCAGGGCAAGGGAAAGGTCAGCAAGGGCTCACAAACGGAGATGGCTGCTGCCGCTGCTACTATAACCCACCAGGACAAGGACGGTCAAGACGGTGTCGAAGAGAAAGTGGAACTCGAAGAAGACACCAACTACACCCAGTTCGATATATCCATCGATACCGTCAACGTCACACTGTCCTTTTCTAAGTGGTTCAATGGGAAGGGCTTGTTGAAGGATGTCGAAATCAAGGGTATCAGAGGCGTGGTAGATCGGACATTCGTGAAGACAATTGAAGGCGTGGATCCTAGGTCATACAAGCACGAGCACAACCCAGGCGATTTCGAACTGGAATCTTTCAAGATGGAAGACCTCCTTGTAACCATCTACCAGCCCAACGACTTCCGCCCGTTCTCTGTCAGCATCTTCTCCTGCGACCTCCCCCAACTGCGAAAGCAATGGTTGTTCTACGACTTCCTCTCTGCCAACATGATGTCCGGATCTTTCGACAACTCACTCTTTACGATACATCCTCGACAAACACACAACCGCACTGGCACGCAATTGAGCAGTGGCCGCGACAGCGAAGATGGTAAAGCCTGGAAGAAGCACAGCCGGATACGTATCGATGGCCTCAACATTGACCATCTTAACAGAGGCTTCGAAGGCCCCTTCTCATGGATCCATGAAGGCAATGTCGATATTGTAGCAGATGTCATGTTCCCTAGCGACGACGACGATAGCATTGCAAAGGTCATGTCCGACATGTATGACCGCGTTGAAGCGACCGTCATTCAACAACGCAAACATCATTTCTCTGATCATGCCGTACACGGGTTCGATGAGCACCATGAAGACAAGTCAAATCTTGATGAGGGGACAGAAGAAGACAAGCGCTACATGATCATGGACATGCGCGTCCATCTCAACGACGTGCGCGCCGCAGTCCCCATCTTCACCCGAGATATTTCTTATGTGAACAACGCGCTCGTACGACCTATCGTAGCTTACATGAACTCGAGTCGCACCTTCATCCCTGTAAACTGCAGGGTTGTGAAGAGAGTTAGTGAGTTCGATGGGAGCTGGACCCTCTACGACAGCGGGTTGATGGAGGAAGTGTCGAAGGAGGTAAGTTCCATATCCTCTGACTGTCTTTACAGAAGTATATACTAACACATCCTAGATGTACGATGCCTTTGCCCGCGACGTCCTCGAAGACCGAACCACACGTAAGCGACGCATAAAAAAGGTGGGCATTTGGACACTGCAACTCGCAGCCCAAGCCCTCTTCCTTGGTCTCGCCGGCAACATTGCGTAAAGATACCCTGATGGATTGGATGAAGCGAACGAATCTCTTCTTTCTGTAATATACATGGCAAAGCATGGCGTTGGGCGCATATACATACACACGATTGATGTGGTTGGCTTGGATGGATGAATGAATGAAATGCCATGGGCAACGAACTAGGGTGCTACTGTAGCGGTTGCCTACGATGAAATGACAGACATTCTTATTCCCATCTCATGAGTGCTGTTCGGTCCGAGTTGATTGTGTAAGGCCACTACGTGTAGTATAGCGTCGGCGTCGGCGTCAGCATCAGAAGATTTGCCTTGCAAAACGTGTCCGCCACGACATGCCAACCTGCTCACGAGGACATTGTTCCTATCTGATAGGAACCTATCAGCGCGAGCCAAAACAGCTTTTACCGATAGTTCTCATGGCGCTGATCTCTATAGTGGGTACAGAAGTCGGCAGATTACACAGACTGCGGACATTAGTGGGACGACCCTCTTTGCGGGGATTAGTGGACCATTCGCTGGACATCGCACCCTATCCTCACGTATTATTGCTATCAGAACATGCAAGACACGCTCTTTATGGCGAACGGTCAAGCTGCAGGGCGTTCAACGACAATATCGATGTCAGACGCGTGTTGTGTCGCCTTCCTAACGCGGCATACTGCTCACCAAGTTTACCGGAGCATACCTCGACTTCTAACGCTGGGTACCAAACCAAGAGTTTTTGTCTACTTGTACTGAATAAGTATTGACGATTCAACAGCGATGTTGCTGCGAGCTAGCTGTCGGACGCCGCTTCATACCAGGTCCATGGCGCAAACGTCGGACGAAAATGGAAGCGCCACAACACGCGACTGGCACAGTACGATGCGCCCGAAACCAGGTCAATGGAATGCATCTCGACAATGAAACCCGTAGTCTCTACCGAGAAAGCAACATGGCTTCACGCCTTGTCGAAGTTAAGATAGATGACCGTCCGACCCTCCGCGCGAACTTGCTGCCAAGAACCTCGGACACGGCGCCATTTGATGGCGGGCGCTGTCAAGCTTGTCATGTCAGCCAACAAGCTTTCACAAAGCCTCCCTACGCTGCACGAAGACTGCCGTCTCATTGGTGCAGAATCCTACAATGCCGTAGATCCGTTGCCCGTGACCCTGAACAGTTTAGCCTACAGGCGGACATAACGCCTAGTAAGGTGTGGAGATAGGGTAAATACGCTGCATACGGTGGTAGCACCGCCATGTCGCTTCGGAGCCCTTGTTTGCTAAGTCTAGGCATGTAGCCCTTTTGTGTGCGGAGGGTCGTAGGTTTTGATCTCCGTGATTGCGACGACGTACGCCTGTCTTTGTTGTTGATCTCTTCACACCAGGCACCACTTCTTTCCTTCCTTTCAAGCTATTTTCCGTGTTTACCAAAACACGCTCTGTGCTCCTAGTGTGAACTGCCGATCTACACATCGTTCGAAGTGTATTCCGGCCCTGCGGTTGTTTCCGTGCAACTGTCTCAGTTTCGATACCGTCCGCTCGGTAAGACTTGCTTCTCTTTCTGGACTTCAAGGACGACCAGTCAACGAGCTTGCTTCGCTCATGTAAACGGAAAGGCAGTGGCAAAGCTGCTCTTACTGTCTGCTTATATACTAATGATGGCTCCTCCAGCTCAGTCCGCATTCAACCATCACAATGGCAACGCCAGCCTCATTACCAAACCCGGCGCGGGATGCGCAAGATCTGCCAAACGGATCTATCAAGGAAGCATACGAACAAGGCCATGACGCAGATAGAAAGGTTCCGGAGGAATCATTCTCACAAGACCCAGAGAAGGGAGTCGATAGTCACGCACATTCAACACACACAGACGAGCGAACATTATCCGGCGACGTACCACCAGAACAAGAACGAGACCCCAACATAGTCGACTGGGATGGACCAGATGACCCCGAAAACCCCCAGAACTGGCCGGCTGGAAAGAAATGGGGTATCATCGCAGCTCTCGGTGCATGCACTCTCATTACACCACTCGCGTCCTCCTTCTTCGCACCCGGCGTACCACAAGTACTCCGTGCTTTCAACGAAACCTCCAACATCATGGCCTCGTTTGTCGTCTCCGTTTACATCTTGGGATTCGCCATCGGGCCTCTGATAATAGCGCCCATGTCCGAACTATACGGACGCATGCATTTGTACAACATATGCAACGTCCTCTTCGTAATCTTCAACATTTGCTGCGCAGTATCGAATTCAATGGGCATGCTAGTTGCCTTTCGTTTCTTCGCTGGCTGTGCTGGAGCTGCGCCCCTGACCATCGGTGGCGGCACAATCGCAGACATGTTCCCTCCGCAACAAAGAGCAGGTGCAATGGCTATCTGGGCCGTAGGTAAGTTATGACTATACAAAATACACATGAGACATACACTGACTTCACATCTCCACCTCTATAGGCCCACTCCTCGGCCCCGTGATTGGTCCCGTATGCGGAGGTTTCCTTGTCGAGCATCAATCCTGGCGCTGGGTATTCTGGATCCTAGCCATCTTCGGTGGAGTCTTTGGCGTCCTGCTCTTCTTCGTTGGCCGCGAAAGTTTCCATCCCACTCTCCTCGCTCGCAAAACAAAGGCCCTACAAAAGGAAACCGGAAACATGAACCTCCGCTCGAAACTCGCGCAGGATCTGCCGCCAAGAGAGATCTTCATTCGTGCTATTGTTCGTCCGATGAAGATGCTCTTCCTCTCTCCCATCGTTGGCCTTATGTCTCTCTACGTCGCTGTGAACTATGGTATCTTATACCTCTTCTTCACAACCGTGACGTTCGTCTTCGAGGGTCAATACCGCTTCTCCTCCGGCGCTGTTGGATTATCTTACATTGGTGTCGGCGTGGGCATGTTCATCGGTATGATCGCCCTTGGTATTGTATCCGACAAAATTATCGTCAAGCAACAAGCTAAAGGCAACGTCAAACCTGAACATCGCCTCCCTCTCATCCTTACTATGCCTGGCGCCATTGGACTACCTGTTGGCGTCTTCGTGTACGGATGGACGACTTATTACAAGGTTCATTGGATTGTTCCCATCATCTTCACGTCGTTCATCGGTCTGGGTAACCTGACGGCTATGATGACTATTCAAACTTATCTCGTCGATGCGTTTACTATCCATGCCGCGTCTGCTATCGCCGCAAACACTGTTCTCCGCTCTATCTTCGGTGCATTCTTACCGCTTGCCGGATTGAACATGTACGATGCTTTGGGTTTGGGCTGGGGTAACTCACTGCTTGGTTTCATCTCGGTGGCTTTTATTCCGGTGCCGATTTTATTCAGATACTACGGTGAGCGGATCAGAACAAATCCGAAGCTGCAGGTGCAGTTTTAGGGTTGTGATCTTGTTCGGTGTGGATCTTTCTTATCCTGAAAACATAGAATAGGCATTGTAGGAAGTAAAGTTACAATGGAGAAACATTTGAGTGTATGCCACACCTGAGGTGCACAACAAACGACTCTCACACTTCGCCCGCTGGCTCGTAAGCGGCTCCGTACTTGATGAGGATTCTCACGATCCCCTCTTGACCTTCCCGCATTGCTATCTCCATCGTGTCTCCATGATCCGCGCCCGCTAGGAGAAGTTCTTCCACAATTTGCTCATGGCCCTTACCTGCAGCTTGGTCTAGAGCGGTACCATGTTCGCCCTTGACATTAAGCGTGCGGTTATCCACATCCGCTTTAACCAGCTTCGATACGATACCACCGTAGCCTTTGCTCGCCGCCACAATGAGTGCTGTAAAGCGAGTACGATTCCCATGGTATTTTACATCGGCACCGTTTGCGATGAGCATATCGACTATGATTTCATGTCCTCGATACGCAGCAGCTTGTAAAGCTGTACCAAAGTGACCCGCCTCGCAATTTACATCAGCCCCATTGGTGATGAGTATGTTCACTATTGTTGCGTTTCCTTCAAAGGCAGCAGTTTGCAAGGCTGTGCCGAAAGTTCCCCCTTTATAGTTTACGTCTGCACCAGACGCAACGAGAATCTCTACAACCTTTTCGTTTCCACGAAACGTTGCAGCTTTAAGGGCGGTGTGCTGATATACGCCTACTTTGTTGATTTCTTAACTTGACTTTGAGTTGCAGAGTAGAGACACAGTCTGACATAGATCAGAGCAAGCTGCCCAATACAATGCAGTTGCGCTCGATACATCACAAAGCCGAGTCCATGAGGTTCGTACGACATCGCTTTCCAGGACTCTGAGGTGGAGACGCATACTTACGGGGAGTGGTTCCTCGATTAACTCTGCTAATGCTTGATGCCGTGGCCAATATGTGCAGACGTATGGTAGTAGTGTATAAGCGGGCGCGAAATCATTCAGGAAATCCTGCTTATAAAATCGTGTCTTACTATTCTCCTGGCGCAGAGGAAGTTCGCGTGGCGGCTTCGCTTCATCGATCCAAATCTTCACGTTTCGTTGCTCTGTAAAATATAGAAGATACGCGCAACACCTCTGAACCAGGGAAAGTTCCACTTCCGTTTCCCTGAGTGCGTATTTCGACAGTTCAAGGTGAGACTGACGTAAGCGGTTGGAGACCAAATACTCTTTGACAGAGAAGTGGGCAAGGCGAACTGTTTGATTATAACACGTCGTGTCGTACTTCTTTGGTAAAGGATCTCCTAAAGGATTGTTCGTGAAGACACGGTATCGCCCGTAGTCTGAATCGTAGTCGGACTGGTCTCCACTAACAATAAGTGAAGATAAGACACTAAAGAGACCAACAAGGGCTTCGTATCCGCCTTCCTCGAAAATGGGCTCCTGGAAATTGTCAACCCGGATACTACATGCCTCTGCTAACTCGGCAACGGAAAGCGGCCTCAAACTAAACGCAAGCCATTCTAAAGCTGCCCGAGCTTCATCAAAGTAGAGATTGTCGATGGAGGACAAGATACGTGCATATGTCTCATCCAAGGTCCGTGGCATCTCATACAATGCCAGCGAGATATATTTTGGTCGCAAAATCTTCAAATTGCGAATGTTGTCGAGCTGGAGTGCGGCCCATCGAAACCTGTGCTCGAGGTCAGAATCTGGACATTTTCGCATCATCATTTTGCGGCAGGAGACTCCCATTCCGTCTGACTTCTTGCGGAACTCATCTTCGATCTCTTTTTTTGTTGCGCTCGGAAGTTTTACTAGCTTCCTGTCTGTGGCCAACGCGTTCTTCACATAGAGATCAATATCCTGATTGACACTCTCTTCGTCAATTGTAAACCGAGTCACAGGCCAAGACGATAAGAGATCTTCGATATCTGCTTCCTTACGGCTGGTGATGGGAAGTCTAATTTCCGGAAGAGATTGTGTGATACGTCTAAATCCTTCTAGGATCTTCTCTCGTTGTTCTTCTGAGCATTCGTCGAGGGCGTCAACCACAAGATAGGATGTCCTAGATTCTTCAAGCAAAGCTAGGAATATGTGCTCAAGAACTTCGGATGAAGGCTTTTGAGACGGAGCCTGGGAGTAAGCAGCCCTGAGAAGTGGATGAACGCTGCGTTTTCGACTTAATTGAGCGACCATAGAGAGTAACACGCTCGTGTAATTCTGCTTCTGTGCATCAGAGAAAGAGAAGTAAAAGTAGGCGAAAGCAACGTTGTCTTGGCCAGAGACTCGGCCGAACACTTGTTCGATGACCGTGGAGCACAGTATCGTTTTGCAACATCCAGCTTTTCCATGCAGCCAAAGTAAGGGCGATGAGCCAGAAATCCAATCTTGATATCCCTGGCTGTTGAGTAGCCATTCTCCGGTTCCAGTTTCGTATCTTACACGTGCTTGAGTGTGGTTAGTCGTTGGATCTGGTGCATCGAGCCACTTGAGAATCTCCAAAACCTCCCTGGATTGCTCCACGGAGAGCAGGGCCTGCACGCTTGCTGCGGTGGCAGACACTTGGGTCTGTGTGATTAATGTGGTAGCTTTGATTCGTTTGACGAATTCCTCAGTAGTGTCGAGGGTACTTTGGATTTGATCCGCTTTGAGTTGAGCAGAATGACTGTTGCTCAGATAGATGATCTGGAGTGCGAAGTTCAGTTGTTGCATCAAGCCCTGAGCGATTTCCTTGAGCTTTTCCAATGTACTTTTCCGAAAAGGGTACATCAAGCGGAGAGCACCGACTTCAGCTCGCTGTCGTAGTCCAGCCGGCGCATCTTTGTGTAACTTCTTCAGTTTCTTCTCTAACTGCTGAATACCGTCTTGACACGTCGCGAGGCATTCTTGTGCGCGGATGGCGAGAGCCTTTTGTGATATCATCTGCAGTTCGTCATACAGAAGCGCAAAGGTTTTGGCGAGATGATCAATTTCAGTGTATGTTCCTTGAATATCGTCCTCATATCCCTTCCAATCGCGGTAATATTTGAGTATACCCTCGCATACCTGAATACCCAGCGAAATAACACCAACGGCAGTGCCAGGGTCCATATCGACGCGTTCACTCGTGAAGAAAAGAAAGAAGAAAAGGTAAGAAGGTTCCCGTAGCAGGTTGTGGGTTGTTGTAGAGGGCGATGAATGTGCGGGGCAGTAGGCACAAGGCAAACCTCACTCCACGCTGAGCCAGCAGACCTCAGCCAGGCTGTGAGCGCCCAGCTCAGCGATCAAGCCTCTTTTTCCCGAGACCAATAAAATGTCCAAGCCTATCTTACCCGGAGGCTATGAATGTGGGATCTCTACATACCAATAGTAGCACGCACAAGGCTGAGGCCGCCCCTTGAGCAACGTGGCATACCATGCAGCCATTGGAGTGTGCTAGACAATGCACCATTGCGGTGAAGATGACACAGCCAAACATACTGACATACTCAGGCCCTCTGTGCGGAAAAGTTGGTGACCGCGATGGAAGATCATAGTATCGAAAAGATCGTCCTCGCCCGTGCGCTAGAGTTTCGAAACACGCCCTGAATTACGCCTCTGGGAACATGGTCTGTGCACTTCCCGCCTTAGGGGGCGCAGCGAACATGCGCTTCGCATATCAACAGGCGCACGAGGCTCAAACACCGCGACCGGGCTTTTGATGTTCCACGCAAAAGCAATTTTACGAAATGTTGCGTCCTATACCAGCGGTCGGTCTTGCGAGTGCACTCGTCCAGACCATAGATTTCAGCATCAACGCACTTCGCAAGGACCACCCCATCTTCCAGCCTAGCTCACCTTCGACAACGCCGTTCGTGGAGAATGCAGCTTTCCTGCAGGACATCATACACAATCTGTACCGCCTAACCGACCTAATTGACCACTCTGAGCTCAAGGAGCTATACGACGAGAAATCTGCAAAAAGCGCAAAAGCAGCCAAGAAACTTAGCGAGGCTGCGTTGCAATTGCTGAAGCATGCCGATTTGGTCAAAGAGCTGACGGCTTCGTTCATTGACGCAGTTATCGCTGCACAAGAGAAAGGAAAGTTTGGCGATCCGCGATGGCCTACTGCTCGCGAGGCACTGTTGAACGGGGTGTGGAAGAAGGCCCACCTTACAGGTGTGAAGAAGAGGTATCGAGCTCTTCGTCGCGACATTGAGACGAGTCTGCTGTTGGCTATGCGCCAGTATCTTGACCAGTCAATTGAAACTGGTCTTGCTTTGTTTAGCGGTGAGGAAGGCGTGCACACGAAGCACTGGGAAAAATGGCAGAATCAAACGCTTGACATGATCCACAGCAACGATTGGAAGAGTAATAAGAAGAAGGATGTCGAAGAATTTTCCAAGCAAGTCGATGCATTGATTCAGGCGGAAAACGAAGCATACTTTCGCGCGACAATCTTCGATAGGCTGTGGTTCGAGGAGATGGACGAGAGATTGAATAGTATCCCTGCACCAGTCGATGGAGGCTTTGAGTGGGTATTCGGAGACGCCTCGAGACAAGTTGGCGGATTGCTGGAGTGGTTTACCAATACAAGAGGCGAAGAAATATATTGGCTCACTGGTGCGTCTCTACCTCTTGCGATCCCGCTGTTTGATCCCTAATCTCCATCTCACACTGACCCTAGGGAAGCCGGGCTCCGGGAAGACGACTCTCATGAAACATTTATTCCGTAATCCACGCCTGTTCCCACACCTTGAAGCCTGGTCAGGACAACTACCAGGCATCACGTCTGGATTCTTTCTCTGGAACTCTGGAACAGAACCGCAGAAGAGTTCTGTCGGCCTACTGCGAGCCATCATCTACGAAACCTTACAAGACTTGATCTTTGGGCCGTTGGAAGAAGATGGGATCATTGTGCAAAACCTATTCTCGGATCGCTGGAATGCTTTCCTATCCTACGCTGGCGGTCTGCACGAATTTAATTTCCCAGAACTAAAGGCGGCATTCGAGGGCTTGGTCAGTGACGCGAAAAAGAAGTTCTTCTTCATGATTGACGGGCTGGATGAGACGGAGGATTATCCGAAGGAGTTGATGGACCTTGTGTTCAGCACTGCGCGAAGAGACAACGTCAAATTCTTGCTCTCGGCTCGAAGCTCCCCAGCTTTCCAGTCAGCTTTTGAGAACAAGCCTAGAATGATGCTGGAAGAATATACCAAAGACGATATACATACCTACTTGGCCACGACGTTCAACATGGAGGCCAAGCTGCAGGCATTGAGGGGAAAGATGGACGGAGAAGAAGAAAGCACTATTGTCAGGGTACTTGCGGAAAAGAGTTCAGGGGTGTTTCTGTGGGCACAACTCGCAACCAAGTTCCTCCTCGAAAACCTAGAACCCGACTCGGATTTTCTCATCTTGAAAGACCGCGCGGACGCCCTTCCCTACATTCTCGACGACCTGCTCGCCCACATACTCAGCAAACTCGCCCCAGAAGACATTGAGGTAATCAACAAACTGCACAACCTTCTCTCACACCAAAACACATGTCCTGCTATCCTTCCATTCTCATTTGCCTATACAGCCGAAACACCAGCCACATTAGCCGCTGATGTACGGCCTTTGACAGCGGTCGAAATAAGTAAGAGAGTAGAAGACATGCAAGCCTTGACTCAACAGCGCTGCAAAGGGTTACTGTCTATCTTTGACACCACGCCATCCGACCAACATGCCAGTTTTGAGAGCCTCAGAATGAGTTACGCCCATCGTGCGATACGCGATTACTTCCTCGCATACCCCGGTCTACTGCAAACGAGCCTGAGCAACACATCGGAAGAAAACAACTGGAATCCAGCGCAACAATGGGCGAATGCTCATCTTTGGTTACTTAAAACACTCTCTCCACCTACCACCAAACGCTCCAGCAATGGCAATACCAACTCGAAAACATCAACACTCCACGTGTGGACCCCACTTTCTAGTGCATTAGAAAGTAGCCTCGAGTTACACATTGCCACAAACAAATTCCCACTAACCTACATCGACGCTGCCCTAACAACAGCCATCTTCCTTGCACTACGAAGTGAAACCGGCCACGACCTTCCTCAATACGCCTCATCGTCACATGTCGCGTCCACATCAACAACACCTTCTGCATCCACAACCCCGACAACCCTTACAACCCCCCTCGATCTAGCCGTGCTCCTCAACCTCACCGCCTACATCGCGCTGAAAGCCAAAACCACAGATCGCCGTGAAGTACGCCACGCGCTCGACTACAGCCGCGGAATGCGAAAACGAATGGGCGTTGGAGGGGAGGAAGTCTGGTTATCTGGACGGGGAAGGGAGAGGCTGAGGAAAGAGTTTGAGAAGGGGAGGCAAGACGGGGAGGCGCTGTTGGAGTATTATGCCAAGGCGGTTAGGTTTGGGGTCAGTAAGCCGGAGCTTGAAGCGCCGGAGTGGGTTTGAGAGGTACACGAGCAACAGGCTGGTTGATTGGACTTACGAATCGGAGTAAGTAGTAGTGATGTACCGGGAGGATGGTGTAAGGGGGAATCTCTCGCCATAGCGCATATTGATAGTTTGGAGGAACAACGTCGACGCAAATGAAAACATAATCCGATAATGATGAGGAGATTAAGCTTCTTCTAGTTAACAGAAATAGGATGGCGGGTATCTCGGGGTAGAGAGAGTGTCCGTGTATGTAGTGTTTCCTCCCTCTCTCTCTCTCTCTCTCTCTCTTAGCTGCAAGTAGATTACTCGAACGAAACATACAACCAATCCACCGACTCAAAGTGCTCGAAAGCCAAAAGTAGAATGCTGGGAAAGAAGGATAAGAAGGAGAGCCATGTACAAGGCGTGACAATGACAGAAGCATGAAAGGAAAAAGACGTCAGTCAAGTAATTAAGCAGCCGGTTAGCTCTTGGCACCAGACGCTGTGCCCTCCTGCGATGATCCCACGGGTTTGTCCCCATGCTCCTGTCTCAACCTATTCACCTCCTCATCATCCGCCTTGGCCGGATGACCATCGCCCCTCCAGCCCTCATGGTTATTGCTTGGGCGAAACTCCTTGGCATGGTACTTCATTGCATCGACCCTGGCCCCAGCCTCTCTCTGGACCTGGTGTCTTAGATGCCTGGGCGACATTTCACCTTCTTCCTCTAGACGGTCCAGTTCCTCCACATCACTACTACTCATACTACTGCTCCTACTGATCTGAGTGTAGACCACGGCGTCGCCCTCCTTCTTCTTACGCTCGCGCTGTTCGTTCTTCATGTGTTCCATCTTCTCGGCGTCGCCTTGGCAGTCGAGTGTACGTATGTGTAGACCGGGAAGGTTTTGAGACATGAATTCTTTGAGCTGGGGAAGGAGTTTGGCGTTAGGGCGGTAGGTGCCTGAGTCGTTGTCGATGACGAGTTCGTAGTAGGCTGGGTCTTTCGGAGGACCTTCTTTGGGAGGCCCGCCGTCGACGTCGCCTGGGGGATGGGACGTATTGTTTCCCCCTTCATCCGGCGGCTTGCGGTCCTTGTGCTTTAATCTTCTGATGAAAAACTCGCCGGAGAACGCGACGTATGCCGCGACATCGCTGTGCATAGTGTGTTTGCTTAACATGTCGATGCCGAATTCCTTGCCAGTTTCTGTGAATCTGAAGAGCGCATCGAGGGTCAAGACGTAGGTGAAGATCCTCCCACCTTGATCGTAGTGGACTAGTTCGAGGAACTTTTGCGTGAATTCCTGGCAGGGTGCGGGCAAAGTTTTGAACTCGGTGGCATGATCGAAGTTGTACACGCGTGCGTGCTGGTGATGTAGTGCTTTTGAGAGGATGAATCCTCGCACGCCCTTGGCGGTGAACATGCTCTTGACAAAAGGCTTGAACTCGACGTAGCGGTGGTACATGGCTTCGGGGACTGGGCCGCGCATTTGCATTTGGTTTGACTGGAAGTTGTACTTCTCAGGCTTCTGCTTGCCGCTCCTGCGCGACACTTGGCCATCGTTGTTGGGCTCTTTCTGACCCAAGAGGCGTCCCAGAAGCGGAGAATAGTGCCGTATCCAGAACTGTGGACCAATTGTATAGGCACGCCCGCCGTTGTCGTCTTCGGTCCTGCCCAGCACTTGTACACTGACGTTGAGCGTGCCATTCATGTGTTGCGCCTTGCCGAAGCAAACAGCCATTGCCCGCAGCGCATAGGCCCGCTTGCTCACCATGCGCTTCTTGATGGGATACGTCTGGTCTTGTATGCCTCCCCAGTTCTCGTTTACTGCAGGGACGGTAACGTGGACGTTGCCGAGGCGGTCGTCATGGTCTGCAGGGTCTTCGTCGTATATGCGGCATTTGAGGTTGAAGCCTGAAGCGGGCACGTTGGCGACTACCCACTCGCAGTCCCATACAGGATCGGTGCTCTGTCGCACCGTCGGTGTTCGCAACGTCAACGGCGGGTCTTCTTTGTGTCGTGTGGGCAGGCCGGTGAAGAGCTGGGCGACGATGAAGGGATCGGCGCTCAGGGTATTGATGTCGGCGAGCGGCAGGTTGCTGGCGCGATGTAGCGTGAACTTGACGGTATAGCCGGGAGGTGCGCGCGGTATGGGTGTGTCGTCGAAGCCACCTTCCGGGCCCTTCTTCTTGCTGCCGAACGTATCCGTCTTCTGCGGCTTTGGGGGCTCGTGGTCAGCGCCGTCGAAACCACCCGCCTTCTCCGGCACGTCGGGCGCATGTCCGTTCAGCGCGTCTTCAGGCTTCGCATCCTTCACCTGTGCCATGGCTGCGATGCGCAATGCGCGATGGTGACTCGGTGTGGGAACTGTGCGGCGTGCTGGCTGTGCGGAGTATTATCGCGTCTCGGCGCAAGGGAACCAGGGCGCGCAACAGAGGCCAGCTAGCAGTAGTTGGAGATGTCAAAAGTGAAGTGTCGCAAAACCACAAAGGTCAGCTGGCGCATGGCGTGGCAGGATGTAAGCAGAATATGCAAGGCTGGAAAAAGAAGCGCCGAACGCGCAATCGCAGGCGGGCGCAGTGCAGGATGGATGTTGATCGGCAGTGGGAGAGGCTTGACGGGCTTGACCCTGCGAAAACAAGCTTTGCTAAGCATCAGCCCAGACGCTGACCACTTTACCCAGCCACATCCAACCTATCCAATCTAACAGCCCGTGTCAGCTGCCGTCTCCACTCGTCTCCTCTTCCCACCCGTCCTGACTGGGCTAGGGACTCGCATGTGACATCCAAACCTGGCCATACCACAGCGAACGGCCTGACGTCACGGCGGGTGGCACCGGCTCGACATGCACCGGCAGCCAAAACAACGTGCGGGTATACTATGTAGCAACAACACGTGCATCATGTGATTTTCATGTCGCATGTTTACTATTAGATCTACATTTTCCATGAGAGAAGAGTCGTCATGTTTCTGCCAGCACATCTGCCAGCTCATTCAAAAAGCAAGCTGCCATGTCTATCAATTCATCGTCCGTCTATTACAATGTATATGTGACAGTACAACGGTACTGCCATGCAAAACACAAGAACGCCGCGCTCGCTTCCAGATGCGAGTGCTAACTTGCCGCCGAAAAGGGTATCATACAGTCCATGGACCAAGACGTCCAAGAAATCGTCATGTCGAAATAAAGTTTCTATCAAACGCCAGACCACGCTACGCAGCAGCCATGGTGATCTGCTTGCCCTTCATCGACTTCCACTGCACGAACGCCGCGCCGACAATTGACACGGTGCCGCAAGCAACCGAGACGTAGAACGTCTGGGTCAGAGTCAGGTTGTAGGCCGTAAGCACACCAGACAGATATTCGGGATCGATAGCATGCTTGAGCTCAGTCGCACCGGTTCTGAGAACGATGCTTGCGTCAAGATCAGGCACGATGCTGGCGAGGTTCTTGATGAGCTGGTTGGTGAAGACGTTCTGGCCAACTGAGATGAACAGAGCACCACCGAGGGTTTGCGTGAACATCATAATCGCAGTACCGATAGCGATATCATCGGCCGGCAACACTGTCTGAACAGCGACAAGAGTCTGTTGCATACCGAAACCGACTCCAGCACCGAAGATGAACTGGTATCCGATCCACTTGGAGGAGCCACTGTCAACTTCCAACGTGGACAAGAGACCAGCACCGATTGCCATCAAGATGGACGAGACCAGCATGAATGGGGTGTAGTAGCCCAGAGCTGTAACAAGCCCACCAGCAAGCATTGAGATGATGACGAGTCCTAGGATGGCAGGCAAGTTCATGATACCGGACTTGGTAGCCGATGCGCCCTTGATCGCCTGGAACCAGATTGGAAGATAGTAGACGATGAGGAAGAATGCTGCACCCAACATGGCACCAAACCATGCACTGCCCCAGACGTTGCGGTTGAGGAACACGCGAGGGGGCACGGTAGCATCCTCCTGCTTCCACCACTGGATGGTGATGAAACCGGCAATGAGCAGAACGAAGAGGACTAGGAGCGCGATGATACGTCCACTGTTCCATGCATACTTGCTACCACCCCACTGGAGGGCAAGCAACAAACAGATGATAGCTGGTAAGAAACACGCGGTACCGGGAAGATCGAACTTCTGAAGCTGCTGCTTCCAGGTAGCCTCAACCTTCTTGCCACGACGCTTGACATTGAGGAAGGGGATGATGAAGGCAGCAGTAGCGGCACCGAAGGGAAGGTTGATGTAGACTGCGCACCGGAAGTCAGCGGATGGATCCACAAAGCTTGATCGTACATCATATATGAGTAATCACTTACAGCACCAGCGCCAAGTCAAATGGTCTGTGAAGGCTCCGCCCATACTAAGCAATTATTAGTTCACGTCGATCTTAGATCCCGAATCCTTCTCCACAACTTACAGTGGACCAGCGACAGACGCAATACCATACATGCCTCCAATGAGTCCCATGTAAGTAGGACGACTGCGCAGCGGCACGGTAACAGAGATGATCAGAATGGCTCCAGAAAAGATACCGGCTGCTCCTACACCAGCGACTGCGCGACCAATAATGAGAGCTGTTGAGTTTGGCGCAACACCGCAGATAAGCGAGCCGAGTTCGAAGATGAAGAGGGCGATGAGATACACCCATTTGATGGAGTAGTATGTATAGAACTTTCCGTAGATCAGTTGCGTCGCGCAAGTTGTCAGGAGGTATGACGACCCATACCATCCCACGTCGTTGAGCGCTTTGAACTGATCTGTGATACGAGGAATAGCTGTTGCGATAATTGTGTTATCCTACAAAGATACGGCTGTCAGTATTGATTATAATTAGGTTTGACAGGTGTAGCCGCTGTCGATCAACGGCTTACCAAGGCAGTGGAACCAGGGATTACAGAAAGATGCAGCTTACCAGTGCCATGCAAAACACACTCAGACAAAGCGCCAGAGTGATGGCAGTGAGCTTCCATTTCGTCGGGTATTCAAAGTCGTCGTCATCTTCCAACGTTGGCTCGGCTGTTGAGTTGGGTCGCGACGACTTTTCGCCAGTGACGGGCCGAGCAGCATCTACTGCAACGCCAGCAGCAGGGGCAACGGTTTCAACAGCGCCCTTCTTCTCGTCGATAACAGTGGGCTGGACGCTAGGCGCAGCGGTTTTCTCCGAGTCCGCCATGCTGGAGGGGCGGAGCTCGTTATTTGTGTCGCTCATGGGGAAAGCGCAGAGAGGCCTTCTGATGTATACGCGATGATGCAGGGTAGTTCGTGAGACAAGTCGTCAAAGCGCCAAGGAAACAAACAACCAGATGGTTGCGAAGAAAGAGCGAGAAGCGGATGAACCCTTGGATAAGTAACTAGGCAAACACTTCGCAGGGGCGGAAAGTGTAGCCTCTATATACTACCCGACTATTCTGGCGGGCCAAAAAGGAGGTAGGTACGAGACCGGAGTCAGGGCTGAAGCGAATCGAGTGCAACCGATATTTCCCTTGCCTGACGGAGACATGACAATCTTTCGTCCCCGTCTGCGGCGTGGGCGCTAGAATTAGCTGCCGGGTTTCATGCTCGCTCACCCATGCGCACAACAAAGCTTAGTACCGGGGTCTCGGGGGTCCATTCCTCGCATACATCGTATCGTACCTAACATCTGACTAACCCAGACCCTTCCATTGTTTGCTTTCGTCGCAGCATGCCACCAGGTTTCGTCCGTGTAGAGTACCTTCTCACCGTCATCTGCCTCTTACTGGCTGCCTGAACCCCACCACCACGCTTCCAAACACCCATTCCATCTCTCCGCCGGTGACTCGATGAGTTTGCGATTTGCACCTATCGTTGCATCGCAGGGGCCTTTCGATTACCGAGGACCTGGATGCTGAGTCTAGAAACGTGCTTGCGGTCAAGAAGCTTCGCGCCGTTGCAGACGATCTTGCGGCTTAGCTAGCGTCCGTTTGCATTAAGCGTTCCGGACAAGGGACGGACTCCGTGGGCGCCGATTTTTTTCTTTCGATACGGTTCATCACCATTATGTTCTCACTATGAGCAGGTTTCTTGGGTGTACTACCATCACAACGTGGCGCATCCTCCTTTGTCTCCATGCGCTTATGCAATATTTCAAGTTCATCGAGTTTCTGCTAACGATTATGTCCCCTGCGTGCCTGATACTGCTCTGGAATTTCGTCCGTGAAATCTCAAGTTATCTTATCTTATCGTGCCTTCTATACACGATGTTGTTTCGTCCGTGAACCCTCATCACCACACGCGTGCAAGATTGTGTGTAGCTGCCTGAAATCGATCCTCACCGGCTAAATTTCACCATTGTGGATATCCACTTACAGGATACCGTTCTAGCCTCGTCAACCAGGCAAGCCGCCAAGCTCATCTGACTCGCTCTTGTAAAGGCTTGGCATGAGGGTCGGGGACTCGGAGGAGAATTGCGCTCCGCTCGCCTACTACTTACGAGAATGCGACGGGAGAAGATGACGCATCACTAACGCGGCTGCAGGTATGTGTCACGGTGGCTGCCTTGGTAGAACCGTGGAATGAAAAGACGATGAAAAGTTACATTGCCTTGTGTAGTCCACGCTGCAGTATCTCTCTTGCTGAATCGGCGTATGCTGCTTTGGCAAAAGTGTCCGCTTCGGAGAGATTCTACCAGCAGTCTATGGTGTTTACTCTCCGAGGATCGTCGCGAGTATCTTCACCAAATCCGCGACGCTCTCAGAGTAGCCGAGTCACACTATCACAGCAATGATCCATTGAGCCCGTTTTTTTCAGCCGCACAGCATCTGCGTGCACCCTGCACGCGGCTATGCACTCGATCGTTTAGCAGGTATGTCACAGTCACACCATGCATATCGTGCTGCAAATGTAACATCCGAAGAAGCAGAAGACGGAATAAAACGGTCCGATTGACGTGTTGAAATCGCCATGTAGTTTTCTAGTTTAACACATGTTGGATGCCTGATGTTGACGCAGGCTTGTTTCGCGGCTATGACAGGTACTGGACACCCTCTGAGCATACCGCTGCTCCTACTTTCCCCCGTTGACTATTTTTATTGCACGTTCTGCTGGATCCAGTACCAGATTCTTTCAATGTACTCCTTGTCCAGGGGCTTGACGTCCCTCAGCGCCGGTACGCACTTGCTCGTTTCCGCTGTTGAGAACTGCGGTCTTGAAGTACTGTACTCCATACCGTTGCCGTACGACTCTTTCCACAATCCTAGTAACTTCAGCGCAGAATGATTCGAGTCACCAGCCTGCTCTAATCGCTCCACCCACTCCTTGGGCGTAACAATTTCGAACCATTCCTTCTTCTGCAGCCACTGCAACATCTGGTTCCAGTCGGGTTCCTGATGCGGATTCAATACATGGAACACTGGCATGTCCTCTCCCCCCTTGATTGGACCAGTGGCCTCAAGGAACGCTTTCGCAGCAATATTGACAGGTAGCCAGTCTAGAGGCTCGCTTCCAAGATCGGGCAAACATTTAATGAGCTTCGCAGTACTCAACATCATAGGCCAGGCTTCCTTCGTGTTCCATACCCCTGACATCGAATCACCAGCAAGCTGACCCACACGGACAACTGCGATACGTCCGCGAAGACTCGTCCGATTATGCGCTTCAAGGCAGATATGCTCTGCAACCCATTTTGAACGCGAATAACCCAGCGGAGACGCAGAAGAGGGCTCCGGTGATAGTCGCTCGGGTAGCTCACCCGATGCGTCGAGAGAGCCGTTCATGATGGCCGCAGTGGAAGAACAGTATGTGAAGCGCGGAGGCTGCGATTGGGGTGACTTCAGGGCGAGATCGAGCAAGTTTCTTACACCGGCTATGTTGTCTTTCTCAAAACTGCGCAACTTGAGACGGAAGTTGACAGTCCAAGCAACGTGGACGATTGAAGTTACTCTCTGCGCAAGGAACTCGTACACTTCGTCGCTAAGCCCCAGACGTTTTTCTCCTAGTTGAGACGTCACGATTTTGATCTTACCATTGGGGGACCCCGATGATAACAGGTTAACCAATCCACGCTGCTCTAGTGCTTTGCTCACACGTTCCCTTGCTGCATGCTCATCTACCCCTCTGACAAGGCAATAGACAGCTTCAACATTCGACGTCTTTTGCAGCAGGTCTAGAATGTGTGCTCCCAAAGCACCGGTGGCTCCTGTAAGTACTACCACTTCGCTGCCTGTATTGTCTCCAATCAATCCATTTGTGGTGGCAGTTTGCTGTGGTGTCGTCTTGAACGAGCCGTATTGCTTTACCAAGTCCAGCATCAACTTCTCTTCGTCTTCACCATCGGAGTCGATCTGACCATGCCTCTTTCGCAAGACGTAATCTGCCAGTCTTCGTATAGTACCACAGTCTTCGACGACGCTCATTGGAAGCTGGCCTTCAAAGTTGGGTATCAAGCGTCTCAAGCGCGTTCTCAACTGCATGCACGCAATAGAGTCCACCCCGTAGGAAAACAAGTCCATGTCTTCGTTTAATCCTGCCGTCTGTCCGGTCATGCTTTGGATGAGACCAATCAGATGCTGAGGCAAATCCTTGTCACTGACTTCAGGTGATGACTCGGAGTCTTGAGATTTGTATGCGTAATTGATGATGTCTTCGAATCGAGATTCTGCTGCTCTGCGGATGATCGTCCCCTTGCTACTCTTTTCGAGCGGCTCGTCTTGATGAGAGAGGGGGATCAGCATGTCAAAGGGTATTCTAGCATGGTCTTGACTCTCGCTGTTCAATTTCTCGACTTGACTCTTGATACATTCAAGAAGCTCTTGGTCTGACATGTTGCTCGCCTCCTGTGATCGCAGAAGGAGAGCACCTGGGAAAGGTCGGTTGTTGCCGAATATCAACACATCGTCGAGGTAAGGCGACGTCGCGATAGCGTCTTCCAAGGGTGCTGGGTCGAATTTCTTTCCTGTTATTAGTGTGAGCTGTGAGTCTGCTCGCGAATGATACAGCCATGCGTCTTTAATCGTTGGGTGTGCCGCGAATAAGTCGGCAGTGGCGAACGATCCGTCTGGTCGATTCTGTTTCGCCTATACCAAAGTCAGTGAAGGATCCTGTCTCTTCATTTCGTAGGAGGTACCATGTGCGGCCATCCCGGCTTGATGATCAGTTCAGCTAGATCATCTTCACGCCTCTCAAACTCTATCAGATTTCGTGGATTGTAGTTTCGAAGATACTGCCAGTCATTATCGGAGGCAAAATTTCGATACGACGATAGAATGAAGCCACACTCCGCACTCCCAAATCTTGAGATGAGGTTTACTCGATTCTTCACCAATCGATCGCCGACTTCTGCTGGCAACGCAGCCCCTCCAACACCCACGATGTCCATGCCCTGAAGCACTTGGAGACCTTTTCCATCTGCCTCCATCATCTGGAGAACATACGGTACCGACGAGAAATATCTGACCTTAGGCAGTCCCTCAGTCGCCGCGTATGACCTAGCCACATCCAGGCAACTACAGATATTGCGTGCTGTTATGGGCATATCTTTGCTTGGGAAAAGCCAAATCATAGCATTGCTTGTCCAGCATCGGAAGAGATCTGCGATGCCACCATGATAAAGTGGCGTTGTGGTGAACGACGCTAAGGAGGGGATTCTAGGGAGATGTGGAAGCACGCCAATAGCGGCGCGATGAGACTGTGGTATAGGCTTCGGTAGACCTGAAGAGGTTCCAGATGTATGATGGAGATACGCGATTGCTCTTTCATCTACGTGAAGAGGTTCGATGCTGGTTCCTGGCGAAGTCTGGATGACTTCAAAGATGTCTTCTGTATCGCTCATAGGCAGCAGGCGTACTTCTAGCCCAGAAGTTCCCCGCTCTTTTGCCAGATTCTTTGTCTCTTGCGCTCGTTCTGCATGAGCAGCATCGTAGAAGAAATCAGAAACTTCGCACGATGTACAGAGATGTAGTATGGCAGCTGGTTGACATTGTGGTGCTATCAGAAGAACAGAGTATCCTAGTCTGATTAGGCCTAACCAGGTGAAGAGAAATTCCGGAGAGCTGTGGCACAGCAAAGCGACCGTCTCTGCCTTTCCAGAAATACCAAGAGACTTTGCCAGGCGTGAGGCGAAGACATTGGTGCCTTGGTCAACGTCTGCAAATGTAAGAACCCGATAATCCCAATTCTGTTGGCCTGTTCGCGGTATGGGGAAGCCAACGGCGGGGAGCAACGGATGATGCTGGGATTGCTGACTGAGAAAGTCGCTAATGTTCCGGTATGGCTTCGGATTGGTGTTCAGGGCGGCAGCTTGACCGAGTGTGCAGACGAAGTAGTTGCTCTGCATTTTGGGATGCATACCAGGGATGAGTGTGTAGACTGAACTTTCCGGTCCAATGGCCTATGAGGCTGGTTTGTTGATGCATCGGGTTCAATGGCATAGAATTTGTGATTACAGCGGCGCTGCAAGCCCCATTAGTCGTGACATCATAGTAGCTGCAAAGGCAATAGCGACCCTGCAGCTGCTCTTTAGGCAAACTACTGTATAGACAGCGCATGTCAGGCTGTACTTTGGCAAAGAACATGAGGTTGCATACGGCAATTCCACGATAGCAGCAAGCTTTGGACTATTCGCAAGCCTCGGGGTAATACATAGTAGATCAGTTGCTGCGCGCACGAACCATGCGTTCGACGAGGCTTTGCCCACCCAACGCAGGCCTATGACGCGAGCCGCCATTTGGTCGCGTCAAATTGGATGTGTTCAATAGCACTCATATCCCTCAGTCGTACATGGCGCCACGAAACGTCTAGAAGAGGCTCGAGTATCTTCCTGTGCAAAGCAAACTCGACAAACGGTTGGAGAGCGTCGTAGACCCACGTAATCTGCTTACGACGGGCGTTACCATGTACAGGCTACGCCACAGTCACTATCGCATTTCTGGGGTAGCGAATGCGGGCAATGTTGACGCGTCGACGCCATCCAGTAGCGGCTATCAAGGTGTCGCGATAGTCAAGTCGCAAGATGTATCGTACCCTGTATGTGGAAGCCAGGACCATCTCTTTCTGGCTCAGGTGACAACAGCACATCAGCGCTTCTCCGCTCTTGCTCTCCGCACAGCGGGCTTATATCCGATGCGGCACAACAAGATGTTGTTTTGGGACGGATAGTGGGGAGAAAGTTGCAGCTAGCAGCGTGGCGGTGTGTGGCAATGCGAATAGCTTTGCAGGGAACAGCGTGCGTCTTTTAATCCAGATTTGTCAAGGAAAGTGATTGGTGGTGCCCATTGCATGCCACATGCATTGGGCCGGTGGATGCGTCGTTCGTCTGTGCGGCCCGAGGATGTATATGCGGGCCACCTAGCAAGGCAATAAGCTAGGTAGACAAAGCCGGAAGTCATGGATGCGGCGTTCCTCCAGTGACAGCTGTGTTTGCTGTGGCTCCAATCCTGCATCCTACGTTTCTCCCAGATGCCGCCGGGTCTTGACGCGACATGAGATGAGATCTGAAACGGTGCGACACTGAGGATGCGGTGAATCATGCAAGGCTGCAATTGTTTTTGGCCGGCTTATAGTCAACAGTGGAGCTCGGCCCGCACGACGAAGCTTGACCGTCATTGAGAAGCCCCGTACGTGTCAGTAGATGGGGTTTGCGCAGAGAATGCGATGCACGGTCGACGGTGACTTGGGACCATGTTCCTTTGCCTTGAGCCAAGCTGGTCAACATTAATGGGCCGGGGCGGCTCCATCACGCAGCCAACCACGACGTGCATGGCATGGGGATTGCAGATGCGCCTAAACGGTTGGCAGCTCGAGTACGAGGCCGCTGGACGGAGTGCTGGTGCCGCAGGTGTATATCCGAAGCGTGGCAAGTTTTGCGTCTGGCGTCGTCTGAAACAACACCGCGGCCAGAGTGACGATGGCCGTTCGCAGTGTCGCGCCCGACCTCATGTCAGCGCCCGGCACGTCGGCCTTGTCGCGATAGAGATGCAAATTGAGCAATTTCCAAGCGGGCGGCATCGAATAAGTCGCCCAGGTAGACTTTCGGTCGCGTCTGAGCGTATCTTCAATCCAATTGCCCTAGCTGCTAGAGGCAAGCACGGCCGGCTAGCGTTGTTGCTCTAGCCCGTGCGCTCGAGCATATATTCCTGCCCTCCCCAGCAACACCCGCCTCTTCTATCCGTTCCACCAAACCAGCATTAAATCACGCTGTAAGTCCCACATCCTCTGCGACGCAAGCACAGCGGCTTATATTGCGCCCATTGCCCCTTCAACTTTCGTCCCACGCCCTGTCGCTCGCCTTCTCCACCACCACTGCCGATCTCCCGCTAACTCTGCTCCTCGTAGGCATTGATATTCTCTGCCCCATCCACAACAATGCTCTACTCTTCCATCCTCGTCGCCGCCTCGGCTCTCGCCGGCTTCGCCTCTGCGCAAAACGCCACAGGCTCCTACGACACCCCCATTCCATGCTGCACTGTCCCCGCCAGCTCTGTGCCCCAGGATGACAAGCAGACGTGGTGCAACGCCAACCAGAACACCTGCGTCGAACTCTGCGGTGGCCAGGGACAGCTTGCCAGCAACGGCAACCAGTGTGATTCGGTAAGCATCTTCATCTGGCGCGCAACGATAGCCACTAACATGTCCGCAGCAAACGCTTGAGTTTTCTTGCGACTGCCGAAACGGTACCGATGTGAGCGACCAGATGGACGCCTACCAACAGACCGTTCCCGGTCTCATGTGCCGCTACTGGTACGACCAGTGCATTGCCGCCACCGGCTCCGATGCTGCTGCCCAGTTCCAGTGCAACCAGGCCCGTGACAACGAGTGCGGTAACCTGACCACCCAGGACGCCACCGATTCCGGTAACTCTGCCTCTGCTTCCGGCAGCGACAGCAGCCCATCCGCTACCAGCAGCGGTTCCCCCGACAGCACCAGCGAGGCTTCCGCAAGCGCTGGCTCCTCTACCCCTACCGGTGCTGCCGGTCGCATTGCTATGTACGGCACCCCTGCCCTCGCTGGTGGTCTTTTCGCGCTTTTCGGCTTCGCCTTGTAAGCTAGCAATACTGTAGATGGATTGCGGGCCGGTCCCAGTTGGACGGTAATGAGGATGGATTTGCGTCACGGATACTAGCAAGGCTGTACCACGTATCAGTCATCACGGCATAGCGTCATCAGCGCTTCGACGTTGGAGTCATTGCTTTCACTGCTATCTACTTGTTCATGGCGGCTTCATGGGAGACGAGGGGAGTTTAGGAGGATACTTAATGCGATGTTATGAAAGGACACACGACTTGTAATACCCAATACTACCAATACCGCCACTACCATGTTTTGCCTGTGTGTTTTGTGAAGCTTGAACTCTCACACTATTCATGTGATGCGCCGTGCGCACATGTCCAGTGTCATCTGCGTATTCCATTACTTGAGAAGCCTCGCCATGTACCTAGATGTAAAAGCATCGCGCTTTCCCCGCAGAAAGCAACTGCCAGCTGTTTGCGCAGGGACTCGAGATGTACCACGGTTCCATGAGCTGTAGTGCTGGCAACCGCGATGCCATTGGTCAATGCCGGGGGCATGATCAGCCGGCTGGATGATAGGCGCTCTGCAGCTAACCCATGTCTCTGACGCATGTCTCCGAAATCGTTCCTAGATCCAACATTTTGGGTGCTCCCGATCAAAGTTTACCATCGGAACCGCTTTTTGCTCGATACTTGAACACGCCCTCACCGCCAACAGTCCACTTGCCAGCTGAAACCCGCTTTCGGCATCGCCGCATCACAAGCTCACAATCAGCAGCAGAGCCGAGGCCACGCGGACCCTGCGCTTACCGAGACAGCAGGTGTGAAAGTCGCAGCCCGAGCAAATGGGGACTTTTACTGACCGCATCCAGACATCATAAACATATAAAAAAGTGGCGGTCTCAAGGTTTCTTGCGCTCGCGTCACACTCCCCTACGCAATACGTCACTCCGTATCGCCTACTCCAAAATCTGCGCAAGCGAGTTGCAGTACCCATCAACACACCATACATTACGAACCTGCAAAGAACAAGACATACATCAAGGACAATGGCGACTCTCAGTGCTGGACGCAAGCACAAGGTGACCATAGTTGGCTCCGGCAACTGGTAGGTGGCTGCAGCAGCTCGTTGGAGAAGATGGGGCTATGGACGGCTGCTGAGATCAAGAGCTGACTGGTACAGGGGCACCACAATGGCCAAACTAGTCGCCGAGAACGTGAAGGAGAACCCATCCCTGTTTGAAGAGACTGTGCAGATGTGGGTGTTTGAGGAGGAGTACACCATCCCGAAAGATTCGCCTCACTACAGCGGCTCCGACAAGCCTGAGAAGCTGTCGCAACTCATCAACAGGGTTCACGAGAACGTCAAATACCTCCCGAACATCACGCTTCCTTCGAATGTGGTCGCCAACCCCGACCTACCCGATTCCTGCAAGGACTCTACGATGCTCATCTTCGTACTCCCGCATCAATTCATTGCGCGGTCGAGCCAGCAGCTGGTCGGCAAGATTCTCCCTTACGCACGAGCTATCTGCTGCACAAAGGGCGTAGACGTCAGTGAGAAGGGCATCAGGCTCATGTCAGAGACAATTGGCATGACTCTCAACATCTACTGTGGTGCTTTATCAGGAGCGAACATTGCTTCTGAGATCGCTCAAGAGAAGTACTCGGAGACGACTGTAGCATATGACCCGCCACCGATGGACTCGCGCAATCCTACCCCCAGCGGTTCGCCCAATGCCTCACAGACTGATCTTACTGCTCACGTGGACCTTATCGATCCGAGCAAAAAGAAACCTAGCAAGCGCTCAGCGCATTTGACTGCTCTCCCCAACGAGTACCCACCTCTGTCGCACGAGAACGTCCGGAGGCTCTTCCACCGTCCCTACTTTCATGTACATATCGTCAACGACGTCGCTGGTGTCTCACTGGGCGGAGCGCTGAAGAACATCATCGCGCTTGCAGCAGGCTTTGTGGATGGTCTGGGCTGGGGAGACAACGCCAAGGCAGCTGTAATGCGTGTTGGTATCTTGGAGATGGTCAAGTTCGGCAAGGCTTTCTTCGGGGACAGTGCTCGCACAAGCACCTTTACTGAAGAAAGCTGTGGTGTCGCCGACGTCATCACTTCATGCTCGGGTGGTCGCAACTTCCGCTGTGCAAAGATGTCTGTCGCCCGTGGCAAGACCATCTATGAGATCGAGCAGTCTGAGCTCAATGGCCAGAAGCTCCAGGGTACCAGCACTGCCTACGAGGTCAACGAGTTCTTGAAGGCAGAGGGAATGGAGGCCGACTTCCCGCTCTTCACCGCTGTCTACAACATTCTGGAAGGCAAGAACAAGCCCGAAGACATTCCCCAGCTTATTGAGAAGAAGCCATGACTAGAAGGACCCAAACTCTAGGAGTCTTATACACAACGGTACAAGACTGTAGAGCGGAGTACTTCATGTTCAACCGAAAGCGGATACCCCTTTAGATAGAATTGATTCCTATTGGACACTTCCTGGGGTTTTTATCACGTTCCTGATGAAATCCTACGATAATCACAAAAAGCAGTTATCTGAACATTATTGATCTCCACAGAATGGTCAGCCGTCCGTCTATTTCTAAGCATACATGAATTCATAATCATTGCTTTCGTACAACTGTACTACAATGTAGGTAGGGAATGGACGGGTGGTGGGGTACGCGGATCGTTATGGCTCTCTAAACTCTACATATCCTTGTATGCATTTCTAAGCGCATGTGTACTCTGTAAGCCTATGTACAACCTTTGGAGGAGTCGCGTACGCTGCAAGCATATATACGTTTTCTAAGCAGACCATATAGGCGACACGGCAATGCACCCGGCCGCGCTCGTAATGCAACCGACTGACATATGTACCTCCGAACAGCATCGGACTTTACAAGCCTTGGCGGGATCGACATCAGGGAGGGTCTTAGCTCCGCGGAACCCGACGTCAATGCAGACTGCATCACACAGACGAACATGGGAAACTAGCGATCACCGATTGTGAAAACAGGCCGCCTGCCTGCAACCTACACACGCGTGTCAGGTATTCGCAAAGGTCCACCTTACACGAGTGAGCTGCGACTCGTGCTGTGGACTCGATATGCAGGGACATCTGCCCAAGTGGGTAAAGCGAATGAGATCTTCTGCGGAAGGAATGATTGGTAATGCGAAAAAAAAGTGTTGGATGCCCACCCGTTTCGGCCATATTTGGCATCGCGAGCTGGGTGGATGCGCTTCGCAAGTTTAGCTTAGTCTAGCTTCTCGGCAAGGCACGTCAATCATTCATCAAATCTCAAAGATGACGACATGGTTGTGCTTTATCTCCGTTGTCTCCTGCCCAAGCGGTTTGTCAACTCTAAATTTTGGCCTCGTATCCCCGTTGGCAAAAGCACCCCCAGTATTCTCCTGGCTCTACCGGTGACCGCTTAATAAAGACCAATTGAGCCGTACTTGTACGACAAACATCCTGTCTCCTGCTGTTGTTGCTCTTCAGACTCTTTTCCTGCTCTGTTTTTCTTCCAGTACACCTGTTTGATACCCTAAACTTTCATTTGCAACATGTGGGGATCCGCAATCCCACCCGATCGAGACAATCGACGCAACCCATGGCATGAGGACGACTATCTTCGTGATGGAAGGGAAGAGGTGGTAACACCGGACAACCAGAGTGAAGAAGATAGCTCAGATCGCGAGGGCCTGAAGCGTGCTGGTACCTGGGGTGAGAGAGACGCAGGGAAACTGGACACACGGGCTGCAGCAGAGGATCTCGAGGTTCTGCGAGGCGAACTCGCGTCTCTTTCAAATTCGCGTTCCCGGGGCGCGCAATCGCAACGATCAAACCCGCTTTCCAGGACCGTGAGCAGGGTCAGCGGCCGTCAGAGTCAGAGTCACCCTCGGGGATCAATTACACGCGCAGAGGAGGGTACAGGCGACGCAGAAGACGATGAGCCGGGGGATATTGGTGCCGCTGCTGCGCCGGCAGAGAAAGAAGACGACTTCGAACTCGATGAATTCATGCGCGAGGGCCATTTCGAGAAGCGCAAGGACGGTCAATCAGCAAAGAAAGTCGGTGTCATCTACAAGAACCTTACCGTCAAGGGTGTAGGATCGACCGCTTCGTTCGCAAGGACGCTGCCCGATGCGATACTAGGAACATTCGGGCCTGACCTTTACAAAATCGTTACGGGCTTTGTACCTGCGTTGAAGCTTGGCAGGCACAAACAGATGAGGACACTCATCCATGACTTCTCAGGTGTAGTCAAAGACGGTGAGATGATGCTTGTTTTGGGACGGTAAGCAGTATTCCAAACAATATGCTCGGCGAGTGCTGACCGAGTGTATCAGACCCGGATCCGGATGTTCGACATTCCTGAAAGCCATATCCAACAATCGCGAATCCTACGCCGCTGTGGAAGGCGATGTGTCCTATGGAGGTATCCCAGCCGGCAAGCAAAAGAAGCAGTTCCGTGGCGAAGTCAACTACAACCCCGAAGACGATTCCCACATGGCCGATCTCAACGTGTGGCAAACGCTCAAATTTGCTCTCACCAACAAGACCAAGAAGAACGAGAAGCACGAGGTCAGTGTCAAGTATGCAAGCTCCTATGCGGGACAGATACTGACGTTGTATACTACAGATTCCCATCATCCTTGAAGCCCTCCTAAAGGTCTTTGGTATATCCCACACGAAGTATACTAAAGTCGGAGATGAATACGTCCGTGGTGTCAGTGGAGGTGAACGCAAGCGCGTCTCCATTGCCGAGACTCTCGCCACCAAGAGTTCGGTCAATTGCTGGGATAACAGTACTCGCGGTCTTGACGCTAGTACCGCGCTCGACTACGCTAAATCGCTGCGTATCATGACCGATATCAGCAATCGAACTACGCTAGTAACCCTTTACCAAGCTGGTGAACAGATCTACGAGGTCATGGACAAAGTCATGGTTATCGATGCAGGTCGATGTATCTATCAGGGACCTGCAAACGAAGCCAAGCAGTACTTTGAGGACCTTGGATTCAAGTGCCCGGAACGTCAGACTACCGCTGATTTCCTGACCGCCGTTACTGATCCCACCGAGCGGCAATTCCGCCCCGGTTTTGAAGACAAAGCACCGAAGACATCTGAGGAATTAGAAAGGGCTTTCAGGGAGAGTGACGCATACAAGAAGGTATTGAGAGAGATCTCCGAATACGAGGCTGAGCTCGAGGCCAGTGGCTACGTGGACGCCAAAGAGTTCGAGGGTGCCGTACGCGAGAGCAAGAGTAAAACGGTCCGCAAGAAGAGTCCGTACACGGTCTCGTTCATTCGACAGGTTATAGCCTGTACTCAGCGTGAGTTCTGGCTCACTTGGGGCGACCAGACTACGCTGTACACCAAGTTCTGTAAGTTTTACAAACGTATTGATGGACAATCCATCGTCTCTATCATCTTGGACCATCTTGCTAACGCTATCATCAAGTCATCATCATCTCAAACGGTCTCATCGTCGGTTCGCTATTCTACGGTCAATCTCTCGATACCTCGGGCGCTTTTTCGCGAGGTGGCTCCGGTTTCTTCTCCATTCTCTTCCTCGGATGGCTCCAGCTTTCGGAGCTTATGAAGGCCGTTTCTGGTCGCAATGTCGTCAAGAGACATGAAGATTACGCATTCTATCGCCCAAGTGCTGTGGCTATTGCGCGTGTGGTACAAGACTTCCCGCTTTTGTTGGCGCAGGTCATTCCATTCTGTAAGTCACACCTAGCAAAAACGTGTGAAACGTGAACCCAGCTGACATCTTTAGCCATCATCATGTACTTCATGACTGGTCTCGACGTCGACGTATCCAAGTTTTTCATCTACTTCCTGTTCATCTATACTACGACCTTCTGCATTACAAGTCTTTACCGCATGTTTGCCGCCCTCTCTCCATCGATTGACGACGCTGTACGCTTTGCTGGTATCGCGCTCAACCTCTTGATCATATACACCGGTTACGTTATTCCGAAGCCACAGCTTCTGACTGATTACATCTGGTTCGGATGGATCTATTGGATTAATCCAGTCGCGTATTCTTTCGAGTCAGTGCTCGCCAACGAATTCTCCGACCGTGTTATGGAGTGCGCGCCCAGCCAACTGGTACCCCAAGGACCTGGCATCGATCCTGCATACCAGGGCTGCAGCTTGACTGGTGCACCGCCAAATTCTAACACCGTCCCTGGTTCAGACTACCTCCAGGTATCTTTCAACTATTCGAGGTCGAACCTCTGGCGCAACTTTGGTGTCGTGATAGCTTTCTCGGTGCTCTACCTTCTGGTGACCGTGATCGCAACCGAGACTGTATCCTTCGCAGCCTCAGGTGGCGGTGCGTTGGTTTTTGCCAAGAACAAGCGGGCTAAGCAAGCGGTCAAGGAGGAGGCTCCTGCTGATGAGGAGAAGATAGCCGCTGGCGAGTCCGCCTCAAGCTCACACACTGCTGCTCATGAAGAGGAAGAAGCGTTGGAGTCTATTTCGAGCAGTGAGAGTGTCTTCACCTGGAAGGATGTTGAGTACACTGTCCCATACCAGGGAGGTGAACGCAAGCTTCTGAACAAGGTTAATGGGTACGCAAAGCCTGGTGTCATGATCGCTCTTGTTGGTGCCTCCGGTGCTGGTAAGTCGACCCTGCTCAACACGCTTTCGCAGCGACAATCTACTGGTGTCGTTTCGGGTGAGTTCTTGGTGGATGGTAAGGATCTTGGCAAGGCTTTCCAGAGAGGCACCGGGTTCTGTGAGCAAATGGATCTTCACGACGGCACTGCTACGATCCGTGAAGCTCTGGAGTTCTCTGCCATCCTTCGTCAAGACAAGAGCACACCGAGGAAGGAGAAGCTCGACTACGTTAACAAGATCATCGACCTCCTCGAGCTGCAAGACATCCAAGACGCACTAGTTTCTAGCCTAGGCGTGGAGCAGAAGAAGCGTCTTACGATCGGTGTTGAACTTGCTGCGAAGCCTTCTTTGCTACTGTTTCTAGACGAGCCAACCAGTGGTCTTGACAGCAACTCGGCATACTCCATTGTTCAGTTCCTCAAAAAGCTTGCTCAGGCAGGTCAGGCTATTGTCTGCACCATCCACCAACCTAGCAGCGTTCTGATCCAGCAATTCGACATGATTCTCGCCCTCAACCCAGGTGGCAACACGTTTTACTTCGGCCCAGTAGGCGAGAATGGGCGCGATGTTATCAAGTACTTTGGCGACCGTGGTGTACAGTGCCCACCCAGTAAGAACGTGGCAGAGTTCATCCTAGAAACTGCTGCGAAGCCTGTCAAGCGCAAGGACGGCAGCAAAATCAACTGGAACGAAGAGTGGCTCAATTCCGACAACAACAAGCAGATGCTCCAGGAGATCGACCGCGTGAAGACGGAGCGTAGCAAGATCTCCGACCAGAATCAAGATGGTGGAGCTGAGGAGTCCGAGTTCGCGGCGAGCGTCTGGGAGCAAACCACCATGCTCACCAAGCGCACATTCATCCAGTACTGGCGCGACCCGTCTTACCTCTACGGCAAACTCTTCGTCGCAGTCATCATCGGCATCTTCAACGGTTTTACCTTCTGGCAACTCGGCAACTCCATCGGCGACCTCCAAAACCGCATGTTCACTGCTTTCCTTATTATCCTCATCCCGCCCACCATCGTCAACGCTGTCGTACCCAAATTCTACCAGAACATGGCCCTGTGGCAAGCGCGTGAACTTCCTTCCCGTATCTACGGCTGGGTTGCTTTTACGACTGCGCAAGTTGTTGCTGAGATCCCCATCGCCATTGTGTCAAGTGTGCTATACTGGGTTTTGTGGTACTTCCCGACTGGATTACCGACCGATAGCTCGACTTCTGGATACGTTTTCCTGATGACCATGTTGTTCTTCTTGTTCATCTCCAGTTGGGGTCAGTGGATTTGTGCGTTCGCGCCGTCCTTTACTGTCATCTCGAACGTTTTGCCTTTCTTCTTTGTCATGTTCGGTTTGTTCAACGGTGTTGTACGACCGTACGAGATGATGCCAGTGTTCTGGAGATATTGGGTAAGTAACATCCCCGTACGACCCACGCGTGAGGCGCACACTAATCTTGTACACCACAGATGTATTACGTAAATCCTTCAACGTACTGGATTGGTGGTGTACTCTCTGCCACGCTGACTGGCATTCCTGTTCAGTGCCAGGAGAGTGAGACTGCCATCTTCGATGCACCACCAGGCCAAAGCTGTTCCTCTTACGCCGGCGCCTTCGCTTCCGCCTCCCCTGGCTACCTGCTAAACCCTGAAGCCACAAGTGGTTGCCAGTACTGTCCTTACTCTGTTGGAGACGACTACCTGGCTACCATCAATGTCAAAGCCAGCGACAAGTGGCGCGACTTTGGTATCTTCCTTGCCTTTTGCATTAGCAACTGGGCGCTTGTTTACTTCTTCGTCTGGTCCATTCGAATCAAGGGATGGAAGTTCGGATTTGGGATGGTAGGCAATGGTGTTGGGAAGGCTAAGAAGATGCTCGGTGGAAAGAAGAAGGGTGAGGGAAAGGCCTAATACATGAAAAGCACATGTAGTGTTTGAGATTCGTATAACATTTTAATGTAGTATAATGTTCAAACTTCCACAAGCTTTCGAAACGGCCTTTGCAAAGTCTGAGAAAGCTGGTACCTTCTAGCCATACCTTGCAGCAAGATTTACCTTGAGATGTTCACCGGTGTTCACGTTGTGCTTTTGTAGTATCCAGCGCAGCGAGTGACTTCGGAGTACATTATAGGTACAACTAAGAGATTCCGAACTTTCCGGTATTCTTGGTGCTTTGCATTAATAAACAGCATTGGTACGGAGTATGCCCAACTACTACAAACCTACCCCTCTCTACCCAAAACCTGCCGCCACCCAAACTCCTCCCTAAATCCTAACATATCCTTCATCTTCTTATTAGAAACCGGACTCTCCTTCTCTCCCATTCTTGTCAGAATCTCCGTCTCGGGACAAACCTTCCTTAACCAATCCTCGCTCGTGCCCTCCGTCTCCGGGATAGTAATGTCATCATTCACCGCATTGAAAACCTGGTACCCCAGCCCATCCGTCTGTAAACAACAGTGTACCATATTGCCCAAATCCCTCGCATCGGTATAACTCCACGCATGCACTTTGAAATCCTGTGGCCGGGTTAAATATGCTTCAAACTTCTTTATATGATTCTCCGGTTCGATAACAGCTGAGATGCGCAAACAGTAAATATCTACACCAGGAAACCGGCGTGCGAATGACGCGGCGGTAGTTTCCATGCAGAGTTTACTAGTGGCGTAGACGTCCATGGGGGTTGTTGGTGTGGACTCTGTGATAGGGAAGTGGGCGTAGGATGTGGAGCCTTCGGCATAGGTGACGCCATAGGTGGTGAGGCTGGAGGCGAGGATTATCTTGCGGATGCCGAGCTTACAGGCGGATTCGAGGATGTTGTAGGAGCTGAGGGTGTTGATGCGGTAGGTTTCGTTGTCGGGGAGGCGCATGGGTTGGGGGATACCTAGGGGTTGCATGTTAGGTCCGTATTGGCGGTATGGTTTGGCATCCGTTCACGACTTTCTGTGTATCCATCTCTTCGTAATAGGCATTGGTGGTTACGTACCAGCAAAATGTACGATGGCATCCGGTGTTTTGACTGGCTCCATGAAGGGTTCGCTGATCTTGAAGTGACAAGACAGGCTGTTGAAAGCTTGCGCGCCGTCTGTAAGATCGGCCTTCAAAGTATGTACATTGGGATTGTCTAGAGGTGTCGCATCCACGTTGAGTATCTCATGGCCGAAGCTAAGCAACTTCTCAATTACATGACGTCCGGCGACTCCAGAACCGCCCGTAAATACTATCCTCTTCCTTGGTGGAGAGGGCATTGTGCAGGAGAACACGAGGTGTCAGATAAAATTGTAGCTGTGGTATGACGGAACTGTCTGTAAGTTTGCAAGCAAAGGACAACAGATCCCATGACCAAGATGCTGATCATAAGGCTTGCTGTTCGTAAGCGGAGCTTCCCCGCTCTAGCTTACGAAGCTCTAACCTCGTTGGTCCTTCTGAGCACCGTTGTGCGTGGAGTCTTAGAGGCCGAAAATGGTAATAATGCACGAACACGCACCATGCCAGAAACAGGGGGCTTGGACAATCCATACCGCTATTGGTACATTCATTCATGTCTATCATTCAGGCCTCAGCTACTCGATGAGCAGAGGCTTTTGATCGTAATGTCCGGCCTTTCCCTATACGCCTCTCTACACAACCTGGGTGCCGTATCCCCTGATCCTGTCGGCGAATGCCCAGCTCTGGTTCTCCAGCTTCACGTTCTCGTCGAGATCAACGCCGTCCTTTGTGATGACGGCAATCGAGTACTTGTCCATACTCCTAGCATCTCTGTAGAAGAGAACCTTCATGCACTCCTTGACCTTCTCTACTGCTTGTTCCCGTGTGACGTTTTCTACAGCGGCCTCATCTGGTAGTATTGTCCTTAGGATTGGCTGAGCGAGATGTGCACCGAAGCCAGTGGCCAGCGATGGTGATGAAAAGGTGGTACCGAGAAGGTCTGCGCTTGCAAGGAAGGGCTTCTTATCGCCGTCCATGCCCACGATGAGTAGGTGGTTCCACAATGGGTCGAACTTTGAGCGACGGTTGTACATGACTTTGGCGAGGTAGGTATGGAGGTTCTTGGCATTCAGCGAGTTCTCAGAAGAGGAGTAGTTCTCGCGGATGTCGAGCGAGTTGAGTAGGCGGTCCAGGTACTGCATGTCCGAAACATCGCCGCCGAAGCCTACGACTACCTCGTCATTGAACTTTCGTAGGCGCTTGACGTCAGTGAAGCGAGCAAGGGAGCCATATGAAGCTGTGGTTGTTTGTCAGCCAGAACCTCACTACCAGTTGTGTTGTGCCATACCCAGATTGTCTGCGGCAATGACTACGCCGTCCTTGAACTTGGCTGCAAGTACCGAGGTACCGGTCACGATCGGGCTCTGAGTGTGCTGGTTCGGGCCGGCAGACGAGAAATGTGAAGGATCATAGGCGCCGTATACATCGTCTCTAGGCTATGATGTATTAGTACTGTTGCTATTTGAGGCGGCGGGCGGAAGACATACACGACCCCAAGCTTGTGGAAGATGGTTCATGGTAACGGTGGTGACTGAAACGGCGGTTTAGAGAGGGGAATTTGTTCAGGAATCAGAGAGGATGATATGTTGTAGTGAGCTCAAAGGTGAGGTTGTTGTTACGATGTTCCCAGGCAGTCGGTGGTTGCGCAGCTCACCCGCCAAGACAGCGAGTTGGCCCAAGCTTCCGCATACTGAGGTCAATCCGAGATGATCGTCTGCAAGCATTGCGCAACCAAAATGCTCGGAATCGACTACCCAGATAGTGACGAGGAGGACGTCATGCCCGCGACTCAGCCAGAGGTGAGACTCACAAACGTACACCAAGGGCTCTTGTGGCTACTAATATAGAGTTGACCAACATTTCTGCAGCAGTTGCGCCGGCTCCAGAACCTCTTTCCGCTCCCGCGCCTCTCGAACAACCGCCTACCTCCTCAGGTCCAGTGAATGGTCCTGCTCAAGGTCCCGCCCAAGGCCCGACCGTTTCGCCACCTCCAGAGGAAGATGTCCCCTCGAACGACGCCGCGCCAGGCTCAACGTACGCCAACACACGCGCTCTGATCCAGAACCTTACTTTACCCACCGTACCCAATTTCGACATACCACCTTCTCCGCCCGGATCACCACCTCAGAGAGCGACGAAGAAGTTTGCGCAGTTCCTCGAACTTAAAAAGAAGGGACAACACTTCAACCAGCGCCTAGAAACCTCGTCAGTGCTACGCGATCCGGGGCATATGCAGAAGTTGATGGACTTTGCGGGGATCAGCGAACAAGACTCATATACATCCACACTACCAGAAGATGTCGCCATACCGGCAATCTTTCCAGAGTGGGCCTACGTCGAGGAACTGAAAGCCTCACAGAAGCGGATTTCGAAGACCAGAGAGCAGGAAAGATCCAAGGCACCAAGAGAAACTCTCGAGTTCGTCTCCGCGTCTAAGAACGCGTCGAGCTCTACCACGGGAAAACGCAAGGAGTTGGAACACAGAGGAAAGGATGATCAGAGTTCAAGGAGCAAGTTGGAGAGCGGGTCGAGATCTCCAAAGAGAAGGCGGTCGAGGTCTAGAGAAAGAAGGTGATGGAGACGATTGTACATTAGCAGCAGAGTTCAGTAGCGCAATGGCATAGTAAAGCTGGTTACAGCTCCCATATCACGTTTGAGGTCTAGTTAGTAGATTACAAAACATGGACAGAAATCAATTATGCGTATGCTTCAACGCGGTCTGGAGGGTATGCTCTCACTACATCAGCGCCAAGACATTAGCGCGTGGAAGCTCCAGGCATTCGAGCTGCGTAACTCCAGAGCTTCAACACCAACAAACAGATCCGCCGCCATAACCCACAACCCTCCGATATCGACAAGACTTCCTACAGCCTACTTCGAATCCACGTCTGCACAACTCAACAATGGCTGCGCTCTACACCGGTGCACCCCCGCAAGGTGGCCCAGGCTATTCGTTCAACCAGACCCCCAGAACTGTCCCATCAGGCGAGCGGCAACATGGTTTCTACCCGTATGTGCAGCTTTCATACTGAGTACATGAAAACCTAACAAGATCCAGCTACACCGACAACGGCGGATCAACACTAGGCATCTCCGGCGCCGACTTCGCCATCCTCGCAGGTGACACACGTTCGACATCCGGCTACAACATCAACACACGATACGCACCCAAGCTCTTTAAGATTGGCGGCGAAGGACCAGACAACAAGGGCGCCCGGATAGTACTGTCTGTAGTCGGCTTCGCCGCAGACGGTGATGCGTTGAAGGAGCGTCTCGACACCATTGTCAAGATGTACAAGTACCAGCACGGAAAGCCCATGACCGTCTCTGCCTGCGCACAACGACTCAGCCACATCCTCTACAACAAGCGATTCTTTCCCTACTACGTACACGCCATCTTAGCCGGTCTGGACGAGGAGGGCAAGGGTGCGTTGTACTCCTACGACCCGGTCGGCAGCTACGAGAGGGAGCAGTGTAGGGCGGCCGGTGCTGCGGCATCACTTATCATGCCCTTCTTGGACAACCAAGTCAACTTCAAGAACATGTACGAGCCAGGCAGCGGCACTGGTCACGAACTCAAGTCAAAGCAAGCACAACCGCTACCACGGGACCACGTTGAGGATCTGGTACGGGACGCCTTTACAAGCGCGGTCGAGAGGCATATCGAGGTTGGTGATGGTCTTCAGATGATGATCATCACGAAGGAGGGCATAGCCGAGACCTTCACCCCGCTCAAGCGGGACTAAGAAGGCGTGGTAGGCAGATCGAGGGTGGGGTATCTTCACGAATATGATGATTTCAAGACACCGAGCAGATGTATGAATAGCATAATGAAATGCTACTGAAGATGAAGAATCAAGCCTTGCATGGTTCATGCCAGACAAACTCTGTATCCTCTCTGTACTTTCATCTTATCTGCGTGCGCTCGTTTGGATGCAGTCGAAGCGCTGCCTGTGTGACACCTCCCGACACTTAAACAGCCAACGAATCTACGTTTCGTTTCTTCTAACACTTTGCATCAGAGGTCTTTAGCGTGATAACAAGCTCTGTGCTATTTTCTAAGTGAGTTTGTAGATGTTGTGACGCCAGTCCTATTTGTGATATCTCTACAGATCTCTCTTCACCCCTGCTAATGCTCTTGTACTCTTCTTACAAAAAAAGGTCGCACTACTTATGTTTCATGTAATAGATGTTGCCTATGCAAAGAGTTGATAAGCAAAGTAAGATATCCTGAAGATACGTCACTCCCCAGAGTTACTTGGCAGTATTATATCGCTCTTCCTGTGTTAGCATAAATCTTCACTGTAAGGCTACAGGAAAAAGAATCTACAGGATAGCACCAAAAAATTGATCTCAGCAAGAGCAAAAAGAACAGTCACCCTTAATGTATTAAGTTCCTGCCGAAAACCCCCGCTACAAGTCCTAAGGTGAAATCTTGAATGCTCCGAAGATGCCACCCAAGACTAAACCTTAGAAGATGCAGAGACGATTTTATCACGACTCGAACCTGCGTCTTCTAGTCTGAATGGGTAGCGACCCCATTCAGACTGGAAGATACAGGTCGCCGGCCGACCAAGGGTATTCCAGCCTCATTGATGGGAGAACTGTGCTGAATCAAGGCTTATATAGCGAGAGGAATTGTAGAATCACATGGTTTATGTGAAGGAGAGCGGGAAGGATATACAAATGTACTAGTGGGAGGGGGAGGTGAAGGTGAGGGTGGGTGTTTGCTAATTCGGTGGTTGTTGACGAGCTGCGCGTGTGCTGCCTGTGGGAAGAAGCGAGAGGTCTGACGGTGAGAAAGATGATGGGTGGGGAGGATGACGAGGCGTAAAATCAGACAAACGGGTAGCTTGGGAAAAGAGACTGATGTTGTAACGGTGAACTTACCTAGGCACACACAGAGTATGTAAGTTTGCAACAACGACGTGTCAAAGATAACCGAATTGCTCGAATAGATTGACATACCAAGAAGGCAAAGTAGACGTGGTCAACGGATTGGGATATGGAACGCTCGATAAATGGAAGCGTTCGGTCTACGCGAGCTCAAACATAGCTGAAAACACATACGGTATGGCAAAACTTATACTGAACTGCGATTGACGTTGTGTGAAGTAAAGGTTTGCTGTCTGTTGAGTGCATTTCAAACACATCCCAATAATGCCGCAGCCGGCTTCGTCGCAGTTGTTTGAAAGACTCATGTTTCGGTTGACAGTATGCTTAGTAAATGATACGGCGTCAATCCAGGGGGACAAAGAGTTGATGGATGAGAACACTTTGCTACCCTTATGTTGGCTATCAAGGCCTCAGTCAATGACCAGGACTGTGAACGGCAGTGCGGGTATCAAACGTGAAGTCTAAGAGCTAGAGATGGTCTTTGTAATGAGAGTATCTGTCTTGAGCGCCATGAAAGGCCGTCGTGACAGACTGAAGTTGGTGAAGGAACGACGGGAAGATCTTGTGCGGCATGTGCGCCCCTTGACGCGCTAGCCCGCCCCAACAACGTCACCAGCCAACACCTCCGTGCATGCCGACCCATCGGTTGAGCTATGCGACTTCTCGCATGGTTCATTCATCTAAACCCAAGGGCCTGCATTCTCCCGATGCTGTGCTAGGAGATGCAGGAAACAAGCTTTCTCGCCGAGAGACCAAATCTGGGGAAGGCGCACACGCGGCACATGTCGCTTCCCGAATCTCATCTAAACAGATTGCTTTCGATAACTCTTCGCCCTAAGACCTGGTCGAGTCGCCCGATGGCACTGGGTCACGATACTCAGTAAGGCTCATTGACAGTGCACGCTTTTCAGCAGCTTGAGATTCTAAAATTGCGCGCCTCTTGTCGTCGCTCGTCGTCAACAAAGTACAGCTACGTAGATAAGATTAGACAGGTCCTCGTTGCAACTCACAGAGGTGCAACAACGAGTTCCTCGGTTTTTCTAGAAGGTTTGCACCCGATCAAGCCGATATGAACTTTATCCGGTGGTTCCTAGTGCACGCATTATATACAAGCAGCCCTGTACGGCACACACAAAGGCATACCTCTAGAGCGAATCTATGGCCAGGCTGCCATGTGGTCACCAACAAGTGACCGGGTTCTGCGGTCTGGTTAATATCCACCCTAGCCATAGGACGTTACACGTGGAAAACAGAACCTGGGTTTCGGCAACGACAAGCTTTACTTTCATATAATCTTAAGTCAGACGACGGTGCCATACTCTACAGATGTACATTTTGGGTTTAGCAGCACGGATCTGATCCACGGGCTGGACTTCGTCTGCAAGCGAGCATGATGTCCAGCCTTTGAAGAATCGAGAAACAAGTATAAAGAGGTGGTAGGTACGAGACCATTTCGATGCCAGCCCAGTAAGAATCAACCATTGTCTTTCTTCAGTCAACCGACTACTGTCGATAATTTCAACGATGAAGAGCGCGATCGTCTTGACCAGCGTTGTTGCCTTTGCAACACAGGTAGTGTCTCATGCGACATTCCAAGACCTTTGGGTCAACGGCAAAGATCAGATAAGTATACCCAACCCATAATACGATGCCACTAACACCCATTCACCAGTCGACTTGCGCCAGGCTTCCCAACAGTAACAGCCCCGTCACATCGGTAGCAAGTAACGACATCCGTTGCAACGCCAACCACGGACCAGCAGCCTCAAAATGCAGTGTCCCTGCCGGTGGCACTGTAACTGTAGAGATGCATCAGCAGAACGGCGATCGGTCTTGCGCGAACGAGGCCATTGGTGGTGCCCACTACGGCCCTGTGCTTGTCTATATGTCCAAAGTCGCAGATGCATCCACAGCTGATGGCTCCACTCCGTTCTTCAAGGTCTTCCAGGATACATGGGCTAAGAACACTGCTGGCGGCGGCGGCTCAGACGATTATTGGGGTACGAAGGACCTGAACAAAAACTGCGGGAAGATGGACGTGAAGATCCCCACAGATCTGGCCCCAGGAGACTATCTGCTAAGAGCGGAAGCCATTGCGTTGCATGCTGCATCTGGTGCTGGCGGCGCTCAATTCTACATTACCTGCTATCAAATCACTGTGACTGGTGGTGGTTCGTCTTCGCCTGCTGGTGTGGCTTTCCCCGGAGCATACAAAGCTACCGACCCTGGCATCCAGATCAACATCTACCAGAACCTCGCATCGTATGTCGCCCCCGGTCCGGCAGTCATCGCAGGCGGTACTGAAGCCGTTGCTGGATCCGCTGGATCCGCTGTGACTGCTACTGGTGGAGCCCCAGTTGCCACATCTACAGCAACCACGATGAAGACATCTGCAATAGCCACATCTGCTGCCGCCGTGCCAACGAATGGAGGTGGTGCTGGAGCATGCTCAGTTGCAAAGTACGGTCAGTGCGGCGGAAATGGATACAGTGGATGCAAAACCTGTAAGTCGGCTTAATTCGGGTATGCGAGGACAGGCTTGTACTGACAATTCATAGGTGCTTCAGGACTTACCTGCAAGGCTGGAGGTGACTATTATTCACAGTGCGTCTGATCAGCTTGATGGCAGCGGACGGTAGACCTGTTAAGCTTCATGTAAATACTTAGGTATCTCTGGAAATGACGACTGCTTAATCTCTATTACTTGTATTATCTGTTGTTTGTTCTAGACCATGGGGTCGGAACTAGGACTGGACGGTAACAACAGCGCCCTTCCACACCCCCATCACATTTCCTGCACACTCGGAATAAGGTCGAGCATCTGCATGCGCAAACCTGTCTCATCTCGCAACAGACGCCCTTCACAGTATCCATGCGTCTAGCTAGCGCCCTTCATATCGGCATAATGGTAAGCATGAAGACTTACCCCTCTTTAGGTTTAATCTTCACCGGCATAGATTTTCAATTCCGAACATTATACATCACGCTCATCCAGCCACATCGGCACATGCAATGAACAACGAAACAATTGTCGCGTCTGGAACAAAAATTTAGCCTTTGAAAATAAGCTTGACGCGTATATCGTGCCTCCTGCATGCAATGCTTGTAGGGCTGTGGCTTCGGCATTGGGCGCCTAACGTTGCTGCCTAGACATGATACCATGATGAGTGTGCATCCGCTTACTACGACCGTCGATTAGCAACTCCGAACCATGCAGGAATATTTTCTGGTATGGAATTCGTGGTTCACACTGGATTATGAGCGGTCAATCTCCATTCCGACAATGCACGAGGCAGGAAAAGGGCAATGACGAGCCTAAGCAGGGTATGTTGCTTGATCGGTGGTGATGTGATGATTTTGTATATAAGATGGTTTGTGGGACATTGATAGAGGAGTCAAACCAGCTACAAGAGAGCAGAAGCAGAGCATCGCCGTAGCACAACTGCCTCAATTCTTTCCATCAACTTGAAGTACCATCAAAACATCATCCAATTACAAGATCCCCTCAGAACGTCCATCACCACAATGTCTTCTCCCTCTAACAAGACCTCTCCTACCGATCTGCCACGCTACTCCACCACTGCACCACCACCATACACATCATCCGATGCGAACTCCATGTTTTCAACGAAGTCAACATCAAAGAGTATCCTCAAGAAGATGTTGAGCCTGAATTGTACGTTGACACACCCTGCTAGACTTGGAAAAGCCAGTCAACGCTGACAGCAGCATCTGAAGCGACGTCGCAATCAAGTAACCAAACGCGGAAGGAGACGGAAGAAAACGAGGCGAGAGCTGCAGCAAGAGCGGCGTACTTCTCTGGCCTTTAGATCAGCTATTGGTATTGGGGAGAGAGAGAGAGAGAGAGAGAGAGAGAGATGTTATCGGGGTTATCGAGATAATGGTTGTCAAGTTCCACACATCGGGCATTGCGTGTGCTTATAGCATACGTCTGGAGCATCGAAGAAGCCATCGAAGGCTTTTTCAGTATCGGATCCAGCTTCGTGTATATGTAGGCGCCTGGCGTTCTGTAGTATGTACCGCGTTTCTAGTTCCTGGTCAAAGTGGTATCCTTGACCCGCTTAGAATATGTCCTGGTCAAGTTAGCAGGCCCTGAATATGTTTACACTTGTTTGTCTTACCGTATTGTTCCACGTTGCATTGTCCAGCCAATTTAGAAAGTCCTCACTCTCAGTTGGTATAGGTTCCAAACCCTCAATCATAGGCATGTCGAAGAAGCCTTGCCCCGCTCCAGTCATAACTGCAGCGTCATCGCCCCGTTCTTGCTCGCCATTCGTTGGAGGCACGTAATTGAGGACTTCCTCGAGCACCAGTGCAAGCATCTTGTTGAGCTCGCTGCACAGTTTGTGATTTCCGTCGCCGGGAAGAACTATCCATTCCAGACACGAGGTTAGCACGGAAAGATTTCGGATGACCTCTGCTCGAGTTATTGTATCAGGCAATGGTACGCCTTCAATCGTGCATCTTCGAAGCTCTAATGCTAGGACACCGGCGGCGGGTGAGCAGTAGAATAATATAACAGTGGGGAAGTGGCGACGAATTTCGTAATCGCTATTTTGCGGTTTGGTACATATAAGGGATGTAACGAGTATCTTTAGCGACACCTCCAATAGTGCTGGGAGCGCCTGTTGCGTGATCCGGTGAAGTAGACGCTGCGTTTGAAAATGGACGTGCAAGTAGTCCAGATAGTAAGCGGTTAGTCGCATAGCTAGACCAGGACCACGCCCTACCCAGGCAGCCTCTTCCGTGTAGGTGTCGTATCTCAGATGCGTTGGCAATGCGTTCCACCATGCTGTACATTCAGCAGATATCGCTCTGATAGTGTTAGCCGAATGTAGAGAAAAGTTCAAGGGTCGGACGTACTCTACGTTCTGCACCACATCACTATCCTTCTCACCTGCCAAAGTTTGCTCTAGCAGCCTCTCCTTGAAAACAGCAAGTTGACACCTCATTCTGCCGAAGGTCGCAGGGTGAAGATGCCCTTCTGTGTTCCAGCCTGCGCTGTCTAGCTTCGAAAGCTCAGCATTCAGTACGTCCGGATCCTCTGAAGTCACAGCCTGATCGCTAATGTCCAATAACATCTTGCGGTCACTATACCTCCAACCCATCATTGGAGGTCGTCCATAGAACACAGCTAAGGCTTTGTCGGAGCGATATATGGCTGCGTAGAGTCGTCTTCTGAACTCGCGCATAAAGAACGGTTCTGCGTTAGAACCATCTCCATTACAGGCTTCGCAATGTATGCCTGCGGCGTAGAGAGCAGAAACACTGTCGCCCATACGCCTCCATGTGGCATGATCTAGACGTGTCAGCCGTTGTGATGCAGCTCTCAAGAATATAGATCGACGCACGGTTATCTCCATAAAAACTACTAACTACCATCATGTTGATGTAGATGAGACATGTCATGAGCTCATTCACGGCGCCATGTGTTTCGCAGATGTTGATGCATGTGTTGGTTGCGTGCATTACGTCTTCAATGAACTCCTCTCTGTTCATTTGCTTGCCGTCTTCTAGCGTGAACAGAGGATCATTGGGTGATGTGTATTGGGCATTAGAGCCGGCAATCGCCAGGATCAAGCCTAACGTGTCCCATCTCAAGTTCTTGCCTGTGAAGAGCGTGTGAAACTCCGATGGCCGCATATCCGAAGGGATCTTCATGGGTCGAGCGGAGTTCCTTGTAATTTCCGCGTATAGAGGATATACCTGACTACCAGCAGCGTGGAGCTGTTCTACGTCTTTACGCAGCTGTGGCATTGCAGAGAGGAAAAGTGGACCAACGAGAGCAGGGTCCTTGTGCATAGCAAAGTACATATCAAGAGACCTTTCAAAAAACGAGAAGGGTTGGAGAGTAGACACGATTGTGTCTCCAAGCGAAAATTGGCAGTGTCGATGTCCCATACCTCTACTCGACGCCGAAGGAGTTATACTCAGTCTCTCAGATGGCTGTTCATGCACTGTCTCTGGCAAGGGCTGCTCTTCTGTGAAGACAGCAGCATAACTCGTGGAACCCAAAAAGAAGTTCCTTGATGGGTCGGGTCCGCTTTGTGTTGTTCTCGTAGCAGATTCTGGAGGGGTAGGCCAAGGGACGAATCCAGCATCGTTCCTCAATGTTGGTGGACTCAGTGTCAGGGGCGTCAGCCTCCCCTGGCTGGACGATGAAGCATGCCCATCTAATCTCCGACGACGTGGTTCTGGCTTCTTGCGTGGAGTACCAGCAGGCTTAGTCATGGGGTTCGGATGGTAGAAGCAATGCTCTGTCATCCCACGTGCTTGACACTTTGAGCACGTCGGTGTGGCATGGTCGCACTTGATTTTCGAAATGCGACATGGTTCGCATGACCTGTGAGTGAAGCATTAGTTCCCATCCACAACGCATCTCATCTCAATTGCGACAGTCGGAATGACTAACCTTAGCTTCCCGTTCCTCCGCAGCATAACGGCTGATTCTCCGGACATTCGGGTGTTGTAAGTGACAGTGTGGAGAAGCCTACTTCGCACACAAAACTTACGTATCACTTAACATTGAACATACATTCATGGAGTTCGATAGATTATTCCGGCAGCAGCTTTCCATCGTAAAAGCAAAATGAGGGCTGTGCCAGGTTTAGATGGTGGGGCGCTAGCGGCTGTCAACTTCTTTGCCATTGGCTTATGATAGCGGAGAGAGGACGCCTAAGCAACGATCTGCCGATCCCTTCCCAATGGAGCTCGACGCGGAGTAAAAGCCCGTCACACGGAGCATCGGACTGAATCAACGAAGTTCCAATTTCCTAAGTCTTCATACTCACAACATGTCCTGAAGGTGTTGGCATATTTTCGTCTTAGCAGAATAGCGAAGCACAAACCAATGCAGGCCTCCAGCTTTCGTGTTTGATATAAGTCGTTGACAAAAGGCTGTTTTATGATTTTCAGATGCGAAACTAAGATTCATAGAGCAAACGCTCGGTACGGTAGTACATTGAAATGAGCAATACGCAAGCGATTTATGTTTGTAATGATCGGTGTGGTAAGATTGCTGTCCGCCGGGTTATTGGGAGGGCTTGCTTGCAGAAACGCGGTGGCTCAGCGGAAAAGTCAGGCCACAGCTCACTTCTTCCAGAACTACAAAACACGACAGCACGACTCAACCCAAATGCACTGGCGGCTTCCGTTTTCTGCTTTTCTTCTCGTCAAATGCGACGAATGCATCCACGGAATATCATACCTATAGCAAGATTTAGAACTTATGAGCTCCTCCGCAAACTGGAAGCGATGACTGGATCAAGCGTTAAGTCTATATACTGAGACAGACTAGAGTAGAGCCGCATGCAGCTGAAAAGGACCAATCCAATCCCGCGTGGTTAGCTATAAGACATAAGCTTACTGACGCCCGTTGCCTCATCTTTCGGGCCCAACATATCGCAGTGATGATGCGACACTTGGTTATCACGACCTCAAAGACGCTATCCTGTCGTGTGACGTATGCAATGGCGCATAGTCTATGTAACAGTATGCGACGTAGAGGCGTGGTGACACCCGACATTATTTCCATGGCGTTGGTGTGAAACCGACTCATGTTCAAGCCTTTTGTTACAGAATAAGTAATCGGAGGAAATATGACCAGCCTGAAGTCAATTGGTAGCGCGGCATGATATCTCACAAAACCTGGGGCTGGACGTTGAGGAAGTCTGCACCCGATGAAGCTCGCTTTGGATCAAGCTCGTCTCGCAGCCGTTCCCACTTGCTGCGCTTAAATTCAGCACGCGGTTCCTATTCGATGCAAAGGCATGGCGAGCGAGTCAGTAATAGTGCTTTGCCGAATGTAGGAACTCGCACCGACGTAGTGCCCTACCAACGCTGCACAATTGGTGACCTCGACAATGCAGTGCATGCGGCGTTGAGGTCTTGACATAGTGGTCTGGTGAAATCCTTCGTTCCTGGCGGTTGGATTTTTAAGTAAAACTCATTTACCTCTCATTTGTTGCAAGGTCTGTAGCTGCCCAGCCCCAATTCAGTCTCATCTCAGCAAGTTACCATGTCTACGAAAGAAATTCGAATCCGCCCAGCAGGTTGGGAGAACGCTCCCGCAGAAGAGCGGTTCGCTCTCTCTGATATGGATCACACGATGCCGAAGATCTATGTCCAGATAGTAGAGATATTTAGGCTCACACAACCCGTGGACAAGGCTGAGATTGTGGACAGCATGGCCAAGGGTCTGGAATTTACCTTGAGTCAGTTCCCCATCCTTGCCGGCGGCTTGAAGATGGATGCGGAGAACGGTCGATTGTGGGTGACGAAAAAGAAGGATGGTGAGGCTAGTCTGTTCGTGCAGGACTTGGAAGAGACTTTCCCGTCGTTCGATGAGCTGGATAGGACCGATTTTCCCGCCGCAACTTTCAAAGGGCACTTGCTCTTGCCAAAAGCGGTGACAGAGAAACAGCTATTCTCGCCTCTTGGGGATAATCAAAAAGACGATCTCATTGTATCGACATTCCAGATCAACTTCATCAAAGGCGGTCTTGTACTTGGTATTGCTATTCACCATAACTGTTCTGATGGCCCAGGATGCGACGGGTTTCTCACTACTTGGGCGAGGAATTCCAAAGCAGTGATCAATGGGACTGCCTTCGAAGTAGTTCCCCATGGTACAATGGATCGATCGCGTCTCAGTGCGAAGAAACCGGAAGCTGCGCGGTGGAAAGAACTTGACCGCAAGTTTCCTGTGCTCAAGGATGGCGGTGGACCCCCTCCACCACCACCGGCTGATTTCAAGATGCCAGAATTGGCTCTCCGGATGTGGCATTTCCCTAAGAGTAAGACGGAGCAACTCAAATCTCAAGCGATGGCGAAGACAGGAGAAAGTTGGATCTCGACCTACGATGCAATAATGTCGATTCTCTGGAAGAGCATCACACGATCCAAGCTCGACCTTCTGCACCCTGACCTTGCCAAGGAGGTCATACTGGTACACGCGGTAAATACACGAAAGATACTGGACCCGCCTTTGCAAGAGACAATGATGGGCAATGCAGTCGCGCTTCCCCGCACGGAGCCAATAAAGATTTCCGAACTCATCGCCGAAAATAATCTTCCGGAAATTGCGCAAAGAGTGCGAAACTCGATCAAGACCATCACTCCACAGTACGTCGCTGAGCTACCTGAGTGGATCGCAGGACTAGACGATAGACGATGGATAAGCATTAATATGAGCTCGTTCCTGGGTATGGACTTGGCGGGCACGAGCTGGCAAGGCATGAATGTATACCAAAAACACGATTTCGGTTTTGGTGTTGCGAAAGCCATCCGGTTTCCGGATCCCCAGTTCGAAGGCTATGTTTTTGTATACCCAAGCAGGGCGGATGTCAAGGACAATGCCGTCGACGAAGGTATTGAGGTATGTGTGTGCTTGGAAAAAGGATGCCATGATCGATTGATGAAGGACACGGAGTTGCTCAGATATGCACAGCCTCGTGGTAGCTAGACAGGAATTGTTTTGGTAGTATTGCACGGCTCCTAGTATGGCAGTCCGCGAGGGCAGAGTGCCTTCATGTTTGCTCCAAGTCGTGGTACTCCGTAGCGAAAGGCGGTTCCGAACCACCAATCTCCACATCTGTGCCAGCTGCTCTCTCATCCATTGGATCAGGACCAGTCGTGTTCCTGCCTCCAGGATGTCGCAGCGTGCGATGCGAGTTAGCTCTCTGAAGACACTCACTAGCATCTCATCGATAATCGTGGGGCATACGTGAGGCAATAATTGAATGTGACGCCGATCGCGGCCCGGTTGCTCTCACGTTATGAAGTATGTGTTGCATCTTCTCCCTGCCTACAGGGATTCTGTGAGGTCCAATCGTAAAATGACGATATTGTTAGGGTTTCCTGTGGCGCAGTCCACTTTTGACGCTAATTGTTGTCTCGTGGTAGAAGCCGGTCATGCGAAGATCATGTTCCGCATCGGTACTACCCACTCTCTAGGCTCGTTTGGGCATAGACCCGATTGGAGTATGTGATCTCGAGTGCCCTCTCAGATAGGTCTACGAGCCCACGCAAAGCGACAGGCCTACATATATCCATGGCACTTCTGGTGCATCTTCTTTCGTTGCAAGATTGTGAGAACCCCAACAGTCGCATCTCTAGGTTTTTGTCCGGATATACGAGTCAAGCACGTCGAGCAATACATCATGCGCGGCAGCCGCTTCGTGGTTCGGCTTACCTTACCTTCCACCAGTGTGCGCTGGCAGTCGACAGGCCATCTTACACAGAGCGCTCACATCCCATCGATGCGCGCATCCGGATAGAAACAATGATATGACATATTACCGGAGTAAAACAATTGGACTGGGTTCCCGTACATATGTCATCCCCCGCAGCATGAGCTGGCAGCTTGTCAACCGGTGAGCACTGCAGAGCCGCACTAGGTCGTAATTCGCAGTTGCTCGACCAGCCATCACCTTCAGTACGACCTTCATTCGTTCCACCAAGGCTGAATTTGATGAGGTATGGTTTAGCGAACAAGGCGCAGGCTGTGCAGTGCATTGCATAAACCTATGCCTGAGGCATGTCGAGGCGGCTGGGGACAACCTCATGTGTTTCAGAATTCGGCTCACAGAACGAGCGAAAATCGCGACTCAAAAGCGCAAAATTGGACGTGACCAGCCACTTTCGCGATTCTATTTCAGTTTCAAACAGTCGGTGATTTGCAGCGCAGCGCGGAGGCAGCACGAACGTTGGTTGCGGTTTGGTGCGATCTAAAAGCTGTGCGGATGCATGCAGCTAAGCCAATAGCTTGCATTTGCCGGTCGTCCTTCACCGGTCCTCGCGGGGCAGCGTAAGATGGGCTCGAATGCCGCCAGACTAATCGCCATCTGAACTTCTGACAATCAGCTGCTCTGAGACAGATTCTTCTTGCGCGTCCTCCTCGAGTCGCGGTGGACGTCCCTCATTCTGATCGGACCTGTCCCGCGCGTCGTTCCCTGTTGCGCATCGCTGTTCTGCGCGGGTACGAGCCGTTTGCCTTCCCGTCTTCACGATCTTCAGTCCGTGTGTCGAGCACTGGGACATCAACCCACACAGGATTCTCACAGCCGTTTGATGCGCAAGGTCTAGGAAGAACCTAACATCTATCCGGCCCCCAGCGGCCACTTGCGCACCATGTCGACATACTCGCAGCACTACCACCCGTACCAGGAACAACCGGTTTTCATCGATCCGCATGCATTTGGATATGGTCAATATGATAACCGACGGTCGAAAACACCAACAGATTCCCTGATCAACCATACTGGGCATTCCCCTGGCCCACTTGCGACCCCACCACTGGCGAGCCGCAATCTATCGCAACAGCTGGAACTACCTCAAGATCAACCGCCCGAGTATATGCAATGGGAGAATGATAGTTCTTCGACTTCTCCTACATCCGTAAGGACACCCGACGGCTCATCCTTTGAGGGGGAAATGACTGATTTCTCGCCCACTTACCACCACAACGGCAACACCATGTCAACCCAAAGCTCATATCACTCTATACCGGCGGTGGACTCCAGC